TCTGTACAGCTTAATACTATTGTTATGGCTCTGAGCTGTTGTTTATCGGGAATAAAAGACACTCATGATCGTGTCTCTTTTGTCTTTTAAAAAGCAGTAACTGTCATATAGGCAGGAGATAAGCATAGCTGCACAGATGGAGGACAGTGTACGCACGCACACACACACACACACAAACATGTGGTAAGTTGAGAACAGTCCACACAAAACAATCTGCACACAAAGCTCTTAAAAAAAGCACTCATAAATGTGCTCTGTGTTTTGACCATGTTCGCACTAAATTGGAAACAAAATACGTTATTTTCAGTATGAGATCACAGTGAGATCTAAATGTTTTTGTAAATGTACACAGGAGTCTTTCTCAAAATCGTTTCAAACTGACTAACTTTCCTGAATCACCGCTGCCAATGACCAAGTCAGAGGCTTTTAGCCGCTTTTTCACTAGTGATGGAGAGCTCTGCTGCTAACAATAAAACAGTGTGATACACTTCCTGCCAGGGCATGTAACAGACTATCAAAGTCACAGCTATTGCTGGATAACTCAGTCGCACAGCACAAAGGGTTAATTGCTGGGCTATTAACCTTTTGTATATTGCTTATAAAGGCCACTTTGAACTGAATTGGGTTTGCCATTGACTGTAAATACAACAAAGAAAGCCCACATTACAGGGAAAATGAATCTTTAGCCGTATTCAAACGTGCACTGAACTCATGAGAACTTTTCATTTGACATGCATCAGTGAATGCAAACAGACATAATTTTTTTTATACCTGCAGTAAAAGTGGGATGAGCTGATGAGAGATCACAGCTGGACTCATTCAGGAGAACTCTCGTGAGTTTATTACAACTTGTGCCAACCTATAGGAGCGAGAGTCATGTGAAAGGATGAAAATAAAATGTACTGTCTTCAATCAATCAATCAATCAATCAGTCTTTATTTATATAGCACTTTTCATACACAAGTGCTTTACACAGAAAAAGGAACAAAAGAAACAAAGAATACCCAAATCTACCCCAACCCAACCCCACATTCCCACTCCATGATCTAAATGCATCAGAAACAGTAAAATGCGTAAACTTAAAAAGAGCTTGATTTCGTGGAAACAGGAGTATGCGCACTGAGTAAACAAACGTCAGGTGTGATATCATCGCCACTCAACATAACATGGTGGTTTATGCAGCATGCTTTGTCCTGTCATGTCCTGTCATGTTCTGCCTTCAGAGATTCATTGTCCGCCACATCGACCACCCATTTGGAAGGACTGAAGACTGTGATGGGCATGTGTGAATAAGCGACTTTGGCAAATGTCAGTGACAAAGTGCTTGAAAATTTCTGTATCTCAGCAGTGATTGTTTGGTTAAAGTGGTTTGGGATTTGCACCTCCATTTGCTTCTCTTCTTCTTTAAAGTTTGGCAAATATACCAAAGCTGAAATCACACTTGCGCATGAGTTGTTATGTTATGATATGAGTTGTTCCTGTGCATGGTTTTATCTATTTATTCATTAACTTTTTATAAAATCAGAATTATGAATATTATTCAGTGTGATCGCCTCTCTCGAAGCATCGGCTTAAAGGGCTCGACTGTGCAACACCCTCACATGGATTTCAGCAAAGGTAAACTTTGACATGCAAATTTCACTGGTGCAAACAGTCTCCCTCAAAATGGGCTGCAGTGGGAAATTGAGAAAGCATCCAATTTCATAAATCCCCATTCCAGAAAATAGGAAGAACTTTGAAAAGAGCTTCTCATTCAGTGCCATTTTCCCTCAAACTAAATTGGCCACATCCGTCAGTGGCCCCTGAACAACCTGTGAGTCACTGTGACTGAGCTTGAATGTCACTTTGCTATTTTCAGGTGTGAGCATGCACTGGATGGGCAGAAGCTACATTTCTCATGAATCTCTTGGTACAATAACACCTAAAGTAGGTCTTTGCAAATGTGTTTTGAAGGTGGAAAACGCTGGATTCTAATGGAAGGAAAGAGCAGGTCTAATGGAGTTTGAATGTTTTTACATCAAATTTTATGTTTTTGTTTTTATTGTAGTTATTGTGTCATAGGAAAATGCTGGGCCTGAATGTTTGCTTGCTTTTGTACACCCTTTAAGGTAGCTTTATAGTCCATATAGACTGTAGAAGATAGAAAAGATTGTCAAAGGTGAAGCCAAACATTTGGAAGCTTGCCTCTTCCTGGGTCTTAAAGACCCACTCCAATGAAAATCATGTTTTTCTTGTTTTTTTATAAGTTCATATGGCATTTTTCTGATGCTACAGGACAAATCATAAGAAAACTATGTGCGAAATTGTAGTTCTGAGTATTTCTGCTTTCAAATCACTGTGAATCTCTCCGGAAGACACACCCCCTCTGGCAGAGCAAGAAGCTAGCCGGCAGAAGATCCTACACTAGCTTCGAATAGGATTCACCATGTCGGTTTGCTAGTGACTAGCGGCAGTAAACACCAGCTCCGCTAGTGAGCACCGTCTATACATACATACAGCAAGGTTATTGAATGGAGAGGTGGAGGAGGAGATTGACCAATAGGAGCTGTCCGGTACGAATGGCTCCCATTGGTCAATGGTTTTGAAGCCCTGCACCTGCAAGGATTAACAGATTTTTTCCATTATTATTTCTCTTATAGGACCATGATCGCCATATCAACAAGGTTCATCATAATTACCAATCTCTCCAATCGTCAACCATGCCTTTAAATGAGAAAGTGGTCAAAAAGTTTTTTCTAAGACAGTTTTAACGATTTCAGTTCTTTGAATTTAGATTGACACCCAAATAAATAAAGCGAGTTTAGCCTCTGAAAAGTTCTGATTTAATTTGTTATTTAATGTGCTAAACAGAGGTATAATACCATGATTGACAGCTCTCCTGCGGTGCCGAGTCCATTCGACTGTTTAGCAAAACAGAAGAAAAAACTTACACAAGACTTGAGCTTTCTGTAACTGCAAGTGTCTGCTTCTAACCATCACCAACCTGTTACTCTGTAGACTCTAACAACCTCAGGGATCTTTGCTATTTTGTCAGCAGGACGCTGATGCCTCAGCTCCAGCAGCTCCCCACAGCACAGACTGGCTCCACATGCACAAGATGTCAGCACCCATTGCTGGAGATATTTTAGTACAGCTTACTTTCTGCAGTGGGAGGAGGTAGAAACACTCCGTCTCTCCATCTTTATATAAACTTGTTGGTCTAAGATCTTTAGCAGAGCTCTGTCCGCCCTGTAGGCCTGCAGTCCTGCAGTGAGGTGAGACCATTAGTCACTTATTAAAGCTGGAAGAGCACAGCTACCTTCCAACAAGCCACTCTGCACAAACCAGCATTTATATTCGTGGTGACCAGCCGTACCCGGTTTGCTTCATCACACACGCCAGAAGATGCAAAGTGCTTTAACAAGTACACAGCTCACCACTCATAAATACACACACTCAAGATACACACTTCCCTTATCGCTCGCATCGGGACTCTATGTGCTGCTGATCTCAGTGTGAGTCTCAGTGTGCAAGTCTCTTTTTTTTCCGCCCCTTTTTATTTTTTCCAGGCGACCATCTCTGCTCGGCCCCGCCATCTGTTCTCCATGCTGTGGAACATGGCGCTCCCTCCGGCTGCAGGCATTTTCACAGGGTGGCGAAAAATTCTCAATTGGAGTTTTTTTTAAAAAAGGAAGAAAAAAACACTCAGGATAGAAGTGATTCAGGCTGTTTTTGGGACTTTTTAGTCGACCATTTATTTTATTCTACAAATCTTGTGTGGTTTGAATGAATTTGTCCAAACTTGTGTTTTTTGTGAGCTTTTATCTCCATCAAAAATATACCAAAGATTTCCTCTGAGCCTACAAGAACGTGGGAAGAGAAGAGAGAGACTGCTGGTCATTTCTTGGAGTAAGACAACATTTGGATATTTTAAGGATCTGTATGGGTGCTGGTTGTGAGTAGGCTCTGATAGTAAAACAAGTGGTGAATTCATCCATTTAACTAGGAAGGAAGTGGGAGTGATTTTGCTGTTTGGTTTTGTGGTTATTTGTGTTTTTAGGTCCTCTCTGCGAGCCAATTATCCTATTAACACAGCCTGCCACCTGCTAATAGACATGAAAAGTAACACAACCACATGGAGAAAGTTACTAGCAATGACTCTACCGAGTGAGGCACAGCTTTTAAAATGAAAATTGAGTAATTATGTTTAATCACATATAAATTTTGATGCATCCATTAGCATCACTTACCTGGACAATCTCTCTGGTGCTGTAGGCTTCATGTAGGTCCTCTCCCAAATCATACAGGTCAGATGGAGTTTATAATCCCTCTAGTCTGTTCACTTCTGCTTGTCAGGAATATCAACCTGTAAAATGAATCTCCCAGGATGCATCAGGGTTTATGCCAGCCTGCCCAACAGTTTTAAACTCATGTGTTGTTTTGTTTCCAAACCAAAGATTCCTCGAAATATCCCTTTAGACTTAAAGATGCAGGTATTACTGGTATGTGTTGCATAAATGTGTTTTGCTTTATGCAAAAGTTGATAAATAAGTGAGCAGATGAGGAGAAAAGTAGTTTCCTGAGCTGTTAGTACTCTACATTGTGTGTGTGTGTTTTACAAATAAAGTGTACTCTAAAAAGTGATTTCTTCAAAAAAGCCTGACAGAACAGATTTTACCAAAAGACCACCAGCAGGACCGACGCTGTGGTTGGTTTGATACATCTTAAAGGACAAATAACACCTGAGCATGTAGGAGCTTCTTCAGTGTTGTACAAAGCACACACACACACACACACACACACACACACACACACACACACACACACACACACACACACACACACACACACACACAGACATCCCCAGGATGAGATACACAGAGAAGACATGTCCATGCTCACATCCACACGTCGACTTGTGAATGAGCGTGTGTGTGTGTGTGCAGTGTGTGTCTCCCAGAACCTCCATCTGTTGAAGCAGAAGTCCAGGTTTGTCTTAATGAGAAATAATGAGCCTTCACTAAACAACAACAGCTTGGACGGATTTCACCTCCACTTCACATTTTATTAAAATGGCGTGAACGCTATTTCATTCTGCAGGTTACAAAATATATTTGTTTCAACCTAAAATGACAATTTGTTTCCATTCATCCTTTTCTCTGGGGGTTTAGATGAAATATGAAGACACTTTGCTACTACATAATCGTATAAACACACTGAGCGGTGAAGAAAAAAGTGTATAGAAACTCATTTCTATTGACAAAATCAACCAAGAACTGCCAGCTCCCTGGTGAAGGCAGCTCTGCGTTTCCATCCAATTAGCATCTTCTACTTGTGTAGAAACAAGGATTTAAAGGATTTTCAAATATCAAAAAGACAACACATTTGGTGAATAGTACTTTTTTTTCATAATAAATCATGATAAACAGTACATTGCATTGTTGCACCTCTGACCACTGGCATGGCTGCCATCAGAGATACAACAGTGTGTGTGTGTATGTGTGTGTGGTTGCACAGATAGCACCAGGCATCATGTCAGGGAATCCAACTGTCCTTGCACAATTTCGAGCTGAAAGAGAGAGAGAGAGAGAGAGAGAGAAGACAAGGTTTAGTGTTTAAGGGAAAAAAGAGAAGTATACAAGAACACACACTTACACACTCTCAAAAAGGTAGAAAACAAGCCGGGGAAAAGAGACGGAGGCACCAAATTGTTTCAAAGGATGACGCAGGCGGGCTGGCACACAGGTTTTATAAGGCAATGTCTGCCAATCAGGATGAAATGGAAAGAGAAAGCAAGGCAAAGAAACACAAAGACATGTATGCAATGTGACATCAGAGTAGAGCGAATGGTTTTTTTTGCACACATGCGCACACACGCACTCTAAAACTAAGTAGAAAAATGACAGACCTTGTTGTAGAACTCAAGTAGCTCCTGGTGGTTAAAGTCAACAAAGACATTTTCCTGAGCCTGAAAAAAAGAAGAACGAGAGAGAAGGGGAGAGAGAGAGACGAATCGGGTTAGAGAGGCATGAGAGAAACTGGAGCAAATGAAAAAAAGAGAAAAATAAGTTCAAAATACAAAATCAACAGGGCAAAGGGTAAAAAAGCAGCAATAAAAGCACATGCAGAAAAGTCATGACCAAGACTTTTCCTTCTGCTGTCTATAAAAACCTTCATCAATTATTCCTGCAGTCCAGCCTGTACATACAATCCTCTCACTTTTATCCATCACAGAGTCCAAAAATACACCAAAGGGCCATGACTGCACAGTGGTAAAACCTATCGCTTTCTGTTTGTTGTACTTCAATAAAGAGGCTGAAGTGACTTAGCAAAAATGTGACCACACATACTTTTACCCTGAGATGCACCAATCCATTCTTTTCCGATTGGCTGAGCGTATCAGCCGATATCCAATACCAATCCAATACTACTGTTGAACGAATGAACTGTATACCTCGCCCTGTGAGTGAAGGCATCAGGCTTGACATTAGCTTTGTTAAAAAAAGGTAACAAATTAACACAGATATAAGTTTCCTTCATATTTTTTATTAACAAATAACAAATTGCACATTAGCACACAGCAAAAAGACTAAGACTTCCATGTATTAAAAAATAATAATAATTAAAAGAAAAAAAAAAAAGGACTGGATTGGAACCCTGGATCGGCGTCATACATCAGATATCCGATCCAGTTAATTCGTCAATATCGGAGCTGATATCCACTCCAAATATCGGATCGGTGCATCCCTAGTAGATATACAGCACAATCTATGATCTCAGAGTATAACAAACATTAGTACAAAAAGGAGCATATATTATCACTGATGACTAAAGAAGTGTATTGTGGTGCAAATAAAAGGACGACTGTTTCATTGAGCGTGGGATCTATAGGTGTGTCTCTGCCAGATGTTAAAAGCTCACACTCAGAGAGAAGGATGAAGATGGGACTGACAACTCTCTGCCTGTGCCTGGGAACAGACTGCTCATACACAGACTGGAGGGATTGGTGTTTATTCCACCAGAACCAGTCATATCCTGTGAAGGAGCTGCTAGCCAAGCTTAGTTGCATGCTAATTCACATTTCTTTTATAAAAAAACACCCTCACCCTTAGAGGTTAATTTGAGTTCTGGACCTACTTTATCCATGACAAGGGACAAAGGAAACAATCCTTGAAATAAATTCAGGGATTAAATCAATGTGGGTGTAAGTTAAGCCTCTTTCTTAGCATTAATTTAATGGGGCAGGAACCTTGTGTCTAGTGAAACTGGAATTTACAATTAAGATTTTTGAAAACTATTCTGACCTTTTTTTTAAGAACTGATAGAGGTTTATTGATGAATTCTGCAACAATTACTCAAAAATTTTGTGATTACTTGTTTTTCTCTCCTCTCTGAAACCAAAACCAAAACAGCATCATCACCAGACACACAAGCTAAACAATAATACAACCTCATGAGTGCTGACATAATGACAACGCACCATATGATTACTGAGGAAAGAGCTGTAATATATGAAATACTCTCCAGGCAGCCTAGAAAAAGGCAGTGCACCCTGTGTCTTCAGAAAGAATGGAGATAACAGCAGCAAACTCCTTCCACCAACCGGGAGGGCAGAGCAGGGTTAGAGGGGAAAGAAAGAAAAATGGAGGAGGGATGCACAGAAACAAACAGAGAGACACTAAAACCACATGAATTGTCTGTTTGTTCGCTGCAGTAGCTCTCTCCCCTGCAGTTTAGTACTTGGAGACCAATTGGTGCTCTGGGGCTTGCATCTAACTGCCTGTCTGGTTGGTTAGTTTGTTGGGTGGAGGAGACCATGTGTCAGAGCAAATTAATGGCAGAGATATTAATTAGAAGCTACGTTAAAAGTCCGTAAAGCAGGGTGCAGAGGGAAAATGTTCGCTCTTATCAAAGCAGCTCCACAGTTAGAGGGGAATGTAGGACAGCCTTGAATTCAGCAACAGCAAAGGGGGGAAGTTACAACGGCAGACAGGTAATGAAACAAAGAATTTAAGTGATGTTTCCACGTGAGATACAATCAGACGTACATGAAAGAACTTCTTCAAGGTGATGATTTATTTCCCCAAAAAACAATGTTTCAGTCAGGAAGTGATCTGATTTGACAGTAAAGTTGGAAATGCAGTAAAACTGGCTTAATGATGACGTTCCCAAAGCTTCAGGAAGCTCTCACGACTCCGTTTTTTACTGGGCTCCACTGTGGAAAAAGCTTTCATAATGAGAGGGACCCAGTGTTGTTTAATCAGTCTATTTGGGTTGATGCTGGTCTTCGGTATGCTCTGGGTCACAGTGACTACGTGTCAGAAAAAGACTAAAACACTCAACTGCCAAATGAACTCTTTCTATTATTGCCAGAGGTGAGACAGGGGGCAACCAAAATGCAGTGTGAGGAATCAGATGCCTATCAAAAGTGTACTACAATAACTTGAAGGCACAAACTCAGACTCTAACACTTGGGGCTGAGGATGAAAGTGTGTTTTTGTGAGTGTTGGTTCTTATAAAAGTGGGAGATTGACAGCGTGTTGTGTTGTGATGAGCACTTCCAGGTACAACCCAATAGATGTGATTGTGTGAGACACAGGAACAGTTTTGCACTTAGAAAGTGTGTGTGTGCGTGTGTTTATGAGTGTGTGTGTTTGCGAGTGTGTAGCCCTTCCCATTGTTCCTCAGGGTTGAGATTTTGCCAGGCAGTAACCCAACAAGGCTCTGACAGATCTAGGCTAACACTAATGGGGATAGGATGTATCATCCTCATCAACACAGCCCTATACTACCAATATGCAAATACACACACACATACACACACACACAAACAAACAAACAAACACATGCACTTCTTGTCTGCCTCCGTGCCAAAATCCAGTGTGTCAGGATACAGAAAATGGGATTAACCCATGAAGATAAGAATTAATTCGTCTTCATCTGGTGCTCCATATGTGCCACATGTTAGCATATCATTAAAGAATCAGCACCATACTTTGGGAGATTCAATACACAACACACACACACACACAAAAAAAGAAGAGAAATCTAAACCTAGGAATATTCCACCAAACTTCTCCTTCAAAAACTGTGTGAAAACGTGGGACTGGGTTGCAGCCTGCTGTGCAATCCTAATAACTTTTCTACAAGGTTACTCATGTAATTCCCTTGATGGCTGAGCCAGGGATAATTGTGGAAGAAGCTCTATATGGATCACAGCACAAGCCCTGAGCTCCAAACATGTGAAACCACAAAATTAAGACAATGGCTGACTTACTGCGACCTATAGGTACTGTTTTCACAGCCTTGGCTGCAGTCCACGTTCGTGTCGTTGTAGTCATCAGCATAGATAATAAACTTTTTTTTACCAAAACTGGATGCTGTTTTGTTCAGGGTGAAAACTTACATCAACTCTGACCTATTATGGTCTATTGGATTGTAGAGAAGGAGTTAAACTTTGAAAATTGGTGTTGGAAAAATGACGCCAATGCCCATGATGAAAGTCATGGACATGACATATCATGAGAAAACTAAGTGCGAAATGATATTATTTCTGCATTCATATCACTGTGAATCTCTGGCAGACCCAAACATCAGGTTCAGATACAGTGATTTCATAGCAAATCCAAGCTCTGCCCCCAGAGCTCCGCTGTGCAAGCCAGGCTCTGAGAAATAAGAATTCGCAACAATCGCAATGCTTGTAAGAAAGCTAATTATGATATTAGCTTTTATCATGTCCCTAAAAACAATAGTGTCTAAGAGCAGAATAGCTCCTGTGTTACCTGCTTCTCCTACTACACTAGCAATGTTAGGCTGCAAGCTAACACGAAGTGTGCAGAGCAGCGCTGTCTCCATGCACGACTCAGAGGTGAATAGCTAATGAGCTACTGGAACTCTGCTGAAGAAAAGTCTTTGAAAATGACACGGGTAACATGAATTTGGCTAAAAACTTCATAATCACAATTTAAAGGCCACTGAGAACACTTTTACGTTGTAAAAAATAAACGATTGGAGTTTAAATAATGCAAAGGCTCGGAGTCAGACATGGAGTTTGCATTACCAAGGGCATGGCTGGGTTGAGTGAAAGGTGATGTAGCTGTTTACCAAGAGGCTCCAGGCTCACCTCAGTTCCACCTCTGGGTTGAAAGAAGGTTAAGTTGAGTCAGACAGAGGAGTTTCAACACCTCTGGATAAAGGTGGTCATGTGGTTTTGCATTCATCTTTAATAAGTCACCCTAAATAACTCGCCTGAGTTTCTCTCCTGAGCCTCAACCTCTTCAAAGACTCCACTTATACAGGAAAATACGTTTTTATTTACAGACTAGATTAAAAAATGTTAAAATTATTTGTATTGACAGGTTTCCAGGCAACAAGGTGCATACATTTATGGACCTAGGTGAAATGAGGTGGACTCGCAGCATATCATCTGTTTCCACTCACACATCCCTTCATTTATCTGCAAATAGAACGGATTTCTTTATAGTCCTGCAGCCTAAAGGCCAAATGCAGTGGAAGCAATAAATGGTGCGCTGTTTTAATGTGTGTCAACCAGTGCTCCACTGATGCGGCGCAGACATCAGACAACATGACAGTAACAGCAGTAATTGAGGAGAAGATCACTGTACCACAGTGTAGAGGGGGAAAAGCTGTGATGGTAGCTGCTATGAACAGAAGAAGTGTTGATACTGACATGTTTTTACACACCATGCTGTTTTTATGCAGGTTTGATCGATCTGGATATGTGCTTTCCACTGCAGGAACTGAGAGGTCAGTACAGATGTGAGGCCAGCAGGTCCTTTCTTGGTTTGATTTTGAGAGCTGATCCTCTATTTCCTGTCATGTCCCTCACTTTTAGTTCTGGGTCCTTATTTAAAGGGATATTCCGGCGAAAAATTTATTTAGGGTCAAACACACACCCCTGTCGATAGATGAATGTTGCCGACCGCTTGATTCTCTAGTTATACCAACTTTAGTAACGACCGCACGATAGCAATACACAGCAGTCTGAGGAGCCATAAACAAACCTCAACCAAAACGCCACTCTATAGCCACAAATAATGCTCAGAACAGCACCTAACTTCATCAACAGGACATATAGGGTCCCAGCCATAGGACTAACCACCAAACATCTTTTTAACTTTGACTAATTTCTTTAGCAAAGAGACTAAACACACCTCACCTACTCTCTTCCAGCAGCCGCTTGTTTGTAGCGAGACCTCAACCAGTCTATTACGGACTGCTGCGGGGTGATGCAGCTCAAGGAAGAACACTTATAATCATTACTTTATCATTTCCTTGAAGTAATAATCACCATATTAATCATTTTGCACTGCAGACGTGGTAGTTCTTTTGCCTTAGCGTCTCGGTCTGATTGCATTTCCATGAAGAAATGAAGGTAGTTCATGCTTCAAGTTCCTTTAAGTTACAAGATGGATTTAAAAAATGAAATCCTTCCTGGCAAAGATGTCATAAAAAAAGGAATTTTGCTTCAAAGAAAATAGTTGGAAACCAAATATGTGCCAAAAGCCTCCAAAAAATCCTTTCTGATGTCTTCGGATGAACATCCTGTTACCACTACCTTAATTTTAAGAGAGGACTAATTTAATGAATTTAAGCCTCAGGCTGTTTTTCGGTTGTAGGTTCAGCAAAGCAGAATTATTTCTTCCAATTGAAAAAAGGATGCATTCAACAAGTGGTGCTTTTATCCGATCGAGTGGTATGCAGCGTCCATAATGACGGCTTACATAAGACCATGGTGTATAACTTTGAGCAGAGGTGTTTCATACCACAAGATTTCTGTGTGAATGCGGCTGCCTGCAGTTATTTGCATTGGTACGCTAAAGAAAAGCTTAGACTCTGTACAAGCTTGTTTTTGTTTCGCTGTTTAAAGCCATTCAGACACGGAATTGATCGCCTCTCGTTGAATGTGGGGAGGTGAGGTATTGGTATGAGAGAAACGGGCAGATTAGGGAGAGAAAACAGGAGAATGGTTAGACACCTGACAAAAAAATGGGAGCTTATAGGAAAGTGAAATACGTTGACTAATGGAGAGAGCTTTCATCATCACAAACAACTGAAGGCATACCAGACATCACCGCTAAAGAATTCACTGACAGAGAGAACTTGTCTTCAATCCAGCCATGATTCTTCAAACACAATATAACATCAAAGCTGTCTATAATTTCACACAGAAAGAGGAAGAGACTACAGGACAAAGTCATCTTAAAATACGCATGCAGGACAGATGGCCACAGAATCAAGCAAATCAAACTCAAGCATCGGCAGCAAGTGCCAATCAATCTTTCTGCAGGATTTGACACATGTAAGTGGTCCTCCTGAATGTTTGTCCTGTAGTAAGAACAGTAAGTTTTGGAGATGTTTTTGTGTAGTGAAGGCTTGAGTCCAATTTCTGCTGTCAAGTTGTGTTCTTGAGTTTTAAGCTTCAAAGCAAAAGTGTAAAACAATCATCATGGAATTCCTCTCCAGTTGTTTCCTTTTATTTTTAATAAGTCAAAATCAATTCCTTGGATTTTTCAACAGTTTCATCCTGTTCAAATACTTTCTTCTCCTCTGAAAGGCCTGAATAGAAGAAAACAGATAAGGGCAAGGGGATAGACTCTGGGTCCATAAAGACCTGTGTTAGTAAAAATGCTGCGATAAGCCAACAGAGACATAGGCTTCAAGTATGAGTTATTTGACCTTGAGTGCGTACCCTGCATAGCGCATTGCAATAAGTTATTGCACTGTGTTTGGTACATTTTTTATTTATCTTGTTTGCCAGGTTTTCAGATGATTTTTGACACCACCACTGGGAGCTTGCAACAATGCATTTCTCTGTGTGCCAGTTAGAAAGTTTTGTATCAGACGGTCTAAGTATTTCAAATCTATGATAAAAAAAAGGTTTTCTTCAAAGGGTCAAGTTCAGCTTGAAAGTTGCAAAATTTTGAACAGAGCAAAAAGTAATAACATAAAAGGTGGGGTAGACAGGATTCTGTTTAAAAAAAGCATCTTTTTTGTGGTGTATATACAAAGAAGCTTATAATGTCAGTCAATAGCTATTTGTTATTGATGACATTTGGGAATATCACGATATTGCTGTGTTTTGTTATGTCTATGTAGTCAACATTTAAAAATTTCAAGCAGTCCGCTCTTTCTGACTGTAAACAAAGCCGTTCTCCACCTCCCCCAACCTGATTGGTTGTGAGGCAGATGCTGCTCCTTAGTGCTAATTTGTTGTGAGCCAGACTCTGCTCCCCCGTGTCGTTCAGGAGCCCAAACAAAGTTAGCATGCTACAATATCGTACTGTAGAGACCAACCAGAAAGTACGGAAAAGTACGGTCCTGGAGTATGTCACTTTATCCTAGTTGTAGAAGTCCTGCAAACATTGTGTTTGCTGGTAGTCTGTTGGCATCTACAGTAGCACCAATGCTGTTTACTTTCATGTTGGCTGGGCCCCATTTGTAATTATAAGTATTTATCTGCATTATATCTGAATTTAATCAGAACAACACAAGCGAGCGCAAGCGTCTATTTGTGGGTGGGGCTTGCTGGAGCAGTGATGGAGGAGAGATGAGGAGCTGAGGGAAAACTGGTTTGGAGGGGTAGAGTTTACATTCAAGATTTCCCCCAAAAACTGGCACTTCCTCAGATCCTGCCTACCCCACCTTTAAATGCTTTGCAAAGAAAGTATTTCATGACCAATCCCCACTCGACAACCTTCGAAATAAATCAGAATAACCTCTTTTATTAAAGTTAAAGATAAATCAATAAGAACCTTTGTAATATTCGGCTGAATAGGCTTGGTGGAATACAATATTCACGAGTGCTTTTGAATTAGTGTGTATTCACCCTAATATAAAGGTGATTTCCTTTGTTAGCTTAGAATAAGCCCTTTATATCTACGTAGAAGTGGTTCCACTTCACGATCAGCTTTAAGTTTCTGCGCAACAAAGAACGGACAAACTGGTCACATGTGCATTTTTCTATTTAGTGAGTGCACTGATTGGAAGATAAAGAAGAGGAGAGTAGTTGTTGTGGGCTGTTGATGATTTTGCACTGATAGATGGCAAGAACTTCACAATACATTTATTTATAAGCGCCTTTCTCCACACTCACTTTACAGATAAAAACAGTCTAAAAAAAACAAGATAAAAGCAATCACTGAATAAAAAATGGGATAAAGTAAATTATAATACATACGGATTATACATCTCAGGAGCTTTTATTTCCTTAAAGGCTTCATCAACGGGAGGAAGTGTTATAATAACCAATGATTGCTCTATTAGAATTCAGAATTGATATAATCAAATACTAACATCAGGTGTCGAGGTAGCTATTCTTTGTTGAAGCACCCAGCCAGAGACAATGCAAATATAAAATGAAAACCTGTTTTTTTTTTTCAGAGACGTAAGAGTATTTGTCCTTTTTGCTTCCCACATTTTGAGTCCATTTATAGCTCTTTTGGCTTCAGGCTGCTCCTTTTTATCTTTTAATTATATTAAATTCACAGGCATTCATTAGCACGAAAAAATTACTACATGGGAAAAAACAAATCCATGTCCTCTTGGTAAATACACATTTTTAGGCTGTATGGCCCACACAGAAACATAAATGTCATAAATGTTCAGATGGATGCAAAATATCCATCACCTCTGGCAGTTCTGGGTGTTTCTAATAGCAACAATATTTATCCCACCACAATTAGTTTTCTACCACAAATGCACAAAATATGCTGCAGCTCATTCTCAGCCTGACGAAATGCTTTTCTGCTTCTTCCTAAATGACTCCAGAACAGCATTAAATCAGCATCAAAATAAAGGGATACTGTAAAGTCGCCAGCTCAAGAGCTCTGCAGCCAGAGGATATGGTATATTATGTGTCCTCTGTGGCTCTGCTGCATTATATGTCTTCTGTGACCAGAAGCTGGATGACAGTTTGTCCAATTGGAGCTCCCTGCCACTGCCTGGTAGTTGACTCTTGCCTGCCTGAGAGAAACGTTGACAGTGAAAGACAAAGAGACAGATAGAGAGAAGGAATGCACAGGAGGCTGAGCTGTCAGATTTTGGCAACCCTTTATCCTTCCTCCCCACAAAACACACACACACACACACAAGCCCATGCACTGTAAAGACACAAAAACCAACCCTCTTTTTGCTGCTTTAACACACTCAAGAGTCATCACACCTTGTTATTATCTTTGTCATACACCCTAAATATTAGATATTTTACCAAAATACTCGCTCTTATGCTGCCATAGCTAAGCTCACCTTTACAAATCATGATGAGTGACAGCTCAGCTATCTCTCAATCTGGTCCATCAACGTGCCTGCATGCTTGACTTCTCCTTAGTTTCAGCAGGTCAGCGAACAGAAACCACAGAATATAAGTCATTACTGCCCGTCAGTTTCCTTACAAGTCATACGTGTCTGCCAACTTATCTGCCTGTCCTCTTTCCTGTCTCTGTGCAAACAAACTTTCACAAGATTCATCAGGCTGCCTGAGTTTCGGTCTGCCATCACACTGAGGGATGATCATCATGGGGTTAGTTTATGAAGGCTGCCTGTCATTTGGGCACAAAATTAAGGGTATAAATAAATAAAACTGTGATATGAGACAGCTGGTAATGTTTTCCAGAAATGAGTATTTATGTGGAATAAATTTACATTTCATCCATCAGCCGTTTTTTCTTTAAATCACAGGATTGAGAAGCGTTTTCTTCTGAGGCAGAGTTAGAAGCTATTTCGCTTGTCTAAAGGAGTTTGGTGGTGTTTGATGTGCTTTATGACATATGTGTTAGTGTGTGTGTTTGTTCAGCTGTGTAGCTGTCTGTCACCAAAAACAGACACTCGCACAAAGGCAGCTGTGCTGTCAGAACACTCTTTTAATGTCTCAATAAAGATTTTTGTGTTGTTTGCTTTCGTGCTACAGGTGTGCTGCCTCTTTCTTTTATGTTGCCAGTGTTTCGGTCCATCTGTCTGTGCCTCTTCAGGAGCGGTGAGGTTGCGTTTTCAGACGTCTGATTCATTGAGGAGAGGAAGAAAGAGGCGGAGAAGGAGGAGGAGGAATGCAGATGGGAAATGAAGGCAGGTTAAAGGTTCATCTGAGGAGTATAACAGCTGGCAATTTGGTCGGAGCATTACGCTGAGTTTAATTAATAGCTTTCTTCTCATTACGATGCACTAATCAAAGTTAATGTCATATATAATGCAACTAATATGCTCTCTGTCTGCAATTCACAAACCAGAGGAGGATGGCCTAACACAGCAATCACAGTTTGTTGACCTCTGAGTAGTTCAAAATTACATAATCTATTCAGATCACCGTTCCTGTGGCACATGCTGCAGTCATCTTCATAGCTAGTTAGTGTTTAGCCTCTTATAAATGTGTACATACACAGTACAGTACTGACTACTAGTTATATTCTGTGCTCTGTGACTGACAGAGTTGCTTCATTCCAGCCTTTAAAAATGTTGTGTATATCTTTTAACTTCTGCAGAGCTCTTGAATGTTTTCTCTAGGGTCAAACTATCACAGAGGCTATCAATCGAAAATTACATTCACAGCTAACATCCCTCAAAGTTGCTCTATACTCCTGCTCATTGTGACTTTACAGAGAACATTTTCAAACTTAGACATCGATAATTGTTCTAACTCTGGTGTAAACAGAATTCTTAATGTTTGAAGTTCAACAAGAGGCCGATCGTTTTTATATTTGTTCAGTACTTTTAGCTCGAAGGAAGGATTTAAAATTTCAGTGCGTTGATTTATATGCTCTCCAGCTGTTGTTGTACTTTTGCATCTTCACTTTCAAGTTTACCCACTTTTACGTCTTTGCTTTAACCTCTTCATTTTATTTCTGTCATTTGGAAAGCAGAGATAATGCAGTCTCACCTGTGGGCACATCTAGAAGCAATGTGAGAAGTATTTTTTACTGATTTTAAAATAGTTTCACTCTTACACAGATGCTTCTTCATGACCTAGATTGTAAAACGATATCAGTGACAAGTTTAGTTGTGTCTTCTTCATACTAAATTTGAGTGTTTGTGTTCTGGTTCGATTTTCCACTAAAAGGCAGAGTCATTGTTTGTAATGTTTAAGTGTGTTAGGTCGGGAAATTCCTCTACCAGCTTTGCTCGGGAAAAGAGAAAAACCACTACAGACGGGATGTCATGTTTATGTTGATGTGTGCATGCTTCTCCTCTCTTGATTTGACTGAAAGGCCAAAGTCTGAGAGGATGATAGACAACATTTCTCAAACAGCTGTCGGCAGTGTTGTGGCCTTTTACACCCTCTATGCAACAGTTGTCTGCAGAGGATCTCTTAATACTCCAGTGTTGTTGTTGGCTGTTATTTAAAGAAAGGCTTATGTTATGACAGCAAGATGGCAGACCCCACAGCAGGGAACCCACTCTCATGTGGGGTTATCCTGAGTTAAAAAAAAGACTATTTCCCCATTTTCTTATTTAAAAGTGATTATTTACTGGGGGTGGGAGAAAAAAATCGATTCACATAAGTATCCAGATTTTTTGTTTTACAATTTTTAAATCATTTTTTTTGTTCAAAATCGATTTTGTTTATTCAAATTTAAGAATAAATCTTAAAACCTGACTTACATGTGATGTGTTTTTTTTTGGGGAAACATGGTTCCTGGAATAGTCAGTTTCACTGGTGTTAAAAATGCAGACTAAAAATCGAGAAAATCAACAATATCGTAGAACCGCAATTAAAATCAATTGGCATCCAAAAAATTGTAGAAGAATCGAATCGGGAGAAAAGCATACTGCCCCAGTACTAATATTTACTAGTTTCTACATACTTGTGAATTTAATACTCCACTTTTAAACATGTCTGTTGAGCTACATGTTGCTAAATATTGCACACTGTATCTTTAAACCATGTGCTGTTGCATGGGGCTGTTGCAGGTAACATCAAACTAGTAATTCCAATCACTTTTATAAGATAACGAATGGTTATAAACCAGCAGATACTAAATTTGTCCTTATTACGTTACAGCTTTTAACTTTATGCACTATAGCTACAAACTTATACATTACTTTGTCACTTTGGAACCTGCAAAAAGTTCTTGAACAAAGAAAAAGTCTATCTGTTTCCTATTCACATGCTTCCACAACTAATAAACAGTAATGACTCTAATACTGGGTCAGTGGGTGATGGTGCTCATGGGAAAAAAGTTCTCATTTCAGGAAAAACCTTATTTAGTCTTAACTGTTTCATTAACAAGTCATACCTTCAAATGATGTTGAAAAACTGAATAATCTTTATGTGATGTGCCAAAATCTATATAAAAATGTTAGAAATCCGCTGATGGAGTTGGTGTTACGAGCTTGAAAGAGACACTGAATGGAGTGTAAAGGTGAAGGTGAGCGGTTTCTTACAATTTTAAGAATATTTAGCAGCCTCAGAACCCTGGAATGAGCTTGCTGCATTGAACAGTGAGTTTTCACAGTGTGGACAGAGCAGAAGAAAAAGAACACGAGTTTTCCAATCAGGAAAAAGTGACCCTTTGTTGTCGGAAGCTCCAGGCAGCAAAGAGTCTGTATTTTCTCCGCCAGGGAGGTTTTCTTAGAAACGCTTAGTATAATAGAGAGTCTGAAGCCTTTGACTTTTATTCAGAAACCTGGTAGCGGTGTGTCAAATTGTGCGAATCGAATGCAAAAGATGATTTTTTTTTCAGTGCTGGCAGTCTGTCAAAAAAAAAAAAACTAAATTTGATGATGTCAAGCCTGATATCTGGGGAGCTGCCCCTTTGTTGTTCAACAAGCTCGAAGGCAGAAAAGACTGATTTCCAATCTTCAGGTAGAAATCAAGTTTATGGAGGAGCTAGCCTTTTTGGTTAACAATTTGCTGGAAACATTCAGATATTCAACTCAACAAAATATTTGTAGTTAAGTTAGTTTAGAGCTTTTAAAGCCAAAAAGTTACATACTATACCTTTAAATGACTGCAGAATAGCTGATTATCTTGTCAGATTATTTTTCCATAACCAAAGGGTGGCTGGGAGCCCATTAGATGATATAAAAGTACATCTAAACGATAAAATGGAAACTTAACTTTATCCTATAACAGCTTCAGATATCACTACACTATAACGTGCAAGTCAACAACGATCAATCGTTCAAAAACCACCATGTTTAATCTTCCCATGACCTTTTGAGCTCGAAGCCACCCAGAAAAACAGCTCACAGGAGCCACATAAGCAGGGTGTGTTGCTCCTGAAAAGGGGGCACCGTGAACCGGTATCCACATCCACAACAGTTCTGTGTATCACACAGTGACAGACACAGAACCTCAAAACGTCAGCCATTCACTAAAAGCCTTTCCACTACAACAAATAAGAGCTGTCAGAGCCAAACACTAGAAACTGTCAATCACCTCTGGTATTTATAACAGAAATGAGCACAAGCAGATATGTGCGTTCACACGGAAGCCCACGCACACACACACACACACACACACACACACACACAGTCCTATTTTCCCAAATACAATAAGAGGAGAGAGGTGAAAAGAAGTTATTTTCCACACCTCTGTCAGATTTATGACATAAAGAGGAGGCATGATGGAAACCCAGTCCTGTACTGTACGCAGCCTCCAAAGTGCACGTCAGTGTCATTGTAAAGTCTGAATCAGAGAAAACACTCGGGGACAAAGTGGCCTAGAACATTCCATCAGTGTGAAAATCTCATCTTTCTTTACTTTCTATTCCTCTTTTACTGCAGCCTTTGATAACGCTCTCGCTCAATTGAAAGTATGAAAACCACAGGGAGTAAATAATAGCAAAGAGAGAGAGAGAGTGGAGTATACGCCGCTACGCAAGAGAGGACAGAAGGAACTTTGACGACGATAAAAAGAAAAACAAACAGGAGGAATGATAATAAACAAACCGGGGTTTTGATTTGATTTGTGCAGAGACAAAATTCAGGAGGAAGCAGCAGGTTCACAGCCTGACAGGGTGGATTCCTAAAAATTCACCTGAACACACACACATATAAAAGCTGCTCTTCAAACAGTCCCAGCATAGGAGCCCACACATCTAAAGATTTTGTACGCATATATACACAGTCCTTTAATACTGACTCCAATATGTCATCTGGAAGCTAAGTTTTATCTAACACTAGAACACAACTGAGTCAAGTACACCAAAAGTCTGCTATTTCCCAGAATCAGGCTGTTGCTGTGAAGGACAGACCACTGCCAGGTATGCAGCTCTATCATCTCCGACTCTGAAGGACTAACCGTTATCTTATCAATGCCTCGAAAGAAGTTTGGTTAATTTGTTTTCGCTGAGAAAACCAACAGAAGAGACAAAACGGTAGGAGAGGTTCATGACTCGAAAACCTTGCTCTAAAAAACGTAAGATAAACACTTAAAGGAGCAGGAAAACAGCTATGTTTAAGGAACGATAACGGAAAAGAAAATGTCAGACTCTTGACAGTGACAAAGCAGAAAAACTCAACCTCAGGCCTCTTCGCCTTTGTTTACTCCAACATCAGCAGAGATCTTCAGCTGAATGTGAACTCATTTTAAAGCTCCTGTGTGAGTTTAGCTGTTTTTGTCTCATAAAAGTAAAAACATGTCCTTTAACAAAAACTATCATCCTGCTTTCTTTTAATGGTCAAACATCAAGACTGTCTGCTCTGCTGCGGGACTCTTAAAGTCTATTTTGACAGCAGGCCGTTAATCACTTTGTCCTGCGCCTACCCTGCGGCAGGAGTTTCAGATAATGAAAAAGTTTATGTAAATTATTTATCTTTATGCAGATGGTCTTGCTTAATTTTGTGGGTCATAAAAAGGCATCAATATAAAGTTCAGTCTGTTTCAAAGCCAAATAAAAACTCCCCACAGGAGCTTTAAGAAAGCTGCAGACTGAACTTTGGATGCAGACTATTTTCTGTGAAAAATGATCATTTAAAAAAACATATCTTTTAGTGATTTAAAAATCAAAAATGGTTTTAATTTAGTAGATGTGTATTAAGAAAGTTAATTTATGGTTAATGGGTTGTTATAAAAGAGGGAACCCTTCTTAGGTCAGACAAAACCCATCTTGACTTCCAATCTGCCTCAACAACCAGCTCACTATAATCCTCCCTGACTGGTTCAGAGAATAGAGAAGTAAAGCAGAAAAAGAAATTTACAAGCTTGTTGACCTTCCTCCTCTAAACACACAACTTGCTGTTTTTGCAGAACCAAATTCTTGTTCAAGTTGAGGTTAAATTCCTGCCAGCTGCTCTCCCTCTATCTCTTCTCTAAAACATGAAGCCTATCGCTCCATCTTGATGTATTCTTACTCCCCATCCCTGTATCTTTACCTCTGCTCTTTCCTTTCCAGGAATTAAGCAACTCCTTGTTATAAACAGACCATCACTTAGCTGTCCATCCGTGTCCCAGCTGCAGGCTGACATTTATTAAGAGTCAGCTTCGCCTTCAGTCTCTCTGCCTCTCTCTTGATCCCTACATGAATACAGATGACCAATTAGAGGAGGAAAAGGGTTTAAGTCTACATACATGGAGTGGTTGGACCACAAACATAAACAAACATCCAAACAGCTACTACAGACGGATGTAGGGAGGAATTTAGGAAGGGATGGAAGAAGCTCTTTGGTAGAAGTCAAAATTAACAGTAACTTTCACAGAAATGGGAACACTCCCCGCTGGGCTAAGTGGGTCCGATAAAGACCGACGCTAATAAGTGTGTGGTGAACCGAGGACACATGACAAACAAATAGCACCTCTGTCAAAGTCTTTAAAAAACATTTGGACACAGTGAAAACGTTCAGCAAACTCATTCAGCAACAGACAGGCCTGACATTTATAAGCAGCAGGAGGTAGCCGCCGGGGTTAAACAAATAACATCCTCACTGCTGGGCTAAACAGAACGATGGCTACTTTGCCTATTGGTTTTCTCACATGGATGAGGTCACCTATGTCCTGTCTGTGCAGTCTGAATGTGTGTGTGTGTTTCTTCACTATTTGTTTTTCTGTGTGTATTGTCCATCCGCCTCCCCAATTAGAATCCACCACATCCTGTGTTGTGGTTCGGGGACAATGGGAGCATGACAAGGCCTCCAACAGAGCATGCCGCTACCGCATCCGCCTCTAGGGCCTTAACATGCAATGCAGTGAGACACAGTACAACATGAACATGTGTTATAATTATTGATGATGGTGATGTACCTGTGAGGAATCCATTCATAAATTAATCACAGGAAGACAGGAAGGCAGAGGGAGGAGAACAATGGAGCCCCTTCAGACCTGGAAACTGGAACAAAGCTGGCTTCCTAGGTCTGTTATAGAGATTAATTTTCGCCTTTACTCTTGAAATAGTAAATGTTAACTGGAAGCATGTGGTTAAAAAAACAGACTTCTCTTTAATTAGCTTCTAAGCAATAACACATCAGTCTTCATACCAAAGTAAAACCGGATTCATGTCCCTAAAAAGTCTCATATATTGTGGCACTTAGAAATATTATAAAACCCAGTGCTCACTCTTGCTCCAAAATAATTTAAATGCCATCATCTTTTATTGGCAATGACTTCTTTCTGCAACTCTTGTGTAATGCAAAACAGTGTCTTTGCTGATCTTGGATTGTGCATTAATAAAGCCATCTTCTTATCCCCCTGAGTTTCTACATTTTCTTCTCACTCACCCAGTCCTGTTCGACTACCAAAGCCCATACTGTGTGTTGGGTTTAAGCCCTCAATCACTAAAGTTCACTCAGTCACATGTTCTGACTTTACCTACCTTATATACTAGGGATGAGAAGATTATATTAATGCACATCTAGATGTACCGTCGATATATATTTGTATCGATACAATCCCATCCATTTAACATATAACTTTTTTTTTTTTTTTACGTTATCAAACCATTTTGAGGCATCATTTCTTCAGACTTGTGAATGTACATTACAAACTAAAGTATCAGCTCCGCGGATGCACTACATGTGCCACGGATGAACACCAACAAATTTACCCTCCTTTGAATTGTAGATCTCAAGTTTGGGTTTTACAAGGAAGACAGACGACTTGACAAGACAGATTTGCAAAATGTGCCGCGCTGCTGTAAAATACACAGGCAGTACGACTAACCTGAAAACTTGGCGCCACGGTGTTGTCGCAGAGGGGTCTGCTAGCGCCCCTGCCTCCCCTGAGAGAGCAGATCCCTGCCCTCTACGACAAAGTTAGAAGATAAATAGGGTAGTCACTGAGCAAAGCCGAAAGACTAGCTCTGTATCGGGATCTGGGTGTGAATCGTATCATATTGCATCACATAATACAACGCATTTATCTTTAATATATCGGATCTGAGATGCTGTATCAAGATGTGTATTGTATCGGCCTTATACCTAAGATGCCCAACTCTTTTATATACATGTTCACCTCATATGATAAATGTGCCTTTATCATAAGAGGCTTCATGGTTTGTGAGATGTTTGCTGCCATTTTCAATGAAGTTCATTCCTTCATTAGATGCCAGGCACACTTTTAAACCATGAAGAGTTTTCAGTCAGGGTCTTCAATGTCTAAGAAACAGGTTTGGTATTCCTGATAGCCTCTGCTAAATGTCGTCTAGACATCATTAAAGCCTTTGGCATCACCTGCACGTCTCAGTCTGTGTCATGTCAAAATATTCAGCCATAGAAAGAGTCTTAGGGCAGATGTCTAGATGACTGAATAGGATTCATGAGGATAAAGAGGGACACACAGACAAAAAAGTAAGAAAGATATATGCAGGCGGGCAGCGACAGCGACCATGTATGTGAGAGAACAGAGTGGTCTCTGCTGGGGGTCATTTATGGGGTCTTAGGGTCACCCTGTTAATGAAATAAAAGAATAATAAAGAATCTCTCTGTACTGTTCAACACAGAGGGCGGTTGTTTCAGCATGGAGTGTCCTCTCTCACCCACCACTTCCCACCCTACACACACATCAACACACCCGCATACCCACACACACACAAACGCTCTTTTCCTCCCTTTGACACACACACACACACACTGAGCTGACAGCCTTTAGGTGGGCAAGGGTGGGATTTTCACACGCCTCGCTCCCCAGAGCCCTTTCAGTACAGTACACAGCACGGCAGCAGGACACACACACACACAAAGCCGGGGATTGTCTGCACCCAGTGGGCCACTCACTGAACTAGAATGACAGAAACACACTGAAGCACGGATGCAGATACAGACAGAGGCTCACAACAGACATGCCTGAACACACACACACACATAAACACACACACACATTTACTGCATTCAGGGTCTTTTTTTCTTGAGTGCAGAGGCTTCTTTTTGTCTTTTGGGGCCACAGAGTCAGAATCTATTAAACAAACTTTTAAGCACGCTGACTGACTGAATTATTTTAATCTGTGATAACAAGTTTCCGACTGAATACTTGCAATAAAAAAAAACTGACGTAACAGAGAGTTCTGGGGTGGTGCGAATTCAAAAACTTTTATTCCAAGCACACAAAAAAAAATGGTCGTATGAAGATGCATCACTGAGTTTTACCTGCAATCAAGCCTGTACAAAGTTGAGCTCGGTTTGCTACACGCTAAGCTGTTCTAAACTGACGGCCCCCTTGCTGTGTCATAAAAGGACTTTTGAGGCATTTTTAGAAATTCATCCATAAATAATAGCCAAGGCTCCCCTCACAGGGACTCAGCAAAAATAAACATTTGAATGCCCCTCACTGTTCTTTTAATAAAATATTCAATTTCGCTGATTTCATTGAGCATGGCAGACATATAAACAGGATAATTTCTCTCTTTTCTGCACAGAGAGATTCTCACTAAACAGGCAGCATTGTGCTTCAATAAACGTGGACGTGGCTAAAAATACAAAAAGGGTAAATGACTTACAGTTGGTAATTAGCTATTCTAATTAAATTTTAAAACTGTTATGCGCCACACTTAGTATTTTTTATGGGCACACACTGCACTTTTATGTGTTTTATTGTGCAGCATATTGTACTGTGGCACCATACTTCTTCTTTCCTCTAGTTCAACCCAAGTACATTCAAGGTCTCGCCCTTCTTCCTCTCTCCCCGTCTTCATCTTTGCTCGTTTCAAGTCTTCTGTCAGCTTCACACCAACAGTTTAGTCCTAAAACGTGTAGCCTCCATCGGCTACGCTCTCTTCTGTCCTCACTATGAATGCTGTGCAGCAAACTACGCATACGTCTGACAAAAGGTCAAAGACAGCGGTTAGACTTTGAAGATTTCACTGGAAGCAAAACTGTGTTAGATAACTAATTCAGTGGGTGTGATCATAAATCAAGCTGGATGATTATAGCGACAAAAAGTTTCCTTAAATGTAAAGACTGCATGTCAAAGGCACTCATTATAAGAGCGTTAGTTAGTGGGATCATTCTGGCTGAGGTCTATGTTGTTTTGCTTCAGAGGCAGCATGGTAACATCTGTGCTCTTCAGTGGCCTCTGCAGTTAACTAATGATGACTGGGACTATCTGCACCGCCGCCACATCCTCCATGCACGCTTCTCTCTGCTCGGCAGCCTGAACTTTAATGTAACACACTTTCATGCAAGAAAGGAGCACGGCAACACGCATGCACACAAGCAAATTTCATGGGGTTAAAGGCAGTGAAGTGCTTTCTGCGGTCCCAGAGACACTCCTGAACTTTGATGACTAATGTTCTACGACCGGTTCTTCTGTGACTCGCACCCTTTAACTTCTCTCCAGTGAGGAAGAGCCGCATTATTATCTAACCGCATGGGACTGCATCCCCGGTTTCTATGGGGAAATATGACAGCTCCTCTCTCCCCGCTGTGGTCAGTGTCGCACAGAAACAGGGTCTGGTTCTGATCAGGCCTCGAGTCGGCACGTCTGCAATGCGTCATCCGCCACATGCTGCGGTCGATGGTTTCTCCACTATCCAAAAGTCTATAAGCCTAAACCAATAAGAGAAGAAAGTGCCTCTTTCATTCATTTGATTCATTGGCATTGCCTTGTGTCAATAACTACTTCTGGTGCCTGGAGATTGTGACAGAAATCAATCACTCAAGCTTTCTGTTATGAGTTTTTCACCATCAAAAAAAACCTTGAAGAGTTTCAGTTTCTGTGTTTTTCTTTTTTTTTTTTTTGTTTGGTCATTTTCTGGACTCAGAATAGTTAATAAATCCAACTTCATGTATCAGTGAGTTTCTCTCACAGCATTGCCCAGAGCTGAGCCATGGGCACCAGGAAGAGACTGACACACACCATGCCATGTACAAAACACTCAGTAAATTTTTAATAAGTAAATCTGGGGCACTTTCTTCATCTTTGAGACGACTTATAAATACTCCTAAGGACTTAGAGAGCCTCTGTATATTACACATGTTTCTACTGCAGGAGATTTTAATCCCCCTCTTGCCACATACAATATACTTCAGCGTAATTCACCTTTTGAAACCCTAAGCATGACGCATAACTGATAACTAGTCATAATAAAGGGAATTACATGCAGGGGTTTTGTGGATTTCTTGTTAAACCTCTCCATATGGGGTGGAAGGAAGGAGGAAGCAAGAACCATTAAGCTTCGCCTACATCAAACTAGTCCACCAACAACCTAAGCCTGACAATCTTAATCTGACAAACCGGTGCAGTTCAAGACTATTTCATTGATGTATGAACTTGAAAACCTGTAACAAAAGCCCCCAGAGAGTCTTTAAATCTAAGCACACCCTGAAAGATTCATCTGAGACGAGGCTCCGGTGTCTTTTCATCATCTGAAGAGGAATCCTGAGGTTTCAGCCCCATGTAGTGAACTGTGTAATGTGAGCAGCACAGCACAGAGAAAATATTCATACGCCTCTCTCGAACATCACTTAAGACCTCCGACTTGTATTTCAAACACTTCAACTTAGCTTTCATTTGTTTCCTCTCAAAGAACTTCCACCTTTTAAGCCAAGACCAGTGTATTTTACACACTCCTGCTGTTTTATGGGATATCACAAAAAAAGTGGTGCATGGATGGGCGGAAGCTCCAGCTCAGCGCCAGCTTAAGATGAATGTCAGCTCATCTCTCAGCAGCAGCTAATATCTCTTAGAGGTAGAGGAAGATAACCACAGAGGAGCCCGTCCACACCTGATCTGTGTTTTCCAACATGTGTTCAACAAAGCGGCTCAGAAATGACAAACAGGAGTGAATCTAGTTCACAAACACCAAAATAAAAGACAAAACCCGAACAGGAGGATAAGAGACAAGACATGGGCGAACAAATCGAGGCAACAGAACAAAGGAAGAACCTTAAAGATGAGCAATTTCATTTTAAGAGAGATGCGAGCGAGGGAAGTTAATCCATTTTATCGTCACCCACCACAGCACCCTTCATATGTGGTCTGTGGGAGTGGCAGGGGCTGGGCTGGCCTAGATACATGCAGAATGAATAAAGCTATAATATCCTTTGATACAAGTCTTTGAAACGTATTCAGCTCCCAGCAGCATCTGTTCCTACTTTTAATCTGGTTAGGGTGTTTCTCTAAATACCGTCAAGTATAACTGTCATCAGCGGGCGTTATGGATCCGATGATGTTACGCGATCAATGGCGTGCGCTAATTTAGAGGAAAATAATGTTGATAATCACATTAACTTAATTCTTTGGTTGATATTTTTCACACATTGGAGATTTTTAGAGAGGCACCTACAAAATACAAACACTAATATCAATGACTCGAGAGCACATCTTAAAGAGAGTTGAGGTTAGATTCTTGGCTCACACTCTACTCTCTATCTCCAACTATCTGTCCTCTGTGGCCTATTTATCCTCACCAACATCCAGCATCTGAGAAACGACCAGACCTCAAAGAGTGTGAAGCCTCTCCCCGTGCTCGTCATTACCATGTTTGTTTATCTACTGCTCTCTTCCCTCGGAGGAACACCCAGCCTTGTTAAGGAGGAGAGAAGAAAGCTTTAAAAGTGGAAATAAGGCATACATTTCAGTCCGGTCCCAGGACGACGTGCACGGTACCGAGCTATTTCCATAATGGTAGCTTAACGGGAGAGCTAGCCGGCTGAGCGAGGGGCACGTCGCCCTCATTAAGGCACTCGCTCAGGAACAGATTAGCGCTTCATTAACATACAGAGAGAAGCGGGGGGAAATTACCACTCTCCATTTCACAGTCTAAAAGGCAGGCAAAGACCAGAGTTAGAGATAAGTGGTGGGGAAAAGATGGACTCAATTTAGGGAGAGATAAAAATCGATGTACGGTATAAAATTTGCAATTAAGCTTTCCTGGATGTCTCTGACTGTAAATGTGCAAAGTAGAGTCACTTTTCTGTCAGTCTGTACCCATATTTATTCCAATCTCTGTCCGGCTTTCTGTTATTTTCACAGGTTTTTTTCCACCACTGTCACTTTGCCACATTAGCCTGCCATGTGCTCCGTGGAAAGAGGCCTGACTGGGCTTCATTTCATTAGTTAGAGAGCGGGTGGTGGCCCTGGCCTTTTTCTCTAACGCCATAAGTCCCAGAACCACCCACATCAACAAAGCCAGACTCCCCCTCCTCCTAATTAGCTTGGTGCTAAAGGGGAAGGAGACACAGTAGGACAGTATGCTGAACAATGAACCAGCTTCCACAGAAGTCAACCTGCTGGCAGTGCAGGTCAAGCTAAAGCTATAAATCCTTAAGTTTATTCATAATAAGCTCCTTAAACTATATCGCTAATGCACTTATGAGGGTGATTTGACGTTTATTTAACTTAGCTGACTGTAATGTGGTGGCTGCAGTTCCTTTCTGTCTGCTCACATTCAGAAGTCAAAGATCAAGAAGCAAGTTTTAAGGGGGAAAAGATTAATTAGCCTTTTGCAGCAGTGGACTGAGTTTGAAAAAAAGACCAAACAAAGCCTCGGCGAGAAACTCTGATTAGGGATTCTCAAGCTAATTCTCCAAATGTATGTGGACATTGTGTGCGGCAAATTCCCGTCCCGCTAACCTGCCCTTCACCTCCTCATGTCCAAATCTTTAAGTCAAAAATTCCACTGAAGTGTTTTTAACCTTTAGATTTAGCGGGGGCCTAATTAGTGTGACTACCTGTCATAAGAAAGCGGAAATATCTGGACTTCATGTGAAAACACCCAAACCTAACTTGATGAAGCGTCTAATTAGGAAAGCTACCTGAAGTAGGACACTTCCATCAGGGAGAGAGGAACTTTCCTCACCTTTAACTTTGTCTGATGACTTTTGCACACTTCTGTCCTAATGTTTCCGACCTGTGAGAAACTAAATATTTTAACCTTTAAGAGATATTTAATTAAGGAGAGAGCTGCCATAACACTTGGCCATTAATATTAAAGATGTCTGATCTGATGCTACATCCTCTTCTTGGAGAGTCTGGATGATTCTGATGCAAAGTTTGACACAAAGTCAGACTGTTTTGACCTTTGCTCTGTGTAATGATTGAAACAGCCACAGTCATTTAAACCTTAAAGCAGGAGACAGCCACAGGGAGTCAGTGCATTAAATTCTTGTCCGTCACATTTGTTCCCCCGCTGTTATTAACAAGTACACTTTTCCTGTGGTATTACAATGCATTGCCCTTTTCCTTACATCTATCTAACATCTATACATCTGACACCTCGCCTTTCACCTGGGCTCACCGGGGAGAAACTGATTATCGAAGAGGTTGGTGGGCTATAATTGTCCATACAGTCTGAGCTGACTTCAGCCGGGAGTTACTCAGACTGAGCAGTGTGCTCGGGGCTAATGAGTCATGCTTCATTCTGAGAAGAATAAGAATAAGAGTCCGATCTCTGAACTCAGGCTCACTGAAGAACATTAACCTTACAGGAGAGTGATTTTACACCGCTCATAATTTGACTTTTCCTTTTTTTTTTTTTGGACTGGCAGAAGTGTATCACCTTACACAGGTTTTATTTTAACCTAAGTTAAGAGGAAAGGTCAAACGTAAGATAAAAGAAAAAAGAGGGTAAGTTTATAGCTCTACTGATATGAGATTAGTGATATTACAGCGCATACAGTATGACACTGAAAAAGTGCTCTTATTGAAGTGGGCTGTCTAACTTTGTAAGGCACTAAACTCTTTTCAATAACCGTCAAAGGACTAATACACTATTTTACAAATTGGCTCTCAGAATTTGAAAGTTAAGGTCATAAAAAACTCAGAGTAGAGGGAAAAATTTGCAGAATGCTATTCCGCTGCAGATCAAACCTTGATACTATCCAATTTTTTTTCTTTTTTTATTCAGACCACATACAAAAAGTATGATTCCCGCACAAACTCTGCTTTTTCACGGTTTCCCCCAAACAGTCATTATTAGATTTCAAAGTCCTTACACTAAGAATCCAATGAATGCTCCTTACAGCCCTGTCTTTTGGATTTAGCATAATGATTTTATAAATTAGGGATCAGTTTCCAGACAGACTGAGTTCATTACAATCCAACCATTTCACAGACACCAAAAATAGTTGATGTGACACAGAAAGCCACAAGCTATTCAAAGATATCACAGCTGCTGGGATTTGAGTTTGCCTCACTAAAACACTGAAAGACAGAAGAATGAACTCCATTATACATACTATGACCACCTAGGAGAGTTATAATATGAATATGTACATCATACTGTTGCAGCCAGATGGGGTAGAACTGAGATGGCAGCTAGAGGAGAAGAAAAGGGAGTCTGTTTAAGGAGTGTTTTTATGTTTCTCTTTGTCTTCTTTTCCTCAATAAAAGACCTATCCTAATTCCTAGACTGGATAAATTTACAGTGTCATATGAGCCCATGTGGACTCTGCATATAAACGTATGTATATATTAATTACTCGTTGTTAAGTACATGAAAAGTATGCCAGCATGCCTGATAATAAAAGATGAAACCTGACTGTTAAAGGCGGTGAGAAAACTAAATTACAACATAATGAGCTCATCCTATGCTGTGAAGTTCACTATCACCTCTCATTAGTCTGCCGTATATCTGAGTCAGTGTCAGAGTCAGACAGAGAGCTGTAAAATAAGAGGAGAGTGGGAAGTTGTGCTGACTTATAACCTGGATGTGTAATAGCAAAGAAAAAGTCATATATTTGGGGAACTTAACTCTTGTTTTACTAGATTTCTGTCCATCTGATTTATGCCAGGGTGTTCATTTCTGCAAGGGGTGATGTTTTAAGATGTTATTGGATGATATAACTCCACAATCAAAGGCTCTGATGAAAATGTGGCTGCTGTGTGTTCCAGATTAGCAGAGCAGAGGGGGAGAAAAAGTGTGATGACCACATTAATACCAAGTCTTTGCACTTTCCATGTCCTCAGGTGTCTGCCTCAAACAGACACCAGAAGCTGTCTTGCTGTGGATGTGTCTATGGACAGTCACAGGACAGGACCCCACCGGTTGAACAGGGGTCAATCCTTAATCAAATAGCATCTGCAAACCTTAGTGACCTCCTTAAACCTCCTTGTCAGAAAAAAATTCATTTAAGGTTCCAAAACAGCAAAGCAACGGACAGAAAGCCAACCTCCAGACGCAGCAGGGTGCCACACAAACCAATAAAGTCATGGTGGGAGCAACTCTCTTTTTTACACAGTGTACGTCCTTAACAACAAAACTGTGCTCTCGCCACTGCTGCCTATGGAAGAAATAACTTTAAGATACTTCAAGACAGAGGAGGTGAAGTTTCAACGTTCTGTATGTGATGAGTTTTGCCCGATGTTAGGCACAGCAGTTGACCTATAATTAACATCAACCCTATCACCATAACACCACAGGGGTGCCATTAAGTTAATGTTTTTCCTCTGCAGTGTAAATGCAGTTGTCATGGGAATTCAACCAAAGCACTTATCATCTGGAAGGCAAACAAACAAGAAGTCCTTAAAATTCTCAGAGTGTTTGAGAATCTCTGCAGCTGAACAGTTCTTGAGGTCAGTCACAACGCCCAGAAAAGATGCTTCATGCATCTAGTGGTGACAATATGTGACAGTCTCATCTTTTAAAGAGAGACCCATGCACACTTTGTAATTAACTGTTGACAGAGTACATTCATTTTTGTATAATTAAGTACTGCTTATGTCACATACTGAGTGAGGCTCCCAGTGTTGATGTATTAACTGTATTCACTTCAGGTCCAGTATTAAAACTATAAAAGAGGATTAGGGCCACATGAAGAAAAGAGAAATAATAACAGGAAGGAGATTAAAGTCAAAATTCGAGATTAAAGTCAAAATTTCGACATTAAAAATATCGATATTATGTCAATTAAGTCATAATTTTGGGATAAAAATTTAAATTTCGAGATTAAAGCCGATATTTGGACATTAAAAAAATCTAAATTATGTCAATAAAGTCAAATTTCGAGATTAAAAAATGGAATTTTGAGATTCAAGTCAAAATTTAGACATTAAAGAAATCAAAATTACGTCAATAAAGTCCAAATTTCAGGATAAAAAATTGAAATTTCAAGATTAAAGTCTAAACTTCTGGATTGAAGTTGACATTCAATAAAGTCGAAATTTGGAATTTTAAACTTGGACTTTAATCTTGAAATGGAAATAAAAAAAATCTCCCTTCTGACGTTATTTTTTTCTCTTCTTGTGGCCCTAATCCTCTTTCGTATTAAAACACAAATTGCGTTTTTATTTGGTCACCATTTTGTCCATTTTGGTTCAACAAAGTCAAGTTGTCACTTCTTGCTTCCTCCAGCCACTGCAGTGGAATATGACACCACTGCACTTGTGAATATTTATATAAATATTTCTCTATATTTTATCTTTTCTAATTAATTTCAGGAATCCAAAAGTCCCTTTTGGTGATAGTATACTGAGCCAAATACTTTTGTATTTATTAATGAATACACACAACGATGTTTCAAACTGGTCATTGGCCATCCTTCTCTCTGAAAACTGGTATCAATCAACAACTAGATTTGATTTAAGTGGACTTCAAAAGGGTTTTCAAATGCAAAACAAGAACATCTCTTAAAAAGAGGATGAACTCAAATCAAATACTGACATTAAAAGTAAACAGTGATTAAAAATAATCATTTGAAAGTTCTCATTCTAACTTTTTCGTTTTGATTTCTGCCACAAGACTGCAGTGTAAGAGTTCACATTATTTTCATCATCCAGTCAAACTCAAATTCAGTACAGAGGTCACATTCTCATCATTGCAATATAGACACAGTGTCTGTCTGTGTGCTACAAAGCTCTGCATTCCTGAAATAAAACTCATCTCTGAAAAATAACATCAGAGACCTTATTCAACCTAATGCAGTACCCTAGATTCTCCTCTTTCAACATCTCACAGAGGAAGAAAAAACAGATATGAAAGCTTTGATTGTACTTTATCCTTGAAGTGTAAAAAGTAAACGAAGCCAAAGCCAAAGAAGAGAAAGAGAGAGGGGAAAAAGCTGTAGAAAAGAAGCGTCAGGTGTCACCTAGATTCCACAGCCACCCTTTAGTCTTTCATGACCAAATCAAAACACAGCCAGTGTTTCTCCTCTTCATTGTCAACCCCTTCACTGTCTCTCCCTTTTGCCTGGCTCTTCCATCCATCCATCAAGAGGTGTTTTTCTAACCTGAAATTGCACAAACACACACACACACACACACACACTTACACAGAGACATACTAACACACCACTATTAACCCATCAATCTCACATCTGAACAAATACCACACATGCCTACATGCTCACACATGCACACACACAAACAGACACACATCATCGCCACCTTTAACTCCTCCTGTCTCCACACTCAAGTCGTGATCGCCTTCTGAGATGGGAGAGGCAGCGGAGAGGTAACCACTGAAACGCTAGAGTTGTTTTTAAGACACGCTTTTACTTTCTTAGGTCAGAATGTTTCCTGCAGGAGGAAGCTCCTCATCTTGCCAACTTGGTAAAAGGTCCGTGAAAGGTTTTTTCGGTGTTTCAGGATGATGTCTCTCTCAAAAATGGATGACTTCTGTCAACTTAAGTGCCATGCTGAAAATGCAATCCTAAACTGAACTTTGCCTTTTACCGTCAGAGCAACAGATGAGGTGGCATCTAACTTTAAAACCCTTGATAAAACCCGGGTTAATAATAAACTTTATCCTGTATACATGGTATGTGAATCCAAATCTCAGCCTCAATATGCCACAAAAAACACCTTCTTTGGGATATTCAGGATATCTTTGAGTTTTAAGACTGTGTGAGTAACACAGCCAAAGGAAAAACTGGAATGAGCCTTCAGACAGAATTAACCAAGTTCAAACCATTTATGACAAATATGAACCCTTAAAAAGGTGCCGTGTGTTTGTGTGTGTGTATGTGGGAGACCAACTCGCTTTGAGGGCTCTCCCATCCCCGCTGTGACTAAAAGGATTGTGGGGATTTTTGACGTAATGGCAGGGGGAGAAAACTTTATTGGGAACCATCGCCAAAAGGCAGAGAGGGATTTTTCTTTTACATTCCCACCTTCCTCCCTTCTTCCTCTTCTTCTACCTTCTCCTCCCCCTCCTCACTTCCATATCTCCTTATTCTGCTCTCCACACTGATGTGTCTTTTTAGAGGCTTCAGAGCCCCGGTGTCTTATCGAGGCTTCCCAGGTCTACAGGCGAGGCTGAGGAGAAGCCACGTCAACTCCACTCTCTGCTATCAGCCCCGTGGCAGTCACAATGAGGCCGACATGCATACTGGAGCGAGCACATTTACACAGATACACATGGAAATAAATGCACACACACACAAAAACAGGTTTATCAACCCCAAACAAAAGTCTGGAGTAGACTTCAGTCGTCCTCCTAGAGGGCCTCAGCAGAAAGAAAAATAGTGCTTAATGGACATAATTGTAAAATGCTTTATGCAAACTGTCAAGAGGAACTGGACCAGTAAACAGAGACTGGGAGAGCTTACAGCAAGCTGACAGTTCATTTAAATAAGATGCTGAACACATCTGAAACCAACCACTCAGAGACAGGAAATGCATACAGTCAGAGTGATTTTAAGAGAAAAAAAAACTGCTTTTCTCTTTTTCTACCATCTGAAACCATCTATCCTGCTGAATTTGCTTTTCCTCTGTCACAGAGACAATAATGGCACACATCTATCCGACTACACCTGTTTGAGTAAGGTTTGTCTTTCCCACGCTTTGCCTCCAATCTATCTGGGCTGTCTGTCACATCTTAATTGACATATCGAGACTGTTTGTTATTTTAGGGCGGATAACCCAGAGTGAGTCATGTCATCAGACGGGGGAAAAACTGTGAAAAACATTCCTGAAAACCAAATTCATGTACGGTCTGCCATGCGACACGCTAACAGACACGCATGCAGAAAGATGAGATATGCAGGCTGCTTAGCTCATTGTCCATTGTTCCCTTTAGCTCTGCAGGTGTGATTAGCAGATGAGCAATCTGAACCAGCCTATTGTTTTACTCAGTGCCCCAGAAATCCCATGCACACACACACGCGCACAAACACACGGCCATGGCTAATTACATGCTTTGAAATGAAAATATCTCTGTGCAAAGCTCTCAAAGCAGAGAGTAAATAAAGTTTGCTCTTCATTCTTGAGCATCAGGGGAGTGTGTGCGAGTTAAGGAGGAAGAGGGGTGAGCTGTAGCATGACGGAGAAACACAGTTCTGCATACTTAAATCCCTCCACCCAAATGAGCGGCAGTTAGCAGAAGGCGTACAAACACGCCAGGAGGATCAGCCAGGGTCATCTATCCATATCGTCGTGACATTAAAGTTTCCTGGCTGAGAGAGTTTTTGGCTAACATCACTTAATGAAAAGAGACTTTCATTTAAGATAACATTCATTAAATGTGTGAAATAATTAGAGACTCTATGAGGCTTGAAGTAATGTAAGATATGTTACACTCCTGCTTTGGGAAATTTGTCCTCTTCATTTGACCCATCTGATATAATTAGAAACAGCAGGCACTTGTAGCCAAGCACCCAGTGACCATCTTCACTTCCTCAGTCAAGGGTAACAGCAGGAGTATTCCCAGTGTGGTATAATTTGGATGGAAGGAAAATAGCACACCCAGAGGAGGGAAATGCAAATACGAGATGAGTTCCACCAGAAAGTTGAGCCAAAGTGAAAAAAATACATAGATGTAGAAGATTGACTTTCCCAGACTTTTCCTGCTTTGACTTTTCCTCTTTATACTCTTCACTCATCCAGTGTGATCAGCCACTGTTTGACTCTTGTGCAAGAAATTATTTGACGCCTTCAGCTAATGTTCAAACCGGCAGCATGAAATAACAAAGACTTTATATCTTGGAGATTACTTGTCAGAACAAAAATAATAAAATAACCATCACACCCAAAATGAGAAAAATATTGCCTCGGTGCGTTGGAGTGTGTGACATTTACCTCCGTTAGCCTTTGTTTTCTGTGGGTTTTCTATCACAGCTGTGCGCAAAGTGAAATGCCAGCTGTTTTACATTACTAAGAGTTCAGGTGTCTTGAGAAACACAACAGGATGGGATGGAAATTACTTGCAGGATGCAGTTAGATGCAAACATCAGCGGGAATGTTTTTGTTTGTAGTTATTTTGCATTAAAAAGAGAAACAATAAAGCCCACTTAAGTGTGTGATTTTAAATTTTTCAAATGAACCAGTGGCAATACTGCATGCAACTGAATAGTGGTTATACAATGATCTTAATTACAACTAGGGATGGGCGATATGGGCTTAAGAAAAAATTATCACAATAAAATTTGCCAGTCCCATTAAAAATATTATAATTTTACTCTGTATTTTTGACTCATTTTGTCTTCCCACACCAACACCAGTTGGAATCGTCAAATAAGAGGTTATGGAGAAAACTAATGACATCAAACAAATCTCAAATGTAAAAACATTTTCAATATGTATTGAAAACTCTTATTGCACAGAGTGAACAGCAGCAGATCAACTGTCCTTTGTCAGGCACACCTGACTGCACTCATCTAAACCTTCTCATTCAGTAACGAGCTGCTAAGTGACATCCTCTTTATTGCGTTCAGCCATGTTTGTTTTGTTATTCTGATCTGTGTGGGCCATGGCTGTGAGTCTGCCGCTCACACTTGCGTCATCAACTTGCATTTATCATATTTATCATGAGATGGCAAATATTTATCAGTTTAACAAGATTGTCCATTGTGAATATGCAGTGAATTATTGGTTCTCAACCTCTTTTTCTTTCATACCAGAAATTCAGGGCCCCCTAAAGCCCTCTCAGGAAAAGTGATGCATCACTGTCAAAACATGCATTCATTTTAATACTTTCACCAACAGAAGTGATAAAAAAATGCTTTTGTCACTGTTTTATTCACTGGTAGAACTAATTAAACTATCCAACTAGTGTGTTTTAATGGTTTTAGTTCAACGTGCAAATCTAATTTTGACAACCTCAGAGTAGACAAAGCTCCACACCCCCCTGAGATCTCCCCCCTTGGGGCAGCCCAGACTCCAAACTGGAAACCAGTGTAGTAAATTACTGTCATGGTGACTGGAGTTCCTCTTGAGTTTTTGCCAAAAAAGTCGGCAAATAGCTGTAAACATTTAAAGAGAGCCTTTTTGTGCTTATCTGACTCATCTGATCTTGTGCAATATGGACCAAAGCAGTGATATTACTTTGACAATACTGCCATAACACTGTTTGCCTTCTACAATACGGCTACCCCTAAGACACAGTGTGGGGTCCGTCTGAAGAATATACATATTTTTATTCGGTCATGAAGCCCATTAATGTCTGTGTAGTGTATATAAAGAGCACTGCAAACTCGGAGGACTTGTCAGAGCTTCTTTCTGGTGCTGCCACCAGAGCTTTCTGTTGTTTTCCAAAGTAGCAGATCTAATGAGGATGTCCCCGTTCAGTGAGCACAATGTTTTGTCAGTTTATTTCCAGAGCATACGGGGGCAGGACTAGCTCTGACAGACAGGCGTGTTTCCTTACTGTCATATTTACATTGTTGTAAAGATGAAGATGAAGGCTGTGCGAGTGCATATGCGGTGAATCCCATCGTGTTATTGTTGTTAAATCAGAATAAATTATGTTATTTTCTTGGCTATTTAGAGGATATCAGTGATCGACTCTTTGCCTTGGACCTATGGAAAGTTAAAGGGGAAGATGCTTTCTGTAGTAGTCAACAGAGTGCACAGATGCAGTAAGTGTTCAGTGCAGGATGCATAAGTAATGATGATTTTGTCCTTTTATGTGCGCGTGCTTTTATCCATATATGACGGGGCCAAACTGTCTGAAACATGGAGGCAGGAGACGCCTACATGAAGAAGTGGGTTCTGACACTTGTGCTAGACTTAGAACAATGAGGATTATGTCTGTACACCCACTAACACTGGCATGTTCTGGCCTATCTGACAAGCTGTCATCTTCAGCATTGTTCCCTCTGTACTACTGCATAGTGACAAATCATGGAAACAAAACTGTTTGTGTAGGAGAAAAGCAGAGATTTCAGGCAAAATGTCAGATTGCAGTACATAATCTCCGCCACTGGCAATCACTCCAACAGCCAAGCTGGAGTCATTGGTTTGAATCCACTTTCTGTGCTGATACTGTATCAAATATAGAGCCGACGCATTATTGACGTTATCAGACATCTAAGCATGTCCTTCACCATTCACGTCAAATGCACAAAGACGCTTATGCTGAAAAGAAGAGCCAACAGCTACCACCCTTCTTAAAACAATAAGTTGTTTGCCAGTGTCGGTTTTATTTGCCTCTCAGTGACGCATTATTCAAACTGAAAATAAATGCAACCTTCAAGCTGTTGAACCAGCACCAAGTCACAGCTGGGAGCCACTTGAAAGGTTTTAGACTTGGTTGGAAATGCGGGGATATATTCAGATCACTGAGGGGAAATATGGGGCTACGGTTGTGTGTTTGAATGCGAGTGTGTGTTGCAAATGATGCTTGTACAACATTGGAGTGCATGTGAGTGCATGTAGGTGTGTGCATGTGTGTGTAGCATCATTAGAGGAAGGTCAGTGTGACACCACCAACACTACTTCATAAATAATGTAAAACCATACAGGAATTAGACTTTATAATTACACCTCTCCGCGGCACTACAGAGGCAGTTTGCATGTATGTACATGCGCACACTGTGTGTGTGTGTGTGTGTGTGTGTGTGTGTGTGTGTGTGTGTGTGTGTGTGTGTGTGTGTGTGTGTGTGTGTGTGTGTGTGTGTGTATACAGTCTAATTAGCTCCAGGAGAATTACAGTGACCATTAGGATGTAGCTTTAGTTAGGAATGGGGTTAGGTAGGGAGCACTAGGCTAAAAATGCCTCGCTTTATTAGAATTTTAGTGGTTTTGTTTATGTGGGCGTGTATGCCCGTGTGTGCAAGTGAAAAAAAAAAACTTGCAAGACAAATATGTGAGAGAAAAGAGAGAAATTAGAGGCAGACAAAACATTAAGAAATACACATGCATGCTCACAGGCTTGCACTGGATTCTTATAAATGAGCAGGAGTGAAGGGCTCGTGTTTATAAAGTGAGTGTACATGAGTGTTGCACTTGTTGCACTTTAAAACCAGCATCTGTGACTTAGCGTCAAACTGCACATGGTATTTGGCTGCTTCTCTAATGACATTCAGCTCTGACAGAGAGGGACTGCATGTCACTCCAATTAGAGAAACCACTCCCCTGTACGGCAAGCTGTTAGACAAACCTCAAACCCCCCATCCCCCCAGCAAATTTGGGGATGAATTATTGAAAAGGGCAGTGCTGAGCACCTTGATGAGGTTGGCACATTTGGCTGGCTGAATGGTCAAACAGGCACAGCTTGAGGAAAGAGGAGAAAGGCCACTGCTATCTCAGCAGACCAGAGTGTAGCTGCTCCACTAGTTGTGTCTGGAAGTTCAGCCTTATCACGCAACATGCCGGACTGTCACCCATATAACCCTTAGGGCATCGTGATCTAATGTAGGGCAGGTTAAAGGCTATATTAAAATGTATAGACTCATATAAAAGTGATTCTTTTTGATAATCAATTGTCCCTCAATTAAAATAAATAAAGATGTCAGATGTCAAAGGTGCCACTTCTGGATGTTGATTTTTCTAATCTCCAGTAAGAAAATGCCACTTTTCTGCCCTGAGGCCCCAGAAAAACAACTGTCCTCTTAATTTCTTAATTAAAATGTAAATGCACATTTCTCCAAGAGTGTTTAGGAGCTCATAATCTATAACAAGAACATATTTTCAGGCAGATGACTATCCTCTGCAGATGTCGGTCACATTTGCCCTTTAAAAATATAGCTGAGAGTTAAGCAGCTCAAACAAAAGTGGAAAGGCCACAGACACGTCTGCCGCTCAGCAGGGATGAAGCTAAATTTGTTGTATTGAGTGACATGCACTCTGTCTCACCTCTTATTAAAAACTGCACCGGGTCAGGAAAATGATCATGAACTATGTGCATCACTTTTCCATTTTTAATGCTGCTTCAAAACATAAGTTAACTTATGAGTCCTTTCTACTTTAGTGCCATCCACCATTATTTACTTAAACTTCATCATTACAAATACTATCGCTGCTATGCTATTACTAATTCTATAAACCTAGTGACTTGAGTTTGTTATCATAATCATGCTGTTCCTGTAATAGTACACATACTTGTGTCATTATCTCTGGCACTGTTACCGTACAATTGTGCATACTATTGTTGTTGTTGTTGTTGTACTATGTCTGCACAACAGCAGTTTAAGGTGCACTCCTATTGTTTCCCTGACGTGTCTGTGGACAAGAATATGAACCAACATTTTTAGTCGTTTTCTTTTTATCCACGTTAGAATGCCATTAGTGATGAAAAACTAGTAAATTACCCCTTCTCCCTCTCTCTCTAGTCCCCCATAGGTGTCCTGAGTAGAGCTCACACATCTACTCTGTAAGTAAAGATAGAAAGACAGAATAAACAAATAAAAATAGGACTAAGTACAAGCTTACGACTCTAGGGGCAGTGTGAATACACCAGCACTTTTCCTGTTGATCTCTAACTTTATTATCTGACAGAAGTTCCATTTATGTTTTTTTAAAAACAAAAGTCTCCTCAGGTAATAAAGTAATCAAAGCATAAATCAGTAAAAAAGCAACACAAAAGGTTCACAACAAAAACACAACTATCACCTTTTAAAGGTGTAAACACAAACTGGGTTACTCACTTTCTTAAGACTTGTGAAAAAATTCTTATTGAATTGAATTTTACCATAACCAATAGTATAGTGTTGTATTATACTGTTATATCTAATAACATCATATACTAAGTGAAAAGTAATGCTAGTTAGATTGCATACTATTAGTTTCATTCAATCGTTTTTTTTTTTATAAATATTTAAGTAAGATTTCTGTTCATTTTAAAGCACCTATAAGGATTTTTTTCAGATAGTGGCTATTGTGTCACAATTAGCCCCTACTTATCTTGACTGATTTGCTTAAGTCGTGACTTTTGATTAAAAAAAATCTCATCCTGCCAACTTTTGACAGTCAAATGTATTTTTTATTGTGAACATTTTATGTAGAAATTGCAAAATTGCAACGTACATTTTGTACATAGTCTATTCTATTTTATTCAATTTTATTTTGTACTATTTTATTTCATAATTTATTTCATTTTTGTACTCCACTTTCTTAGGAAAACACCACTCCAAGCTGTTTTAATTTCGTTGCATGCCTCGTACAATGACAATAAAAGTCTGAATCTGAATCTGAATCAAAAGACTGGGCTTTTTCTTCTGCTGGTCAGCTGGCACCTACCCCCCTCACACCAAGGTAAGGTATTAAAAATGACAAAAAATAGATAGTCAACCTTGTCCCTGATGGTGTTGTTTGCTTTAGGATATAACATAAATGCAACAATATGAATTTCAGTTTTTTTCATAAACATCAAACAAACACAAACGTGACAAAAATAGGTTTACATGTACTATCTGCCTTTATACAGTTACTTTCAAGGCAGGAGCATCAACAAAAGGTTAGGATATTTTGAAAGTGCAGCAAAGAACAGTCTAGTAAAAAGCAGCACGACTGACTGACAACCTTAAAGAAATGTCACCTGTGCTCTGAGTATTGGCTTCCCATCATGAAGGCACAGCCGATCAATTGTGCATGAGGGTATCGAATGAAATGTATTTCTTTGTTTTGCTGCAGCTGACAGAAGAAAACAACAGCAGCAGTACATCACCCATTCTTTAATGCGTTTTCTCCATTTTCCTTATTTTTAAACAAAGCCGCATCAAGTACCATAGGGATATCCACTTAAATGAGTCTAACTCAGCGTATTGAAATCTAATTTACATTTTACTTTTTGTAACATTTCAAAAGCTCTCATATAATTCACTTGACAGCCGAATGAAAACACTGCGACAGAGCCACCCGGATAACTAAACTGTTCCCCGCTCTTTCATGTGCATGTGTATGCGTTGGAGAAATAAAGAGTGTGTTAGCCGTCGCTGAGCGTTGATTGAAGCCGCTGATGACAGAACGGTGGCACCGGGTTCTCTTCAGTCGTGCTCCCCAGGCCCCTGACCCACCTAATTGGTTTTCAGTGTTTAAAAGACCGAACCATCAAAGACACGACTGTCAGTCTGACTGCTCTCCCTTTTGGATTCAGCTTTCTCTATTATTTATAACTGACACAAAAACTTTCTGGGATACTCTCTAAAATATAAAAAAGAGAAACCACACATTTATACCCTCGTCTGCTGACAAACTAAGGTGATCATGCAAGCAAGCTCACGCATCATCTGCAAACACACACATAACACAGAGGCAGGGACAGCAAAGAGAATATATGACCAAAAGGAGCTGCATCAGTGTGTGTGTGTCTGTGAGGATTGGGGATGTGTGTGTAGAAGTAAGGAAAATAGTGACGGACAGTGTGTTCGAATGTGTTTGAGTTTCAGAAAGAGAGACTTTTTGTGCGTCTCTGAGTGTGTTCAAAGCCTTCACATCTCTGTACAGATTCTGCAGAACTGTTCTGACAGTGCAGAAGTACAAACACTGACACAAGTTCTGTGGGAGGTTTTTTTGCTCCAAACAATACAGGAAAAAAAAAAAAAATCTCATGCTTGTGATCAAAGCTGCAGAATAACCCAAGGAAACGTCACCGCATAATCCCAGCCATTAAAAATAGGCTCATAAATTCTAGTTTAACTTTGTTATGCGCTAAAATAAATGTCAAACACATAATGGACTTGGAGGCTCAAATGTTAAATATAAATCGCTTGACATAGAACCTTAAACAAACGGAGAATATGCCTCTGTCTTTTCCAGCTCTACAAATAGGCCAAACTTCAAGAAGTCCTCATTGCTAAACAAACAGCCTCTTTTCGCATCAAGACGTCAGAAGAAACGACGGCACCACGACAAACAAGGAGTCTTTCCTGCCTCCCGCGCATTCATCTACAGTCATATCTCATCTGCTCAGCTTTGTTTTGACCAAACATGTCCCTTAAACTCCACCCTGCTAATCTCTGCCTATCTGCTCTACCTTCCTTCAAGGCTGCACAGTGGGATCGAGTCTAGCTTTGATACTGGGGGGCCTTGATGCAGCAAAGATATCTGCTCCAATCTGAACTTGTTTTTTTTTTCCTTCTTTGATGGGTCTCCATCTTTACCAGACATGCACTACTGGATGCAGCTCAAACCAGGAGAAAAACCTGGCTCTAGCTCTTCCCACCCACACATGTTCAGCTATACACACTACAAAGACACATGCACGCACTTTTATCCCGGGCTTGGTTTCCTCTTTAAGATGCCAATCAAACATTCATCACAACTTGCTTTTGGACTTCTAGCGACAACATCTTTCTCTTTACCTGCCTGTCTGATGTTCGCTTTCTCTCTGACGATATCGTAGCGGAAAAAAAGGCAATATGAGTTTTGTCAATATCGCGGGGCAGATTCTCTTTCATTCTCCCCCCTTTCTTCTACTGTGATGGTGCTCAGAGCGATAAGGCCTGCCTCTATTATTAGCAGTGTAATAGAGGGCTGTGCTTGTGAGGATCTGACAAGGAGATGATAACAAAAGTGCTTACTCCTCCGTTCTCCCCGCGCTCCTCCTATATCATTTAGAAAACAGTCGCAGTGCAGCAGCAGATCATGCCCAGCTAATGGCCTCCAAATATTACCACTGCCACAGTAAGCAACACTTACCATTACTCAGTTTTTACTGGCATTAAAGAGAACATCATTAAGTTTAAGAATTTATCTGTTGTTCTACTGCTCTACCATGGCCCAATAAATACTGGTGAGCACAACAACCAGATGCCAAATAAAGAAGAAAAATTAACAAAGAGTTTCCCAGAACAGCTCTCAGGATTGAGTTTCCTATTATGGACTCACAGCTGCTTTGTTTGAGACTTCATACCTCCTGGTTTTTGGCAGTCCTCAACCAAAACATGTATCTGTAGTCTCAGAAAATGCCCTTGGGTGTATTTCTAGATGCATTTATCATCTCCTCCAAATTATTATCTTTGGAGGAGATCCAGATTTGACACCTGGTGACATCATGAAAGTGATGAGCAGAGTCCAAGTTCATGAAGTTCACTTCAGTGGGAGTAAAATCCTTTGCTACCAAATATAGACTGGACTCTGTTTGACCGAGCAGCAAACATGCAGTAACAAACTCAGTGGAGATCCTCCTAAAAAAATAAACTTCTCCGACAACTTGGATCCTTTTTTTGTTTGTTTTTTGATCTTTTTGCATTTTAGGCCAGTTACATTAGTCAGTCAAAGTTTAGCACAACTATTAAACCACCAGCCTTCAACTCTTTGCAGGATACCATCCACATGCCTGAGCTTGTTTTACATTGCATCATACATATACACCAGTTTAACCAAAAACAGGCTAAATACAACTTAATCTCAGTTTTCTCATGCACTGTGCTACAAGCTGCCATCTGAGCTTGTTTACATCCAGGCTGTTGAGCGTTATTGTGGCAGAAGCATTTAAACAGATTTGGGTGGCTCTGACCCACTCTGAAGAAAATTGTGTTTTTTCTTGTTGTCTACATGTTTATATGACATTTTTCTGATGCAACAGGACATATCATGCTAAAACTAAGTGCCAAATTGCATTGCTGAGTATTTCAGTATTCAAATCGCTGTGAATCTCCGACAGACCCGTACTGCAGGCTCAGATTCTGTGAGATTTCCTATGTAGCAAATCCAAGCTCCACCCCCGGAGCCCCGCTATGCAGGTGGCACTCAGAAAAGTAGAGAAGACATTTGCGGTACAAGCGTATGCGTTAGTGGATTGCTATGCTCCTAAGCAAGCTAATTATGATATTAGCTTTCATCATGCCGCTAAAGACTTTAGTATCTGAGAGCTGAATAGCTCCGATTACCTGCCACTTCTACTACACCTGCAAAGTTAGGCTACAAACTATCATGAAGAGGAGTGTGCAGAGCAGCACTGTCACCTTATTGCTTATGAGCTACTGGAGCTCTGCAGAAGAAAAGCCCTCGGAAATGACACAGGTAACGTGATTTTGGCTAAAAATTTAATAATCACAACTTCAAGACACTTTAAGTAGTAAAATTACTGATCGAAGTGAGACTTTAATAATCTGTTTAAAAAGTGGTAACTGGTGCTGACTAGTGAGATGGACAATATTTGATTGTTCAATCGACTAAAGCCAGACATCACTGATGAGCAGTACATTCATAAGCTAAATGTTTCATTGAAAACTTAAGTTCAAAAGGTAGAGGTAAAGCAGTGAACATGATTTTTGTTAAACTATACATAACTTCCTAAAGTAGGCCATAAAAGAAACAGAATTTAGCTTGATTGATTTTTTAATCTTACTTTGTGTGAAGAATTTTCAACAGGTTATAAAACAAACTGACATTAACAGTGATGTATTTTTATTACCAATATAAGCTAACACAACCATCAGTAAAAAAACTGACACTTTTCTGAGTTTTGATTTTAATATCCCAAACTTTTTGTTTGGGACCACCTAAGGCTTCAGGCGCTTACATACGGCCATTTTGTGTCTATATGGAGCTCTGTATTCACAAGCTATGCCCCTCACGTTTCCATGGCACCATAATGCAATGTACAGTCACCCACTGGAACACTAGTATATTACACCAATGAGTCATTGTGAGGAAGCAAAAGGGCACTGTGATGGCTGAGTTGACTACTGCACTGTTGCACTATTGCAGTGTGTATGTGGCTTGCGTTCACTTCCTGTCTGATCATGTGACTGCTTGTCTGCCTGCCCCACGTCACATCGTTTTATCTACTATCACCAAAAAGGAAATTGATCGGACAAGATTTTCTCTTCTAACCTATGGTGAGACACGTGTGCAGACACCTACACTCAAGTCGCATGGCAGAGAAGAAACAACATGAACAACAACCAATTAACATCTCAGCAGACACCTAAATGTACCCAGTCTGAGGGATTATGTGTGAAGACCTCCTGCTGAGCAAGTGTGCGAATTTTTTTCTATTGTTAAAACAAAAAAAACGCAAGAAAACAAGACAGCATGCTCTTTTCTCTATGGGCTCATGCGACAACATGATTATTACACCATGTGTCTGCGCCTTTTCTCAGCTGAGAGTCAGTAACAACCATTGTGTGTGTGTGTCTGTGTGTGTTTGTGTGCATGTGTGTGTCTGTGTTTGTAATGTATTTAGAGCCGACAACAGAGCTTTAAAGGCAACCAAAGCCAGAGTAGATTTCCAGGGGTGTATGTATTTGGAGCGCTGTGGGCGACTCTGAAAAGCCTTCAAAATAAAGAAGAACTGTTTCCCAGGATGCACCCTGATGTGTGTGTGCATGTGTGTGAGTGTGAATCCGGTTTGTGTGTGCATCTCTGAGTTTCTGCTGCGTATTAGTTTACTTCCACTCACCAGTTTTGGCTCGGTTTACAAACATTTACATCATAATATATTCCTTTTCTAGCTGCAAGTGTGTGTGCATGTTCTCTATTGTATCTAGCTTTCTTAAATGTGAGTGTGTGTGTGTGTGTGTGTGTGTGTGTGTGTGTGTGTGTGTGTGTGTGTGTGTGTGTGTGTGTGTGTGTGTGTGTGTGTGTGTTCTTCCGAGCCTAAGAAAGTGACATATCGGAGCAGCTTCCTCTATCTATAATTCATAGTACTGGCTCTAAACAAAGAACAGAGTGTTCGGCTCCCGTCAGACAGCGTACAGGGGGGACCAACACGGCTGCTAAAGCTGCAAACAAAATGTAGTAGGAAAGCTAAGACCTGGAGCTAATAAGAGGTATTACAGAATAGCGTAATAGGAAAAAAGAGCACACAGAGAGACAGACAGAAAAGTGAAATAGCAACTCTTCTCTCAGTCTCTGTTTCTCTACACTTTGGTGGATTTTCTCTGACCCACATTACCAGGAAACAGACAGGCAAACATGTAAACAGGAGCCGATATGACCCAGTGTGCTGTCTACACAGAGACAAAGGCTCTTTCAGCAACGCCCCACTTTTCCCGTTGTTGTGATAGACACCTGTAATCACCCCGCACTCACCATGGAGGACAATCATGCAATATTTAGAAACTCCAGCTCTGATCATATCTCAGAGGGCAGATGCAAGATTTATACCTGTTGTCTGTGGAGGTTTGTCTTGTCTGCTACACGGGCTGCAGCTTGTCGGATTAGTCAGACTCACCTCTCACAGCTTAGCAGAGGTTTTCTTTCTTCTATTTCAAACAGAAAGTGAAGGGGAAAACTGGAGATATTTTCATGTTGTCTTTCTAGCTCTAATCCTGGAGTAATATTTGAGTGATTCAAACTACATAGAAGTACCAAAAGAAGTGATTAGCTGATTCACGAAAAAAGGCAACAAACTGAGTCTTTCATTTATCGAGGGAACGACAACAAATTAGTGATTAAACATGCAGAACTGTTTTGTTTTCTCTTTAATCAGTCAAAACAACAAACAATTTGGTCACCAAGCAGTTATTCCATCCTTTGTGTGGAATCCTGTCTCTATCCAACTAAAAAACCAAACATCATTAATGGCTCTCCATGAGCCTCCAAATCTTGCTGAAGAAAATATGTTACACTTAATCGCTTTATGCCTAACTGTGGTGGCCAGAAGTGGGAAAATGTAGATTTCTTTCTTAGACGGTATAGAAAATGGACAAAAGCTTAAACTTTTGGGGATTCAAATGCTGATTGACTGAATTGTAGAGGCGCTAGTTGACCAACTCTTGGTTCCAGGGACTTTTCTTTAAGGAGGCAAATGGTCCTGTGGTAAATAATGGGTAATCAGTATTTACTCTTGTGCTAATGCCATTTGGTACGCTACCTGTTAGTGCTTAGCTGTGTGTAAATTCAAGCTCATAAACACGACTTTTTCACGAAAGCATCCCTGAAATGGAAAAAAAAAAAAATTACATTCATGGAGGCAAAAATTATGGAAATATACATACACACACAAACACACACACATACTGGCCAGCCATTACATTATGAGAGTTTTATGGAGAAACAAAAAGACCTTTGAAGTCAGTTTTGTCTGGTTTTCATTCTCACTTTTTTTTTTTTTTACAATTGACAAAAAGGAAAGATAATTAATGTAAATAAAATTCTTAGTTTAATCTCCAAATCTCCAATATCTTAAACATAACATTGTCAAACACCAACCCCACAACATTTCCTGAGAAAAACAGCCTCTGCTTTTTTGAAATCCTTTGTCAGTTTCTTTCATGCTGCTTCTCTTTATTCAAAGCTTTGAGATGTTGCCGATGTGGCCCACATTACATCTTTTCCTGTGAGCCTCATTTTCAATACTTCCATTATTTGTAGGACACGTATGAGCCGTAATTAAAATGCTCCATATTGCTAATAGCAGGTGACATGTGATGCTTGAAACACAGTTACTGTCCTGGGCTTTAGCTATCAGTGTGACGTTTACTCCAATTACCACAAAGACACATGAAGCAGGCATGTGGGGGTTGTTTATTAAATGTGAAGACAAAAGAGGTGCAGGGAGTCTGGGGAAAGAGGTAATGCTGAGAAAAAAGAGAAAAACAGGTGATGGTAGATGTGGCGAGATAAGGACACAAAGAAATGATGCACATTTGGTAAAGATAGGGGGGGGGAAATGAGCTTTTTTTGTAACTGAAGGAAAGATCATTCTTCATCTGTTCATATACGTCTTTGTGAGTCATCCTTTGAAGCAGCCAAAAATAGCTTCTTCGCCAACCCCACAGTATATTTTCTCCTCTCATTTGATCCCTTTAACTCAGAAAACCGAGAAACTATCAAGAGATGTGCAGGAGAGAATGAGGAGGAAGGCAAAAGTTGATCAGATAATCACGTCTCCAAAGAAGGAGAATTAATTTCAGTAAACAATTCGCCTCAGTACTGTATCAATTTATAAGCAGCGGCTGGTAAACCATGATTTTGAATAACTTGAACCTGCCTGACTGTGTCACACACTGTCCTCTATACTCCATAACAAAACAGAGGCTATTTCCAGTTCTGAATCAAAGCGGCTGCTTTTTTCATTACTCTGTTTACAAGGTGGTTTTCTGTTTTGGGGAATGTAAACACCACTTCTTCTGTTTGTGCTGTGTATACAGTACAAGACGACAACAAATACTTTCAGTGTTGTCACCCAGATACAAACCGAGGTCACTGTGGTGACATGGTATGCATCCCAAAACCTCCAGGGCCACCAGAGTTCACACTACAACCGTCATGTTTAAACACAATCAGACAGTCGGTAACGTTGAGGAAAAACAGAACCAGACCCTTGAAATATACAGAGCGGCACAGCTCACAAAAGAAACTGATCAGCAAAAAAATAAAAGCGTACACCACTACTATGAGATGAAAAAATAAACCGCTGACAGGCTAAGGAAATCATGTACAGTATATTCAATCCAAATAACATCTGACTAATAAATAAAAGTCTTGAAATAGCCCGGTCTTTTCACACTGCTTGTTCACACCTCCCACTCTTCTTTGATAGTGGGTGCAAACACTGAAAGAAGATAAATCACTTTAGGCTCCTAAAATGGCCAAACCCTGGAATGGAGTGACTTAAACTGGCAATTTATCTATGGGCAAAGGAAGCTCTGAGGCCTATTTATCTAAGGCTTACTGTTTACAAGGCTTCAAGCTCAACCCTCCAGCCTTTCAACTCTTGAATAAAAGCCATGCCCACACTGATAAGAAGGCATCTGAAATGTGAATGTGTAGTAGGTTTCTGGCATACTGACTGATACGCTCTGACCATCTTCTTCACTAGCAGCATGAACACCATCTCAACATTTGACATTTCTGTTTACATCCTCCGCTAATTAAAAGCATCTTTACTAAAATGGTCTATTAGCGCGACCGAGCATCATCCCAGCATTGAATTTGGTTGGCTTTAATCCCAGAAGGGAATCTCTAGAGACTGCAGCCCATTTCACATATGCATTAGACTCCTGAAAATTGTGCAAGTGAGGTCCATGTGTGAATGCAAAGAGCTGTATCTGCTTACCCTGGCACTATGTGTCGGAGTCTGGTAATGTGAAAGTTGGGACAGTTTACCATCGAGGCCTGTATGTTCGGAAATTATCCAGAAAATGTCGGGAGTTCATGTGTGAAAATAAGCCAAGAAAGCATGTAAAATCACAGCCATGATTTTTCTGCAGAGCATCACATCATATCTAAAAACCAAACTGCTGGTATATCACAGGCCTTTTTTTGGAGAGCAGGTATACATTGAATGTAGTAAAGATGTAAACAAAGTAAACGTGTTTAAAAAGAAGATATACCAATATCTGATAACCCAGACTCACTGAAATAAGAAACAGAACACATAGACTAGGCTGTGACAACATACAATACATGCCAATGAGATTTTGATTACTAGTACATTTATCTTGGCCTTTATTGGTGTCGATTGTAATTGGAAATATAATGTCATCATAGTTCTTGTTTCAGTTATGATTTTAACATCTTGTATAATTCTCCTGTTTGGACTTTTATCATTTTAATCTATACAAATGTTTACTGTCTTCTTGCAGACCCCAGGAAGAGTAGTGCTACTTAGGAAATAGCTAATGGGGATCCAAATAAATAAATAAAGAAAGAAATATTATACTGGCCTAGAAGCATGACTTATGATCAATCTGTAAAAAAAAAAAAATCTCAAATCCAGTATGAGTCATTTATGCTGTTTTGTCAGTGTATTAGTTTTAAAAGCAAAACTGCAGGCAAAAGCTGAACATCCCATACTTCTCAGCATGGTTACCGAATACTGGCGCTGGGCTCTGCTGTATGTTGACAGCCACACAAACCTTTCAGCATGAAATCAGATTTCAGTTGCTTATGGCAGTCCATTATGTATGTGCATTTAGAAAAGAAATGTATCAGTTATAACACCTGCAGTACTTATGTCTGCTTACTGGCTTATGAAATTCATGAACTCAGAAAAAAGCACAGGTCACAAACAGGTCAGCTCTTGGCATTTAAACCATGTCATTGAATGCTGGCAATTTAAAAAAAAAGCCCCCCAAGTATTATAGGAAACCCTTCATATTTGATGCTTCCACTCAAGAGAAAGAATAAATATAAACTCATACACACATTTTATCACCTTCTAATCAGCCAATAAGGATTGCAGCACACTGGTGTAAAAAGCCAACCATATTTTCACCCGTTTCCTGAGCTCACATCGTCACGTACTTCCTAAAAATTCTCCATGGGTATTTTTTTTTTTTTTTTTTTCAAACCAAGAATAAACCTCCATGTTTAAGAGGCTCTAAATCAGGAAGCTTGACGCTGCAGAGCCAGAAAGAATGGAGACACTCAACAGCTCCGGCGCCAAGATAAACAAGCCAAGGAACACGAGCCGAGTGTGAGCCATAACAAGATGATTATGGCGGTGGCAGCTAGTTACCGTTTTCCTGATATGGAGTAAGAGGGAAGGTGCCATGTCATGTACTCCCCTCTGCTGCCAAGCTAGTAAAACCTGCCTCCTCCTAACAGGGCTGGGAATTAATGCTCTAACTGAGGCGCAGCCATAACAGGAGAGCTGTAATGGGGAGGTATTGGATTAGATGCTGCATTTGCATGATGTGAGCTAAGGTTACAGATTTTGCATTCTGGCCTCTTCTAGTGATCGAATCTTCTAACTTCTTGAATCCCAACTGAAGTTTCTTCTTTCAAAGTCCAAGTTCACTTTTCAATCTGCATACTACAACAAAAGACAGCTTCTAAAAAAGCTGTGTCAAACCTTAATCTTCTAAATGTGTTAGGTGGCTTAAATAAGACCTAAAGCTAGCCAACATCTTGTCGTGTGATCCTGAACTAACCCCCCCTCCCCGTGCCAGGTTCCAGGATAAGTGGCACTCAACCCCAACAGCCGAGGCCTGTTTTCTGAAACAGTATGCATTTTAACGTATTAGGTTGGCACATGGCAGAAGTGGGGGGACATGGGCAAGTGGGCAGTGTGTGTATGTGTGTTTGTCTCAAAATGTTTGTGTGAGTGCTAAAGAGAAAGAATGCTTTATAAAGACGGGTAGCGGCTGCTATTCACAACTGTAAGGCCGGTTTTTTGCTCTGTGTGGCAGAGCAAGAGGATCGTCAAGGCAGCCGGCCTGTGCCCCCGTGGTATGTAGACACTGTCGCTCTCACAAGGACAGAGAGAGAGAGAGAGAGAGAAGAGGAGAGAGAGAGAGAGAGAGAGAGAGAGAGAGAGAGAGAGAGAAAGGAGGACTTCAATGTGTGTTTGTGGGTGTGTGAGATAGAGAGAGATGGAGAGGGGGAGACTTTGGGAGAGTTTACAGTACAACGTCGGCCGCTCCTCCAATATAACAAAAAACATTTCATCACTTACAACACAAAGCAGACAAAAATATAGAGTCCTCATAAACACTGCAGCGCCGATAAGAGACAATGATGTTTCTCATTTCTCTGGAGTGCTTTTCAATTCATGACAACAAAACAAAGTCAGCTCACTGTGCAGTGTTGGAAAAATGCAATGAGGTACCAAAATGTATGCTCTGATTTGTTATACTCCTCACTTATTCTCCTGGAGAGGGATTAAACAGCATTATATTCCTAAAAGGGGTATTTTTCATGTCAATTATAAAAAATCAGCTTTGCAAAGTGATCAATAAAATGTAGTTCAAACTGACTGTGATCATGTCCTGGCAGGTTTCTGTCAGAGATGACACCCAGGTTTGTTTAAGGTAAATGTAGGCTCAGTTCTTGTACAACCGCTTCTGTTAAGAGAGACTGACGTTTGACAAGTTTGATTCTATTTGTTGAGGTTTTGTCATGTAGAGAGGAAATTTCACATTTTGGGTTTTCAAATCAGAAAGTGTCATACGTGCCGGATGCACTCCCTCTTACATCAATCACACTTTCTCCACAGACACAATACCACTTTACACTTTGTGCTTTATTTTTCACCACCCTCGCAGACTTCATTGGTGCCAAGTACACAGTGTGAAAATGATCGAGTCTGTGGGGGCTTGACAGTGGTGTAGTTAGACTTTTTTTGACTAGAGGGGGCCAAACTAGGCCACAGACTTTTGTTGGGGTTGCCAGACGTTAAACATAAAAGGTAAAACATCAGAGTGACAACATTTCAATGGTTTAACTGAATCTTTTAAAGACTCCACAAGAAACCATCTGAAGTACCAGCAAAAGAAAATATTCAACATTAAAAATGTAAAAAAGGAGCCTGCTAAATGCAACACAAAGCTGACTTTAATATAAAGCTGCCTCTGACAAAAGAAATGACAGCCAATCACAGTTCTGGGAGTTCTAGGTGGCCTTCTCTTGGGCTTGTAATAGTAAGAAAAATGGGGGAATAGGACACACTATAATGGTAGTAGAGGACACCTGGAAACAAGATGCAACTTAGTCGAAGAGGAATTGCAACAGAATGAATGGGATGACCTAAATACAATAAACTACATTTCATTCACAGGTCAACCTATTCTGGTGTTCCCTGACTTGTCTATGCTTGCTTGTTATGTTTATATGTTTAGCTTTTTTGTTCAAACTATATTGAAAATTGTGTCAATGCAAAAACACTTTTTCTATTTAGTAAGGTACAGAAGGATCTTGACCCTGCAAGTCAACTAGTTTACAATAAACTCTGGAAAATGCAGCATAGAAAAAGAGCTGCAAAAGCAACAGTTTTTATAGTTTAAAGTACATCCTATCAGCCTCTTGCTCACACTTTTTTCTGACTGTTTTGATATGTAATATGTCGATCGGGATATGACCTGAAAGGAGGCAGGTCGCCGCCTACTGTCGTGTAGATTGATGTACTTCTGTCAATGATGAAAAATTTTGCATGTGAACTGTGACAAGGACAGTAGTCCAGATACAAATCATCTAATGGAGCGATGGCCATAGCTCACTTCACTGTGCATGTAAATATGCCAAGTATGAAGACTGGGGTGTGTCCAGATCAGCTCTGAGCCAGTACCAGGATGAGCTTCACTCGAAAGTGCCTGAATGCACACTGAGGACTGAATCTACTGCTGAAGTTTACGCCTCATACAAGAACTCCAGTTCATACCAATGGTATCTGAAGACACTTAACAAAGAGAGCAGGTCTGACCTCTTTGTTTTGTTATTCACAGAGACTCAACGTCAATGCCAGATCAGACCTACCTTATCTTAATCCACAATGAGTAAAACAGCACTGGCTCACCTGGCCACGACCCTCTGCTGCAGGTCTCCTCCCACTCTCTAGTCCCCACATTTGTCTCCTAAGCTGTCCAATCATCGGTACCCAAAAGTTTTGCTCCATGAAAGCCAACTTTCACTTTACTGTCTGTGTGGACACGCTGGAATCAACAGAAAGGTACCTGCACCAAAACTCGAGCTAACTTTCCAGCGATACCCAACCATCAAATATGTGACAAGTACAAACAAACACATGCCACCATGAATTTGGACGCCAATTTCTAAAGCAATACTTACGCTTTCATCCAAACAAATCAGTCAGTGACTTACTGGTGTGACATCAAAGAGTCAGAAACTAGTGACAATTTGTTGATACAGGCGGCGGAAACACTCTGCGCCCTATCATTGCATGCATGTGGGATGACAACAGTTCCCGGCTCGAACCCATTCATCACACCCATTATTTCAGGGAAGGCATACTGCTGCTCACATCCTTTCATGGCCATTATATCCTGTTCCAGTGTGATCCAAACAGACTACGACAGCTGTTGTCAACATGAAATGCAGCACAATTCAGAAAACAAAAGGATGTTAGAACAGCTGAAACAGGAAGCAGACCTGCTCATTATTTGATAATATTTCTGCATTATTACAATTATTTGGCATTTGAGTGAAAAACCTCAGCCTTTCCACCTCGTGTGTGCCTATCAGCCAACTTTCAGTGCCATGAATGGATGTGATTTGGCTCTGTGCTTCTGCAATCAGTGCTTCTTGTTTAAACTGAAATAGATTTCTCACCCGAGCATAGTTCAGCCAAGAGGCAGAGCAGCCTCTCAAAAATAAACTCAGACAAAATACTGAAAATGAAGAAATTAAAGAAAAAGCACACACATGCACATCTGAAAAATCTCAGTCTTAAGCGCTCTTTTACCATCGCTGCCGGCTATGGCATACTGGCATCACACTATAAGGGGATTAATGGTTACTTTACAAGGCGGGTGTGAAACAAAAACACCCTGAATAACTGCAGACAAATGAAAGCTGATCACAGAAGTGGGAGATGAGGGAAGAAAGGAGGGATGTTAAATCAACGAGATTTAAATGGGAGTTGCAGCAGTTGGATTTGTGGGGTTGATGGCTTTCCCTATCTGGGCGTCAAGCGTGTACCGTGGGTGTGCTCAAACAACATCCAAACATCCCCAAATCCCCCAGGCGCCTTTTGAGAAGCAAAAGAATCTGGGAAAGGGACTGGCGGAGGAAAACAGGAGTGGAGGTTAGGGAGGGTGAAAGAGGGAGATATAAAGTGTGTAATACGGAGGGAGAATCAATGGGTGCCCCCGCGGCAAATAAAAGCCATGACATCATCGCATGGCAAGGAGCAAGGAGAGACGAGGGCGCCCACAGTCGCCCATTCTGCCTCTCGGGGCCCATCCTCTGGAATGGATAAGAAGCGAACAATACCCTCTCAATGAATGGGATCCCAAATCCCACAGGAGGAAAACAAATCACCAGTGGGAACAGGAGAGGGCAAGGGAGAGATGGAGAAAGAGACAGAGAGGGATGGAGGGAGACCCTTAAAAAGATGTGCACACAAAGACACAAAGCATCTTGGGACATGTAAAGCAAGGCAAGTAGAGTTTGAGACAAAGCAGCCTTTGTCCCTGCGGGCTGGTGGGTGGCTTGGAGTGAAGGATTTGAACGTGGTAGCGTTTACATCAGCGCTCTCCAATATATTGATCCGGCCATGTAATCCCTCAAATGATAAAAGAAGAGGTTGGATGTACTCTGGAAGTGTTGTTTGTTGGGTTTACATGATGTGGGAGGCAGGAACAGGGCTTTATGTAACTTGTCAGAGGAGCTTTGAGCTGCGTTCAGAGTTTGGCCTGGCGCTACTGATGCCGGTTCGACAGGGACACGTGAAACGAGGAAAGATGTTCAGAGAGAGTCTGATCACAGCAACTCTTCGCACAAGTCAAAACAGGATGTTTAATTGCGTTCCCCCTCTCGTGGTGTTGATAAATAAAGTCACAGCCTTCACTGGGAGAGCTCAATATGTGTGTGTCAGCGCGTACATGTGAGTGTGTGTGCTTTCAAACAAAGAGCTTCCGTTCCTCCGTGATTACAGCATTGCTGCTGTAAGCCAGAGCACAGCAAATAAATTAGAATCACAAGGAGAAAAGTCTTTCATGTCTGATGCTTTGATAACTAAAAACAAAACAAAAAAAAAACACACGCAGGTTTCCCACAAACTAGAATTAGTTGGCTGATAATTCAAAGCTGGCTAGGGAAAACTTGACACAAAAAAGTTCAGATAACAAATGGAGGATTCTTAAAAATATGTCATGTAGAAAAAGAGCACTGAGGAGTGACGTTATGGTATTTACTACAGAGATCGATAAAAACAATGACGCATGTGTCGAGGTGGGAGAGCAAAAATGTAAAAAAGACAAGGAAGCTGCGGCAGAAAGACTGGAATGATTGAGCACAATTAACAGCAGGGCCTCTATGATGCTTTCTGACGCCCTTCCTGTGAGAAATGAGAAAGAAGAAGCAGCTGGAGATATCATTTATGGCCCACATTTCACTGAGGCACAGTGAAATACTCTGGCGTCATATCCATCAGACAAAGTCAGGGATAGAAACGGTTTCCCAGGAGCCAAATGATGGAAAAAGTTGAGAAACCATAGTTTCTGTTTTTCAATATATATAGAATTTTTGGTGAACTGTGACATTTGGAAAATAACCGGGTACAGTTTAGATGCAGAAAATGAACTTTTTAATACTGTTTCAGTTGAAAAAAACATTAAAAAGAGCTAAGGCTGAGCTGGTATTTCTCAGAGTTCAGGGCCTTTGAGTCAAAATCACTGCCTGAAAGTCTAAAATTACCTGGAGCCAAAATCCACTTCTACCAGAGCAGTGGTGACCCTGACCTTTAACCTCTGACCTACATGGGAAGGGTTTGGGTAAAGCTGCAACTGATCAGTTATATCATTGATTATCTGCTGACTTACTTGAAGCGGAAAAACACGATTGATTAGGTTGAGAAATGTTCATCACAATTTACAATAACCAAATCAATTTAAACAATTAATGTAAAGTGGTAAAAAAAAAGACAAATCCTCCCATTCAGACAGCTGGAGTAAAGCATTCCTTGACATTCTAGCTCGATAACATGATAAAACAATCATTAGATTTTCAAACTGTCGTCAATTTATTATACATAAACAAGCTTCTGGCTTAAGCAGACAACTGGACACTTAAAGGGAGTGAGGCTGTCAAAATTCTTGATATTTAGACGCTTTTCTTGCCATGCACTTTAAAGCAATACAATCTTAGTAGTTTTTGAGTCACATAAAGTAGAAAATCAAATAAATAGTCATAAAGCTGCAGCAAGTGAAGGGGAGGGAAGCAATGGTTTGTCAAAAGAGACAAAGGGAAGAGCAGGGGCACTGCTAAATGAAACACAACATCGTAAAAAGAGGTGATTTCTGATATTTTCACAGCGGCTAAGCCTTTAAGAACATGTGAACTCATACAAATCTCTGCATAAATGTGCAGAAAGCAGCCAATTTTTTTCCCTCTTCTCTGCCTGCTGCTGTGTGTCTCTCTGCTCTGCCCTCCATCTCAGCAACTAACCTCTTCTCGTTCACAGATTTCCTGTTTTATCCACTTTCCTGTCCTCTCTACAATAAACGCAAAAAGCCCAGAAATGAATATAAAAGACAGAGAACAGGGGAGCTGGACAGCAGTGTCACCTGGAGCCTGAATGCTTCCTAATAGTCCATCTTGAAGACTTAAAACAGGCAACTGGACTGTGTAGAATTGAGAGACTTTCTTATCCAAGAAGCTTCTTCAGTTCATAAACTGAAGAAGCTTCTTGATAAGATGCTTCTCAATCTACACAGTCCAGTTGCCTGTTTTTAAGTCTTCAAGATAACCATGACCTGGATGAATGAGAATCTACATGGACTAATTAGTCCCAAGTTATGAAGCTTATGTTCCTGTGGTTCTATAACAGGAGTTGATATTGTTCAACTTTTATAAGCATCTTTGTGTCCTTTAGAAGTTCAGCCTTCTGATAGCATGCTGCATTCCAGTTACCTCAGAAGTCGGATTCTGGAGCTGGGAATGATGTTACACCCGAGTTGACAGCGTTCAAGTTAACAAGTCGGAAAACCAAGATGGACACCTATAGTTACCTGTTGTTAGCTGTTGTTTACAACTGTCAGCTGTCGTTGGCCGTTGTCAGCTGTTGTTAGCGACTGTCAGCTGTTGTTAGTTGTTCTTCGCAATACCAGTTGTAAACAACGCATAACACAGTATTTTACCCTTAAAAACACCATAGCACTGTGTTCACAGTTAGACGTTGGGCAGTACAACATTTACCACTTATTTAATTAAAAAAACAAAAAACAGAAGTGCGAATAAATGATACATTACAAGAGCTTTCACTGTTACTCTTTGCTGTTGATGCACTGCGCTACTATCTTGGATTATGACGTTGTCGTCAAGTCAGGGTTGGTGAGGATCGTCGGACTTTCCAAGTCGGAAATCCAACTTTGGGGGGCGCTCCAGATGAATTTCCAACTCGGAGCTCAGAAATTCTGACTTCCGAGTATAACTGGAATGCAGCATTACAACTCTTAAAGGAAGTAAATTTGATGAGATGATACAGATAAAACTTAGAGTAAATGGCTTTGTGTTTCCCTGTAAAAAACATTCGTGAATCTGAGAGAAAGTTGTTACTGCTCACAGATTCTGATTGAAAATTTAAAGGCCATAGAAGTAACATAAGAAGAATCTGTTTGGGATTCTGTCTTAAATCTGTATTTACTTAAATTTCTTCCCTTTTGCGGTTTGAAACCCAGAAGAGCTTTGCTTTATCAATTCTCATCAAGTCTGTCTGAAGCTATCAGCAAAACATTTCCTTTGAAGTCAGAGCCAGCATATGGAAGCTACATTAGCGTACTAGCCCCTGTGCCTTTGCGGCCTGGCTCCTCTACAATAAATATTGAAATCGGCGGTGTCTGCCTTGCAAGTGGATGTTCTGTATTATAAATGTCATCTTACCCTTGGTCGGCAGAGCAGCAGCTCGCTCTAATGCCACAGGACAGACACAGAAGGAGAGCGAGACACCGGCGCTGGCTCGGGAATTCAACTTTCAGTCTCATCAAAGCAGCATCAGAGTGTCTGCATGCATGTTTATGAATAAAAAAGAAGGTGGGAGGAAGAGGGCTAAAATGATAGTGCTAGAGGGACACAAAAGAAGAGAAGAGCGAAGAAAAGAGAGCCAGCACTCTGTTTCACCATACGTTCAGGGTGCCCCATGACAACTCACAGAAGCACGATACTAGTAAGTGGTACCTTTGCATCTCTGCTTTTTTCTTTAAAATGCTTAAGGCAGGTTCAAGGCTCTACAAAGCTATTCAAAAAGAGCCAATCTAAAGAGGTAAAGACATCCTTTATAAGCCCAAAAGTAAAGCTTTATTGAACTATCTCACCCTCTGGAGTCACTGCCTTCTTAAGACCTCTACGACTTTCCTCTACATTGTGTGTGTGTGGCCTGGCTTTTCCTCAGCTTCAGGATCCAAGTAGCTCTTGAAAGTAGCAATAGCTTCCATGGTCATACCCATCACACTGACAACTACCACATAATGAGCTAAGTGCTTTTGGTAACTGTGAAGAAATGTAGGATTTAGTCAGTAATACCTGGTCTTTCACCCTCCATCAAAGACTGAGTCTCCTCTTTGATGCCAATCATCTACTCATACTTTTTATCAGGGTTGTCTCAAAGCAGATACTTCCTTTTAGTAGAAACATACATACAAGTCTGATCAGCTGACTAGTCTGAATGTAAGAAAAATCTCCTCAATATTGATCTTTCAATCGACCAACAGCCAACATCTTATTTCCTACAGGTCATATTATTTTTGCCAGTGGATACATTTTTACTTCTTAATGTGCAGCAGTATCTCTGTCTGTAAAGACAGTTTAAGGACTGGAGGGTAGCTGGTCCAAGACCCATTAAGGACCAGTTCCAGGAATTGCAATGGTAGCCCCTCACTGCTAATGTGCTAGCTCCTTCACTCTGACATCCTCCCATTATTTCACGTCTATAGGATCCTGTTTGTTCACGTGGGTGTATTTAAGTCTATGAGTGTGTGGCACAGTCAACACCAGAGTATAAAAACTGACATGCCCCCACAGGATTCTGCATATCTGTGCTGATTCTGAGACCAAACATGACTAATTGCCCTGATATTACCAACAACAAATAAATAAAGTACCTTTGGTGCTTTTTCATATGCCAATTAGGGGTGAGAATCACAAGTGGCCCCAAGATATTATATTATCACAATACTTGGGCCACAATATGATATTGTTGCAATTTTTAACATTTTCCAATACAGTGAGTTTTGCAATACAATATATTGCAATTCATAATTTGTTTCAACAGTTCAGCTAATTTAGTATTTGTTTTTCCCTTATGTTTGTCTTATTAACACAGTATTTTATTTTCATGAAGCATATCTTGCAAACCTCATGTGTCAGGTCCATCTCATTTGTGCCCTGCTTGCATTCCTAATGTCTTCCCCCAGGTGCTTCTATATTTGTTGTACTAACTTTCTCCTGCTCTATGAAGTCACCTCTGCTAACCTCACTGGACAAACAGATAATTTTATTTTCTCATTATCATAGATTTGACTTCATATCAACAATTAATTTGAAAAAATCAATTCTTGGTTAATGAGACAATGAGATATATCACCAGACTAAATATTGCAATACTATGTTGTATCAATTTTTTTCTCCCACCCCTAATGGTCATATTGTCTTTGTATCACAGTTTGATTGTTGAGCAATTGTTTGCTTGCTCCCACATGGCCTATTTATCTTATGAAGTAATCATAATAGTACACATCGATATTAGGGCATCAAATACTTTTTAGCTCTATCAGAAATTCATGCAAGTCAATGTGTTCACTTGTTCAGATTTATAGAAGGGTGAATTGTGTGTTTTTCTGGGTAATTTCATACTAGAAACAAACATCTGAACCTACAAACCATGTCAGTATGGTTTGGTTTCATCACTGTCATCCCAGTGCATCGCTGAGATTTACTTTACTTGGGTTTGACACAGACATACAATGAGGTACAACCTACATAACAGCTTAAAATGCAGTGCAAAATTTGGTGTTTTGTTATCTCTCCAGCCAGAAGAAGAAGCTCCACACACCAGTTAGCGGGCAGAAAGCCATGTACTGGTGTTTTTTTATTTTTTTCTTACTTCCTTCTTTTCAGCACAGCTCTATCCCATAAAGACCAAACCTCTGCAGACAAAACACCTTAGAATTAAAATGAGTAGATTGCGTTTTTCTATTTCAAGGTCTGTGCAGTTGGAAAAAAACTAAATCTGGTTATCTGCAGTCTGCATAGCGTGCTGAGCAAAATAAATAAAAAACTATTAAAACAGATAAAAGCACAGATCCTTGTTGCTTTTTGTGTGCGTTGATGAATAGGAAACTCTGCTCACCATTAATAACTGCGACTGGATGCCTGGGGTTAAGAGGCAGATTGTGCTCACTACCATTATTACCACCACTATACCGCCATTAATTCACAGTGCAGGAGCTCCAGAATGAATCGCAAAGGAAATTTACACAAATCCCCCCACTCTCCTGCAGATATTTTCTCTTTGTTGTCACCTCCCCCAGCCTACACTTCACCTTCATCCTCTGCCACTGTCATCTCCTGGCTGTCATCATGCTGTTTTTCTCGTCTTGTTTCCTCTGCTCTTCGTCCTTCCTATCACCTTCCCCTGCATCCCTGTCTTCTTCCTCCTCTTATCCTATCTCAAAATCCAGTTCCTTATCTAGCATTATTTTTCTTCTGACAGCAGATCGCTTAAGTCTTTTCCTTCTCAACTGCCTCTCCTTTGGAATGACAAACACACTATGCAACAGGTCCCATGTTGTACCTCTGCTGAGTGAGGCCGAATCCAGATACCCTTATGAGGATAAATATGAGATCCGAATCTTGATAGGTTTGAAGGTAGGTGTGAGGACATTTACTGCAGTGCCAAGTTAGTACAGCAGCTGTAAACAACACAAGTTCAGCTCAGGGAAGAGGCTGAAAGGGTGCTCAACAAACTCCACAAGGGAGTCAATTATTCTGTTTCAACATGTGCTTACAGTGCAAAACAGTTTCCTGAACGGAGAGGAAAAAACTGTGATAGAAACACTCACAATTAACAACTCATCAGAAAATTAAAAGAACATGTACAAATTAAGGATGGGCGCTTTAACTCAATTGAAGGATTAAACGTTGTCACCTTCACTTGGAACCACAATAACCTGTCTGTTAATCGAATAATAGCCAAGGACTGGGCGATATGGCCTCAAATCAATATCACGAAATATTGAGCAGTTCACCTCGATAATGATAAATGGATGATAACTACTCCACAAGCTGCTCACCCCCTCCTACATTAACTTCATCTACTTCAGCCGCTCCAGCCGCTACAACTTTTAAACCGTCCTCCATCTCCTCACCTGTCCTTCCCTCTTTGAGTCAGACTGGATGGGGTGGAGTCACGTCTCCAATGTAGGACAGTGTCTTAAAGTGACATGAGGCCACAGCCTACCTACACACATCCAAAACCAACTTTTATATTCTGCAACAAATATACCAATATGGGCAAAATGGCGTCAGTTATTGTTGTAAATTTCAGTATCGGTAAATTTTCGGTTTATCACTCAGCGCTATAACAGTCAAACTGCAAAAAAATTGACAAAAACAGATTTTAATAGTTATAGAAATAACTGCAATCACAACATATGAAAGCTTGCAACCGATTTCAAATATTGGTCCAGTGCTCTGTGTGAGACTATTAGTTTTAGATAATCTTCCTTGACATAAAATTGAAAGAACCTGGGTTTTGTATCACCTGTGTACAAAATATCATCAAAAGAAACATAGAACCTGAAGACATCTCTGTATAAGAGAAACAAAGCTGAAAACCAAAACTGTATGGACTCTGCAGTGGAAATCACTACATGGGCTCTAAACCACATCCAAAAATTATTTCTTGTGAGCTCAGTGCATCGCTGCACCCACAGTATGGACAGTAGGTAAACTGGATTGGAAAGATGTGGCGCTTTCCAGAACTTAACCAGTGCCCTGGTTTCACAAGAGTCCCTGTTAAGCAGAAACTTTCAACCTAATGGGTCTGTAGTTGTTGTAATTACACAAGCTGTTGGACAAAGAAGTCCATTAATTATGATATCAAAATGTACTCATCATTGTCACAGCAATGACCGCGGACACAATGGCTGGAAGTCAGCAGTTAACAGTGTAATTACACAAGTCACACCGAAACACCAGCTTGCAAGTCACTGTCTGTATGTGCTGAGTGGCTTTTGAGCTGCTGGACTAATAATAGACCGAGGCCTCCACTTTCACCCAAGCTTGATGACATGTTGACTAGCAAAAATGTAATAGTTTGAGCACCACATAAAGTGTGCAAGCTGTACCTCGACTGTTTTAAGTTCTTTGACAACAGCAGGCCAGTGTTGACAGCCTGTTCATTTAGGCTTAACTGTTGTTATTTTGTGATCCAGAACACACAAAAATAAAGGTGTCATTGGAATTTTCAATGCTAAAAGATCACCAATGGGCGGCACAGTGGTGTAGATAGGAGGCACAGTGGTGTAGTGGTTAGCACTGTCACCTCACAGCCAGAAGGTCCTGGGTTTGAATCCGGGTCAGGGCATTTCTTGTTTTAGGAACATTATGAACAGTGAACATACCAGTTTAAACACAAATAAAAGTTAATAAAAGACACGTAACAGTAAAAGTTTTGGTGTGAATCACAATATAAGGGGGGACATGAGCTGCTTAGCGGAGGTCTGCGCTCTCCGAGTGCTTTTCTAGTTTAGTGGATATTTTTAAGTCTTTTGAATGGTGCCTTTTAACTTGTGATCTGCAGTCATGGTTCTTACAGAAGACTGGTCCGTTTTTATGTGAAACATAACAGAAAGCCACATGCTTTTAGGGAGATTTCAAATAGCTGTCACAAAGTCTTGACATAATATAGAAAATGTTTCTCCATGTGAAATAGACGCGTTAAAATAAGACTTTTCTTGAGTGTTTTCTTAACACTAGACCCCTCAGCTGATCAAAATTTTAATTCCTGTTTGACAATTTGGAAATTAGTCAGCGAGGAGCATTTTAAATAAATACACCCTTAAAAAGACCACGTGTTTTCTCAATTTCTCTTCTGAAATCTCATCTACTGTTACTGTACGCCACATATTGTTTGGTGAAGGAGATGTGACGCTTCCTGTCAGTTCTCTCCTCCCCGCCCCCTCCTCTTCCTCTTTCTTGGGGAGAGTGCTAATGAAGCAGGAGGCTGGTCAGATGGGAGACTCTCTGACTCTCCACTTGGGTTCCAAGCAATCAATAATATACAGACGGCCACCCTTGCCTTCCTCGCCTTCTCTTTCATTCTCAGCCCTTTATCCTCTTTATCTTCATTATTTTTCTCCCTACGTTACCTTGTTTGTTACCATCTCCTCCCCCTCCCCCCTAACTTCTCGCCTCAATCTGACCCCTCTTACCTTTAATCCCCCAGTTCTTGCCTTTAACAGTTTTCCTTCCCCTCTCTGTGAGACAGTTAGCAGTGATAGTGTTTCATATCTGCGTTCTAATTAGTATGACACTTGCAGAATTTCATCTCTGTTCGCAGCTAATTTACTTCTCAGTCAGTGCAGTGTTTTGACATTTCAGAGGTTGTGCAGAGGAATTCTGAAAGAGTCTGAAAGAAAACAAGCTCGATGTCAGGAAACTCCAATCAGAAAACACTGATGGAAAATAAAAAAATAAAAAAGAGAGAAGCTATGCACTCTCAGACTGTTTTAATACAAAGTTAAACGAGGTATCCTCACCATCTCTTAGATACTTCACTACCCCTGAGGGACACATCCCAACCTGTGAGACAACAGTGCCCCCTGCAGTCCAACAGAGCGAGTGCACATCAGTAGTTTTCAGAGAAGTTGATCCCTCCACTTTGAACCAGCCTTGTTTTAGCCCACCAGCTATCTCCTCCCACAAGGGGAATGGTGTAAGTGGATTTAAATAAATTAATGCCTCTTTTGCTTGCCTAGGGAGCACACAGCAGAAAATAGTCCAAAAACAAAAAAAGATATTCGACTGCTATCGCATTCACAGAGATCAAGAAAAACATATATTTTCTCTAACGATCGCCCATAGGCCTGCGTTTAAGAGAAGCAATTTGAATATGCCATGCCTAATTCTACGTTAAGGCTGAGCCGGCATTCTCCAGGGACTGAATACAAAGCAGCGTGCAAGAAAGACACTTGACTAGTCAGCTGGAACAACCCTATCCAGGCTGTGGGGATAATCAGTCCCACCATTTTAAGACAAAACTGCTTTAAAAGAAGCCAAAGCCTCGGAGCCATTGCTGAAATTTTTCTGTATCGACTGCCAAAGAAAAGCAGTGCTCAGTAGCATTTAGAATCTGTAGATGTATTTCTTTTGGAGTATGTGTGAAAACATGATCAACACCTAATTAATCTTATGTCTCAAAAGTTTTACTCATATTTGAAGTGGTTACTAGAAACAAAAGATGAAGTCTAGATGGGATATTTCAATCTAGTTGCACTCTTCAAAGGTTGGAAATGATTTAATGTGAAAAAGAAACTGCGCTTTGAGTTCAGAGTCCTTTTTGCTGCAGTGGCGGAGTGATACTTCTCCCAGCGGAGGAGACAGAAGTGAGTGAAGGAGGCTCATGAGATCTTGGCTATTAGAGTAACTACAGAGCATTAGCTAATTGGGATCCAAACAAACCCTGCTGAATGCAAATGAAATGAAAAAAGAGAAACACCACAGTGGAAATTGTTGAGACAGAAAGCATATTTGCATCGTGTGTGAGTGGTTTTTCTTACACATCTTTAGACCTCATTAGGTTGCTGTACTAAAGTCCTTATGTAACACTTTGTTCAAATTGATGCTAATATCTATGTTTAAACGTTGAAATAGCATTTCTGTTGTAAATAAGTACATTTAACCATCTCTTGTGACCTCAACAAGGAAAAAAATACAGTAAAAAAGGGTTAATACTGTGAACTAATGGTTACACTTCTGTCCCAGTTACAACCATGTCCAATTCTTGCTACAAAGTCGGTGTCTCAGGAGAGCAGAAAAACCCTGGAGGTTTCAGATAACAAGCTCCCTGATCTCTGGTCTTTACACTACAGTTACTCTGCAACCAGATGTACGTCTACCTCTGGGTCAAAACAGACACCAGCGGGATTACCGTCTAATGGCAGAGAAAGAAAGGACAGATTGAAGAAGCTTCTCATTTGGAGTAAACACAGACAGTTCTCTAATTACACTTTAAAATGTCGGTTTTCTTCCCACTCATTGTTTGAAATGGACAGCGAGTGATAAGAGAAGCAGAACAATGGAAAAAAATGACAGCCTGTGTGTGTTTGTGTGTGTGTGTGTGTTGGTTCACACCTCTGAGTCCTCTCTGCGGAGTCCCAGTTGGAGGACGGCGCTGGGAGACTTGAGTCTGGCTTGGCTGGACTGGGCCATCTGCAGGTTTAGCTGCCAGCCAACATACTCCAGCTGAAACACATGAACAGAGTCGGCATGTCTTTGATACTTATGTAGTTGAGATAAAACCTCACACTTCAATTTAATAAAGGCCCAAACGAATTTTCAAAGACTTTGAGAAAACTCCAGGGAAGCAGTGTTCCCACCAAACAAAAGTGGTAGCAGATCTCATGGAGGAGTTGCGTATTTCTGTGTATCTTTATTAGTCCTCATTATGTCTCTGTTTGACCTAGATTTGTTGTTGTACACTCCATTATACTTTCTGTTATACTTTACAAAGCACTCTGTATCTGTTCAGATTAATTCTGTTTTTGCCGTTTCATTCTTATCCTTGAAATATTAACTGCTTATAGTTAATAGTCTTTTGACTGAAAATTGACATTATTCTGGATCATATGGAGTCTTAATCACCAACAACAATCAAAAAACGCTCCAACACTTAGCTTATTTTAAATGAAAGCAGTAAAACTAATTTAGAAACCCTGCATTTGCAAATGTTTGGCTTTCTCTTCTGAAAAATAATCAGCCAACTGGTGACTGTAATGATTATACATTATTTTCCTTCTGACATATCCTAATGGTTGATTAAAGCCCTTATTTAAAACCCTCTACAAGCTCCTTTAACACCACCATACACTGATTCACACAAAAATCGCTGTTAGAAGACGTTGAGGTTTTAGTTTCTTTGCCCAAAAATGCCTCAACATGTGAGATGGGACAGCCGATCTTTGTGTAAATGGACCTCCTGAGTCATCAAAATACAAGGGCAGCCAAATGTTTGAAAGACTAATCCACTAAGTCACAGCAGTGATTTTCTCTATTTAGACCAAAATAGATAGAATGTGATATTCTAACTTGTTTTTCAGTTTTTACAAATGAATTATTTAAGACTGTTTCGAAGTGCAATAAACTTTTACAATGAAGTGTTTAAAAGCTGGTTTGCTGATCATGTATGATATGTATCAAGTACGAAGTCGCCATTATAGACAGGAAGATTTACTGCTGCAGAACTTTGCTAAATCCCCTGAAAGTTTTAGTTACCTTGTGTCTGAGCTGCAGGTGGCCAGACTATTACTCTCAGTCACAGTACGCTGTGGCAGTGTGATAGATTTGCAGCACTGAGTCAAGGCAGGGCAGTTAAGTGTTTTATGATGCAGGGAGAGGCCGTAATAATAAACCATGTGTGACTTATCGAGTCTGGATGCTTCCACAGCATCAGAGGACAGGTGTGAGGAGGGTGAGGGCTGGGCAGCATTACTCATAATGAAACAACATCCACATTAGCATGAATAAATGCCACAACTCTGCCATGTGTACCTTATTTTACTGTTAGTGTATCCATGAATCAATTAAAGTGAATGAATCATTAAAAATGATGTTCACATATGTATATAAATTGCTATCCTTGTTTTCATACTTAATGAGGAGACAAAATTACAAATATTGCAATGCCCCTTTTAATGTATTTCCATCCTGTGTATCCATCTGATATTCATGTTCTTCGGTAGGTATGCTGTGTTGCATTTTTAACAATTCAAGAGATTGATCAATCTCACTTAATCTTTGTTAATATAGCACTGACTCGCAACAAATGTTATCTTTAGTCACAATAAAAAAAAGAGGCTGGTCTAGACCGTACTCTCCACCACACTTACTGCTATCAAGTGAGATCAGACGCACTCTTATCCTATCTTAATCCACTATGAGCAAAACATGCTAGACAGTCATCTACTGTGTTGGGATTGAAAAGGGGATAGAGGGAGATGCAGAAAGAGAGTGAGGGATCAAGACAAACGACAACAGCAGTACATAGAGATGTGTGGTAGAGGTACCAAAACTAATGGAATGAGTGTGTGTACTAGTTACAGAAGCAGCGTGTTAATGATAGTAGACCAATCTTAGTTTTATTCGTGTTAACGGGTTTATAGTGTTAGCTAAGAAGTAGTATAGCAAATAACATTCGGCTTTGTAACTGTGATGAAAATGCTGAGACTGATGCTCGTGGTTGAGGCAGCTGGAAACTTGGCAGGTCCACAGCAGCAGGACATCTAAAGGAATAATCCGGAGGAACCTACAGGATGAGGGAGCTCACAAGTTCATAACACTAATGTAACCTGTACTGACTGAGTGGATCAAATAAAGTGAGAGACTTTTGAACTGTTTTAGATTGGTTTTCCTCTCACACAGTTTTTGTATTTGTTGGTAAATGTGTCTCATCAGCAGAAGCTTTGCTTTGTGGTGTTCCTCAGGGCTTTGACCTGGGTCCTCTTTTTTTCTTTTTGGTATCTGCTCCCTAAAGCATTTTATAAAACCTCAAGGTCAAAGGTCTATCTGTTACAAACACTCAGCTGAAAACAAGGGGGAACAGAGCGTTTTCAGTATGAGCCCTGAAGCTCTGGGATATCTGTCCAAGGAAATTAGGTCAGCTGATTCACTGCCCTGGTTTAAGGCACCTCTTAAAACATATTAACGACTGGAGAGCCTTTTCTAAAAAAAAATTAATCTGCAATGTTTTAACAGTGTCCTGACTCATTTCTATGAGGTATTGGTTTAAATAGCTAGTTGTCTTATAAAGCACTTTGCATTATGGATTTTAAAAAGTGCTCTCTAAACAAAAATTGAAAATTAATTAGCAGATTCTAAAAAATAAAATATTAATTTTATTAAACAGAAAAAGTGGATAAGGATGAGCCCTGTACATGCAAGCTATGTTGTATAACTTCCTGTTGCCAAAGTCAAAGCAGCAGCAGAGGTCGCCCTGAGGATCAATGGCTGTCACAACCTTCTGCTGGCAGCAATAAATACATGAGAGGAAGAAATACTGCTGCAGGACCAAGGCAGGTGAGATATCCAGCTGTGTGATGGCAGACATTGTTCCAGCATAATATGACTGATGCTTACAGGCTGCTTTTTCGTTCTGTGTTAGATCTTAATTCCCCAGACTTTAAGGGGAGTGCTATTTAAAGTGTCACTGCTTAATCAAACTATAGAGAGGAACAAGTTTTTTAAATTAATGTGACAACTTGTGTGATCTGTGGAAGTTCTCTCTGAAGTATACACAGCTGGAATGAATTCATGTAAAAGCAGGTCAGTCTTAATATGGATTTCTGATTCTCGATTTAGTATCAAGTGACTCAAGTATCACACTAGATGTTGCTCAGCACATAAGACATGGTGAAAAATGAGCTATAATTACTCTGTGTCAGGAAGGGGATCAGTGGTAAAACAACCACAAAGTTAAACCTGATTATTTAAGATGTACCTTCTTTGGAGCAAACATGTTCTGCTTGAGTTTCTCCACCAGCTCAGGTCCAGCAGTGGCCCAGGTTTGAGAGAACATCTCAGCCTTGTCCGGGTCCAGATGAATGGCCTCCAGCTGCTGCTGCAGAGCGGCTGGCTTCACATTATGATACACCGCCTATAGAGGGGAGGAGATGATGGTTAGAGAAGCAACTGAGTATTAACCAAGTTTTAGATGTGATACTGCTCCTTGTTACAGTCCTTATCATTGTCAATATTTACACTCCACTCAACACTGCTGCAATACAACTATTTGTAATACAACAGTGACCCCTGCTGGTGAAATGAGGTCACAACGTAGTCCATGAAAAAAAGCTTTAGATATCAGACATATAGTACACTGATTTCTTTTCTTTTTGTTAGCACAATTCTCTAATCACATTTTACCAAAGAAAACATGCACTTAGTTAAAAAAATACATTTTCAAACAAGATGTGACAGTGTTGAGTCACCACTTTCTATTAAAAGGGCAGACAGGGCTTTAGTGCAGGGCTCCAACAGCAATGTCATAAAAAAAAGTTCCAATTATCTGATTTGTGCATCTTCAATCAAACTTGTATCTGGTTTCTTCATTCTGATAATTAATCAAATATCTTTGGCATGTCATGACATTATCTTGGACTCATAAAAATCACAGATTCTCCTCCTCTATCGACATTTTATAGTCTGAACAAATGGCTTAATATTTAGGGCGCCACTGCACAGCCTCTAACATCCCTGGGGGGTATGAATGAATGAATCTGTCTTTTTTTGCCTTAAAACGAGGCAGCTTGGACAAAATGTACTTCAACGAACAAGAGTAAAAGATATACAAGATATAAACAAGCAACAATGACCAACACATTTAGCATTTAATCACCCTGTAGAGAAACATGAAGTAAAAAATTTCAATAACAGATGACACCCCTCACCTGCTCTAGTATGAAGGCAGCAGTTTCCAGGACCAAACTGAGAGCCTGTTTATCCAGCGAGAGGGCAGTCTGAAGTTTTTGCTCTTCTTCTTCACTGAATGTCCGCTCCTCCTGTGAAGAAAGACATCATCGAGAGTGTTGGTTTGAGGGACTGGAATATGAGTGATGGCTAACACTCATTATATGTGGCATTTTTCAAGATAATGGCTTCTTCACAGGTAAAAAAAGAAAAAAGTCTGACATTTCCTTTGGCAATCATAGCAATACTTTTAGATAAACATAAGGATGTTATTATGTTCTTAATTTTATTGAGCTAAAAAACAAAGCAGTATCAATGTTGCTTCACCAAGAACACATTAAATAAGTAATAGTTTTTGAAAACATTTGATGAAAACATGACTGGGGTAAGTATTCGAGAGCACCCAACTTTTTGTCTCTGTAATCAAAACTGCACAGCTACCAGCTGTTAAATTACCCTATATTCTTTTACACTCTTGAAAATAGATTATTTGTTGATTAAATGCAATAAATTCTGGTTATAGCTTCGAACACAAGCTGCATGCAAAACATGCAAACACACCATTAGCAGGATTATTGTTAAGAGTTTAATTCTTGCTTCTCCTGCTGTGATAGTCCAAAATGTCTGTGAATATTACTTTCAGCAAATTTATACCTATTTCTCTGAAATAAAAAATCAAAACTGCAAGACATTTTTTCTCTTGGAAGTAATGACTGAGACCTTTCTAAAGTGAGCTGAGCCAAGCCCAGGCTGATCATCTGTGCCAGGCATGCGTGTGCATTCATTAGAGCCGAGCCCGACTGATGCTCTGGTTACTCATTATGCATGCACCACTCTCTCCGCCACCACAGCTTCGCAGCACAAGCCTCAAAAGCCTCTTGTCTTTTTGCACGGATCACACTGTAGAGTCTCTGTACCTTCAGATGAAGCTTTTGTATGATGCGGGAGATCAGTCTGGAGAACTTGTTCACATCAATTGCGTTGATGAAAACCACCGCTTCTTTTATGCTGTTGGAGAAAGGTTACACTGATTAAAGATAGGTTTTGGATGTTGATGACAGCAGTAGATTAGTAGAGATATAGGTTCAGAAATTTTCAAAAGGGATCACTGTAACAAACACACAAAAGGAAATACAGCTGTGACAACATGCACCATCAGTCACGAAAAGAGCGCTTCAGTTTGTGATTGCATTAGATTCCATAGTGCAAGTGGAAGGAGGGTATTTCAAGTTAACAAGGGGGCTGTGGGTAGTTGTTTCTGATGGTAAAGTTTACATAGAGAGATGCAAATGCGCAATTTAACATGCCATCTATCTTTCTCCATCTATCCTTTTGAGTGTTGACCAAAAGCATTCTATTAGGTTCTGAACACGCCTCCTTGGGTATTATTTTAGTCAATCAAAATTGAAAATAATAAAACCACCTCAATAGCAACATGAATTAGAAAACACCTCTACAATGAAGGGGGCCTGTTTCAGGAGAGGGTTGGGTGGATTATACAGACGATTCGTTTTTGCAAATCATGGATCTATAACAATTCAGGATAAGATCTACAATTTGTAACTAGGATTTGGTATTTTTAGAGTTTTTTTAAATTAGGCTACATGTCCCCCATCAAAGCGAAAATCCCCACCGTGAATGACCAGAATGCTTTCGTGTCTTACTTCTGTGCTCTACGTGGTTTAATGTTTGCACCTGAGAGAAGTTTTATAATAAAAAATAAATCAATACCAGCTTACCTTTGTGTTTCTTTGATTATAGAAGTCATTGTCGCCTGATGTTTTGTTAAAATGATAACTGTAGGAGTCTCAAAGCAGCAGCAGCATCCTCACTGTTTTCATTTCTACTTCCTGCTGTCACGAGACTGGTCTTGTGACCGTCAAAGCTGCGCGAGAGTGCGCAAGGAAATTTTAGGTAGAGTAAAAATACACCATTTGAAGACGTTAGAAAAAGGTTTGAAAGAGTGCCTCTCTATAAATGCTGTTACAGCCCTGTCAACAGAAAAATAACGTCAGAGCAGCTGTCGTCTGACTAAAATCCACACTGCGTAAAACCTGCGCATAATAGAATACAAACTACGGAATGCGCAATGGACAAACATAGCAGGAGGAAATGCGGAATAGCAGGGGCGTCAATTGTCTTTTAATGTGTTTGTTTTTTAAAAAGGCATTCTTTTGCAGTGTAGCCATTCATTTTATTCCAACTACACTATCCCATTATAAGAGCTCTTTAATTTAGTTTCTTTCATGTAAGTCTTGTTACTGTGCAGCTGCAGATCTTGGGGATTGAGAAAAGTGAACTGGTTTCTCACTTATATTTAAATGGAGATGCAGTGGTAAAAGCACCAAGATTGTGAGATTGAAATAATTCACTGTTTATGATGTTAAAGAATGAACTATCTGTTGAACTGTATTTGAGTAAAACTCATTTATTCTCTAGATGCTGTGAAATCATTTTTGAGTCTTCTATTGACGTTTTCAGGCTCTTCTCAAACTTGTGTCAATGCATCAGTCACACAAAGAAAAGTCACAGGCAAGACTTTTTGCTACCAAAAATGTGTCACTAAAATGTAATGTGAAAAACTATACAGTTAACTTAAATAAATTGTTGACCCTTAATTAACTTATCACTAACATCACATTAACTCTTCACACAGCTCGCTTTTAAACATCGCGTTTCATTTTACAGTCCTCTACCAAAGTGATGACCAGACACAATGTCATACTATACTGTGTCTCTAACATTAATGTTACATATGCAGTTCTAGACACATGTTAGTAATACCAAAAGGAAGAAATAACAAACATTGGAATTTGAGTTTTGACAGTTTATTATGTTGAAAAATAAGAGAAAAAAGTCATGCACAGATTAAAACTAAGAGATTTAATAAGACATGATAAATCATTTAAAAATATTTTGCATACAAACAAGAAAAAATCACTTCAGATATATATCCATATTTCTATCACAGAGCATATCTGCAATATAATAATAATAATAATTCTTTATTGTTTGCACTGATTTTTCAAACAATCTTCAATGTATGACTGTCAATACTCAAGCAGACCTGTCGCAATTTGGTACTCCAAATGGTTTCATGCCCCATCCTATTGATTGACTTCTTTGGTCTGGAAGAACCAAACCTCCAAGACTGTCCCAAAACTTCACTCCCTGCTTTTTCTGTTCACTAAACATTTATTTGAATGAAATATTTCAGTTTCAAACTGTCACAGATCTGCAGTGTAGCAGCTAAACATCAAGGGCCAGCCTCCAGTGAGGCAGAGGGAATGTACCAGTGATAAATAAATACTTTATTTTTCCTTCAAACAGAAAAAAATACAAACAATAAGTAAAACTTTCTTTTCTTTAATAGGAGAAACAAAGAGAAAACACCAGGAGTGTCAAATCACACAGTACCTTCAGGAGGTAACGTTTTGAAACAAGTAATCTGAGGTTTTGGTAAACAGATTGCATCATGGTAAACATTGGCTGACATCTGCAGGTTGAGGATCTCTCGCTGCCACTATTTGAAGGAGGGTAAATTTGGCACTTTTATGCTGATGTCACCAATGTTGATGTTTCTGGGCATTTCCGGGAGGTTCATGTTCTTTACAGCTGATACGGCACGAGCGGGCGCTCCTGCAATACCCGCCTACACACACAAAACACACACATGGAGGGCTGATAAGATTCAAGGTAAATGAAGAAATCATGCTCTATAGAACGACACATATAACAGCGAAGACTGGACCCACACGCACACATACACACGCACACACACACACACAGTGCTAAACAGAATACTAGACAGAACACAGCTGACAAAATGCAGAAGCACTGACATCTACTAGGACGGACAATATGTGCACACGTACATTCAGATGCTTTCATAGCCTCATATGCACATGCATTATTTGGTTTCAGAATGATTTACACCACAACCAGAGCCAATTATGAATCAACTGTGTGAGGACATACTGGACTAGATCATTCACTAATTCTGACGTACTGAGCAGTACTGGACATTCATCAAATGGACAAAAGGCAGCATTGCTTGGAAAGTGAACCCACCGGACTCTTGAGGACCGATTTGGGTAAAAATGCGAGAGGAGAATTGGGTAAAGCAGAAAAATGGATTTGGATGTGAAGACGGAAATGATGTTTGGATGGATAGAATGTGTGCGTTAAATTTAAAAACATGTCTGTGTGATGTTAGCTGAAGTATTGCAGGGGATACTGTTTGCCTAGTGAGTAGAATGACTTTTTGAAAAGCTCAATATGTTTGCATTAATACATTTTTATGAGCAGACAAAGAAGAGTGGCATTTACCCATCTACAGTGTTATCTACAAATGACACGGGGGTGGCTGTATGCCTAATGGTACTGAACTACGATGGGGGATCTAATCTCAGGGACACAGGAGGCACGTCACTCTAACACAATGAATCTCAATGTAAAGTTGTATATGAATGATTTAGTTTTTCAAGCATAAAGGTGGTTTAAGTGTTTGGAACAAATATGACACATCTGCAAAGAGTGCCTGATACGGTTTTTGATTGTTTAAGTCTGGAGTGTGGGCAGACATTTGAGAATCACTGCAGTTAGAGATCCCCCCAATTGAATCTTCAGCAGATAGACCCAAAAATGACCAAACAGCTCAAAACGCAGCCTGAGTGAGATGACACCCACCATGTATGTGAAGAATGTAGACTTATCCACTTTCACAAGGTTATATCAATAGACTGTTTGTCCTACAGACATTCCTCCCTCAGCTAGGAATCAAGGAGACTTGTGTCAGACGGACGAATGACCGTGGTGTTAACTGAGGGGAATGCTGATCCAGCACACGGGTCACTATTCAGGACTCTGGATATTTTTTCCTCACAGTGAAAAATTGAGAGACCTACTGTGCTGCTTTATTATGGTGGAGTTTTACACCAAATGCTGGGTGACTAATATATATACAGAAATAGTAACACCAGCTGGGGGACAATAAAACAATGGTTTTATTCTGCTGTCTGTTCTAGTGCAAGAGCCTTAATAAAGCCTGGAGCAGCACCCTGTGAGCTGTCTTCAAGGGATATCAGTATATGGTAAAATGGCACCAACAGCTGACAGTAAACAATCTCTTTTTCCCAATCTTTTGATGGTATTATACACTGTTATTGACAAAATTCCGAAATTCTATGCAATTATGGGATGAGGAACTATTTGCCCACGCAGTCTCTCACAGAAAGGTGAACTCCTTCCCATATGTACCCCTAATATCACCAACCTGTAGCAAATCAACCTCAGTATTTGAGAAACGCCTCTTCAGGTGTTTCTTTTTTCAACATTACAGAACTTTTCAGTGTCTCTCATTGTCCCTAACACGACCTTTTCTGTAACGTGTTGCTGGCACCAAATTTAAAACAAGTGTTTATTTTTTGACTTCTAGTGGAAATAGGTTTTTATTTATATTTTGCAAAGCTTCCTAACTCTTTCAGTCACTCCGTCTCTACTGGTTGTCTAGTAACTGGGTGTAACTTCTGAAAAGTCAACGAAGTGTATAAACTTTTCCACTTTCATCGAAGAAGATCTTTAAATCTGAAAATCATGTTAACAGAAGCCTAAGATTCAAAATCGAACAATAGTGGTGTTTCTAAATCAACTGGTATGTACTGAAACATACAAACAGCTGTATCTGTCATCAGGTCCACCACCTGTGCGTTCACAGAGGGACAAGACCTGTTTGAGTTTACAAACTTGATGGAAACATTTTTGGGTCTGCTGAGAAAGATTCCTACTGTATGTTAGTGACATCAGTTTATCATTACATGGAGGGCCGTATGGAGAGACTCCTGGGGGAGGTAAACTTCAATTTAGGTTAAAGTACTTTGTTGTAAATTTAGCAGTACCTGTGTCTACCTGTCCTGTCTGGTAGACTGAAAGATAAACGTCTGTAAAGAAAGAGAGAGAAGAATGGAAAGAACTAGACAGAGTCAGGAAAAAGAGGAATGAGGAATGTTAAAGCAGATTAAAGTAATTACAGTTTATCTCCACAGAAAAAAAGTGAAAGGACCTATCATAGACCACATCTGTACAGAAAGAGTGACCTACACCTTCTCCCATTATTGGCTTTATGGCAAAAAGTAAAGATACGGATCTAAAAAACGTGATGAGAAAAGAGTAGAGCCATTAATCAACCCGGTTGGAAGGAGAACAGGCCATTGCTTGTTCTCCGGAGAATGCCCTATAAATGGACAATGTCATTGTGCATTAGCATCAGAGTGAAATCCACACACTGCGGTCTAGGGTAGGTCCAAGAGGGAAAGACAGAGCAGTTCTGATGATTATAGAACAGTCAAAGACTCCGCTTACAGAACATCAATCCAAAAAGAAGACTCTGTTTTGTTAAAAGCACAAAAAGCAGGTCAGATCATTAGACAAAGTGTTCGTTGTTACGGCTAAAATTTGAAGAATTCAAAAGTCAGTGCAAACAAAAGATGTCAGCCAGTTAAAAATCAGAGTAAAAGACTCATTCACACCTAAAAAATAACTCACTGCGGGGATTTTCAGGTAAAACAGAAGCCCAGTCATTGTTGCTGTTAAATTAAAGGACTACCTACTAAAGTCGGCTGAAATCCACTTTGCAAAACATACTATGATTTCATTGAATTGTCTCTGGCTGTCTGTTTGATTAACTTTCAGTTTAAGTAGATGAATGTTAATCTGCTAGCAGAAGCTGCATGAGAAGCAAAGCAATGTCCTCAAGTAAAGCAAATATCTAAGCTAAGACACCAGTTCAAAAAGGCTATAAAAAAAAAACTAAAAGAGCAGTTACCAAACTATCAAAAAACACTTTTCAATAAGACTGCTACTTCATCAGCATGTTGTATTCAATACGTCAAATCTATGATCAAATCTAAGACTGCAGTTGAGCCAAGAGATGCACCAGACAACAGTACACGTAAGTCTCCATGATAAAGACAAAGTGACCATGTCTCTGTATTGAATTCTGAGAGATACAGGAGAGGATATGTCAGACTCAACCTGTGTGGAGAGCAGAGCAGCAGCGAGAGGAGAGGCCGAAAGAAAAGAGCACAAACACTCAAGAATAGGTAGGGAGCATCCACAAGGTCATCGGAGAGAAGCATGCAGGGTGCAGCATACACACATGCCTGCATACTTTACACAGTACCTCAGAGAGTATGGAAGTAAAGTCAAGTCATACATTCAAACATAAAGAGGACAGGCAGAGTCAGGTTTACCTCAGACTTCTCCATCTTGTTCTGGGCGTCCACCTGTGTTATGATTTCATTCATGTTGGTCTCCAGGACCATCCCGCCCATCACCATCTCAGCAAGGATGTTGTGCACCTGAGGAAATAATATGTCAAACGTTAAATTCACTTCAAAAATTTAAAGAATTACTTATAGTTTAGGGTTTCCATTGTGTCTTCAATTTACATTGGTGTTGAGCTGACCAAAAAGGAATTTTTATGGGGCAAACTCTTCTTTAAACTCTCCTTTTATGACTCAGCTGAAAGTTTTTAAGGGGTAAGAGAGGTCTCCTGTTGGACAAACTCAGACTTGTTTTCAAGGAAAGAAAATCTCAGTAACGTAAAAATACCAGATCATCTATAAGACAGATCAACACCATGCAGTTTGTATAGCACGTTCAAAGACATTTCAAGCGGAGTGACTACTGGTGAACATTAAAGATGGTATGGTTCTTGTAAAAAGTCTGTGATGAATGAATCCATGAATAAAATTAAGCTGCTGGTTAGTTTAATCAGGCCCCATGAATATTCATCTAACTGTATCAGCAATGATTTGCTGAATGTATTTAAAGACATGTTTAAATGATTCATCACTGGAGTTACACCTCACGCCAAATATGTCAGTCATTTGACAAACCAATTATGACTCAGCGATTACTCAACTACAAAATTTAGGAAGTCAAAACCAATGACATCGCTGAAGTCACTCTGTGGTTATCAGACAATCATGAAGCCTTAATGTGAGGTTAAATGACTCAGGCAGGATGTCAAACTGATTTCTTATAACACAGTATGAGGAAGTAAGCTCGAACATTCAAACATATGTAGAACCATAAAGATCAAATTAAACTTATTTGAGTTTTTTTTACCTTGTCTACATGGAAAATTAAGTCAAGTTCACAGACATTCTCAAAGCATTTGTCCAGCGTTTCCACAAAGACCTGAAAAAAAAAAGTCATTGTTAAAGAAATAACATGGCATCAAAAGTAGACATAAAGAAAATTTGTTTTTGTTTTTGTTTTTTTACCTGGATTAAGTCTAAAATTCCTAATTCACTCTCTGAGGAGTCCACACAGAACACAAAGTAAAGTGTAGCATAGTGTCTGTAGATCAGCTTGTAGTCTGATCCTCCAATCAACCTGAAATACAAGAGATAAGGAAAAGTCACATCCACGGACGCTCTGATGGGATACATTACAAGCAAAAAGACTGTTTGCATTTATAGATATGATAGAAATTTGACGCCAAAAAACAAACATGACAGAATAAATCAATGGTACCTCACATCAAAAAAGCTCAGGAAGACTTCTTAAACTCCTAATCCTGTGTAATCACTTTAACGACGGTGCAAATTCAGTGGATTTTTTAGCTGTTTTAAAAACTCTTAATGAGGGCTGTAATACAATATTCTATAACCAAATGTCTTTAGTGTCACAATCCATGTTGACAGAGTCTGTTGTAAGAGTAAATGCAAGCAGTGAAGTAAAACAACACCTCGGTTTGTTCCTCATTCATGAATGATAAATGATCTAACAGTTACTACTGATCACCATTCATGAAATCTCTCTCTGTTTCCATTACAGTCTGAAACCTACTCGAGTATTAACTTAAGCTAACCCTGCAGTTACGACCTGCCTCTGAAGTGTTTCGATAATCAGGCAACTTACATTCCACCTTCAAGGAAATTACACACGTTCTCATCCCTCTTGGAGACTAAGTGGAAGGTTTCCCTGATGATCTGTTGCTCTGTGTCTTCACTCTGCAGGATATAATGAGGAACAGAGCAGGTTAAACAAAGTCCTGATGGTAAATAATGACATGTTTGCACACTTAATAGCTTCCAGTGAGCTATTTCATCACTTCTAGCTGAAGGACTCTGTTGGCAGGTAAATGAAGGTGTTCCCCTCCTCTTCCTTTTCAGTTCTGCTTAAAAAAACACGCTGTAAACACTGTTTCCTTCGTCATGTTTAAACATATACTAGAGCCAACAGCGTACAGAGGCAATGATTTCATCGTGTAAGACAAAGTGTGAAGCGAGCATATCTCACTTAGTGCTAATGGATAAGATTCTGTGTCAAACCTCAAATATCCTGAGAGCTGCTTTGAAAGTTCACTGAACTGATAGAGGGATAGCTTTTACACAGTTTCTACATTACATTGGCTTTAAATGGCTAACATGTCAAATGCATCAATATCCAGTACAGTCTGTTCAAGCAGTCTGTGGTTGTAGTCTCAACTCCAAACCTTCAGTCAAAAGACAAGCGTGGTAAAAGTCTTGTTGTTTGCAGCTGAATCACTGAGTCCGCCTCACCAAGGGGTGCGAATGTCCTCTCAGGGTGATAACAGGTCAACAAGCACATCGAGGGAAGAGGCTGTACAGTGTGCAGCTGCATGGAAGGTTAACTTGGCAATGTGACTTGGAGCATGGGACTCACAGGGTACACACCATGTAATGATACAAACTTAAATAAGAGCAAAGGTTTCTACAAGCTGCAGCATCTTTTAAACTGTAGGTTGAAATGTTTTAGTGGAAGCCTGCACCCGTCTCTGGACCAAAACTTGCCTCCTGGACCTGTAATGTCTCTTTAAGTCCACTCAAAGATCTTTCTGCTTTGATTTCTTTTTAGTAAATGTAAATTCAAGTAAATGCAAAAGTCATAGAGTTGAACTGAAAGTCAGATTGTCTCTAAATGTTTTTATAAACATAAAGAAATGTATCTCCTTATTTTTTAACTTCTTGGTGATGCTGTAGAGATGATTGTTAGTATGTGCATGTACTTATTGTTAATTTCCCTCAACCTTCTTTCACATGCTACATCCCACAGCTGCTTTGACTCTGCCACTTGTCTCATCCAGCTGTAACTAATACCACAGTGCTCCAGCTCCGCCACTCCCCCTCCGAAAATAAAATACAGCCACACAGAACGTTTTCTCTGTACGGCCTCAAACACAATCTTTTATTTCATTATTCCCGAACTACAACCAACAAAAATGCCCTCTTAAAAAACCTGATTGCTAAAGCTCCCTTCACAGCTAACAGCGTGTGTGAAACATTATATCCTCCCAGCCAGTAAGCAGACACCTCAGCTTTTAATACAACAGATGGTTGGCCCACAATCCACTAGGCCTTTTAATAATCCAATCATTTTCAGTTTATCCTCCTGGAACACAAATACATGCATGTCCATCTCCATGCTGTAACATGTCAATTATTTTGTGTTTGGATTGCAAGTTTTTGTTAACTATGCTGGGCAGTCACAAAATTAAGGTTATACCCATTCTAATAAGTCATTTTTCTCCTTTTGAATGTAAAACAATTTAATTTTTAGGCGTTCCTTGTTTTCAGTCCTATTGCAGATGCGTGCACATGCAGTATTTAACGATCAAGCGCAGCAATATAAACCAGTGTAGAAATGATAGACTACCTTATGAGAAACACACTGGGGTCATTTTTTAATGTGCAAGCTGAGCTATAAACTTGTAAATCTCGCAGACATATTAGCTCCCTCAGTGCAGTAATTTCTGTGGCTGCTCCCTCCTAACACAGGGGTTGTTAGTGCATGATTTAGCATGTGTATGCAAACATAGGACTGAATTGATTGGCCTAGGATCAGGCTAACTCGTACCAGTGACTAATCCTGCTACATAACTGGGTTTAGGAGGCATATCAGTCTCACACTAGTGCAGGGGTGTCAAACTCAACCACAGCAAGGGCCGTAATGTCGATTTAGGTCTAGGTTTGGTCTAACCTAAGGGCCAAACTGGGTCAACATTTCACCAAATCTTGCAACCTCCTTTTCAAAACATATGTAACAAAAACAGCAATGATTATAAATCATTTGGAAATCCAAAAAAGATAAAAAGATAAGTTATAGGCAATCTGAGATAGAATTTTTTTTTTTTTTTTTATTCTGTTTGTATTTATTAGTTCAAAAGATCAGAGCATGATATTAAAAATAGAAAAATAATGCTTTTAAAGAGCAAACACATGAGGAGAATGTTGAAATCAGGTTTAAAAGCTCAAAATATGACTTAAAATCTAAAATTGGAATCTTAAGTATAAAAATGAAACATTTCTAAATACTGAGTTGAACAAACTCAAAGCATGAAATAAAAAAAATCCAATCATGTTTGACTTGTAATCTTGAAATGCAAGATTCAAAACATGAAATTAAACACCAAATGTTTTCCCCCCGCATTCTTTATCTATTATTTATCAAATCTTCCTCACTCTTTAATTTCCCAGATTTTCGTTGTTTATTAAAGACATTTTAAATAATGATGCTAAAGTTAACATTATTATACTGGAGGAACTCTGCAGACTTCATACTGGTGGGCCAATGATAATACATATATGACATGATCTTGAGAGCCAGATATAAATATATTGTTCCACGGGCCAGATTTGGCCCAGAGTTTGACACCTGTGCATTAGTGCATTGTTCAGATTTTACCTCCATGAGGTTTGTTTGTACTTTTATTCTATTTCACAATCTTGTATAAGTTTTTGTCCATTCTTTTATTTACTGCAGAAACATGACTTAAACTATCAACTATAAGAATATTCAGTGCCCTTCCACGTCCTCTTCCCTTTTCACTTAATGAAGCAGTTCAGATAATTAATTTTGTTGCTTCTTTGTCAGGACACCTTGCTATTAAATTATTAAAGAAAGGGGCAGGCAGCCAACCTTGAGATATAGCTAAATCCAATTATGAGAACAAGCGAATACAGATTGGCTAGCAGAGGATATTGCATAACCCTCTCCTCTCGCAAGAAGCGTTTTCTTGTAGTTTTAAACCAGAACAGGAAGGTAAAAGGCAATAAAGCTGGTCGAAGCAGTGCCAGTAAAAGGATGGAGTGAGCACGAGCTGCTCACAAGGGCGTCATTAAAGTCATGTGACACAAACAGAGTGAACTCACTTACACTGGATTCATTAGCACAGCTGGATTTGACGTGACAGCTGAGGAAAACCGGCTTCAAACCGGGTTTACACAGCCTCTGCGGTAAACATGATAGCCCGGCGTCGGCTTGCACACGTTTAATTATTCATATTTTTTAAAAAAAGGACAGCAGGCTGACATTTTATATGTCAGGAACAGCTCGAGACAACAGCACTGTGAAGTACACACACACACACGCACACACACACGCCCTCCCATTCAAACAGTTCAAAACAACATTACAAAGATGGAGCTACATTACAATTGCTGCATGAGAAAACATTAAATAAAGTATCTTTTTAAGGTTTGCTTTGAAATTTTCCAATCTACTTATCAATTGTGGCCTTTAAATTGAACAGGAAATAAATATCAAAGCCAAAATGTGTTGAAAATATCACTCAAATTCCTGTTACTCACATAATGTTCGTAGAATTTAGACAGCCTCGGTTTCCCATGGTTGTTGAAAATTAAAATGGCTTTAATCATGATTGTAGCTGAACGGAGGGAGGCGGGGGGGACACGATGGCTTCAGTCTGTCACAGACTGTAGTCCGGTAACTCCCGTGGACTCAGACCCGAACGGGAACCGGGCTAAATCCCGCGTCTCGAGAAAAAGGTTATTGCGGGATAGCTTCGAGCTACACGCTGCTGCTACTCCTCCATCGTCTCGTTACGGAAATATTTCCACGTCAAAGGGACCAGTCATGCTCTCCTCCTCCTACTGCTGCTCCTCCTGCTGCTACAGCAGCCGCGAGGGCTCAAACCTCTGCCGTCCACCGTCGCAAATCACAGAGGGGAGTAAAAACGTTTTTTTTTTTGTTTCTATTTTAGGGGATAATACTGAGATTAACGAAACAGAAGCATCACACAACTGCCAGTTTATATCAGTCAGTCATTTTTTTTGTTCGCATGTTTTATTAGTGTTGTCGCCCTCTGTTTAAACACTATTCTGTACAGAGCCGGCCCAAGGCATAAGCGAACTAAGCGCCTGCTGAGGGCCTGCAGCCAATGGGGGCCCCCCAAGACCAATCAAAAAAAAATCTTTTTTTTTTTGCATGTATGATTGATGCTTTCTGTCTCATCAAATATATTGTATTAATAATTCTTAGTGCCGATATGTCAAAGCTCCACGACTGGTATGTGCCTCCTGCTGTGCAGTGTGCACTGAGCATCCAAAGCGCAGGTACAGTAGTTGTGGGGCAAAACAATGTCGCAAAAAAGGACATATCCTTCAGGAGCAGAGAAAAGAAAGGGGAAGAAAGAGAAAAAAAACACTAAGATAAAGGTATGTTTGCATGTCATGGAATGTTAATCAAAGAGATTTGTGAAGGTGTGTGAATGATTATATTATTGGGATAAATAGAGGGCCCCAAAATCAAATTTTGCTTAGGGCCCCATTGAGGCTTGGGCTGGATCTGTTTCTGTATTATAAAACAAACAAAAAACTTGCTTTGGGAGTGTTCTTTTATTTTATTTTTTTATTATCTATGTGGGTTTTTTTTTCTATTACAAATAATGAAAAAAAAATTTATACCTGTTCATTTGTCCATCATTTTAAGACATCATAAATCAGCTTTTTTGGTTTTTTAACTTGTTAGACAAGTGTCTAGTGATCTAAAAGTTATGGCTGCTATGAAAAAGGTTTTACCATAACATCACTACTGATAATGACTGTTAATATTTCAGTAAGGGGAAAGAGAGAGCCTATAATAACAAAAAAAAAAAAAAACACAGGCACACCATGATTGTTTATAAAATATTTTTTAACTTTGCAAAAATCAGTGTTCTTTAAGTTGTCCATAAGAGGGGGCAATGTTTTGTATTCTATATACAGTATAATAATATAACGTATTTTGAGATGCAAATGAATAAATCATAATAAGCTTAGAGTTTGGACCTCTTTTTTGCAGTTTTGACGTAGTGTTTACCATTAAGAAAAGTAAAGCTCCAGTACAGCTCGAGCCCAAGCTTTAGCCACAAGGTGGAGCAAAAATTTCATCTGGCAATGATGATGTGGCAGCTCAGAGGGAAACTTGCCACAACCTCTGATGCAAGAAACATTCTCCACTTTTTATGGCCACAGCAGAGATTCAAGTCTGAATATTCTGCTTAGCCTGGGAAATCTTTTTAGCAGACAGACTGATACATGTTGGAAAGATGAAAACACATGAGAGTTTTCCAGGAATAAGCAGAGCTTTGGACCCAAACCTGTGGTGTTCAGTCCAGTTCAGGCTGTTCAAATTGCCTATTACTTAATGCCATACCCGAGAATGTGGAAAATGTGTTGTTTCCACTCTTTCTTCCACAAAGCTGCAACTCTGCAGTGACATAAGATATGTTTTTACACAGCACTGTTCAAGCACATGCAAAATAGACATTATTCTGTATGTGCTTTGTAGTGTGTGACTGACAATCATCCAATTTATACTGTACAGGTTTTTAAAGATATATGTTATTTTTTCACAGTAAACCTTTTTTTCATTTTTCTCAAGAGGAGTGAATGCAAAAACATGATTAAACTGAACTGATGATTTGCATTTATATGAAAGAGTTTTATAAACTGCAGGCAAAGACAGCTGGACTGGCAACAGTGTGAGGGTGACTATCTGACTATCGACAGACGATGTTGGATGTAACGTCATAGCCATTGACAAGAGCATCTCTGCCTTTTTCTATTTTTTTCTGAGTCCATTTTTTATGTGCATTCCTATCTCAGGTGTATTTTGAACTTAACACATGTTCCACATGTGCATGGGCACATGGAAAACAAAGTAATTCCTTCATCTGCTTCCTGTTATTTTGCTGGCAGAGGTATAATTCTGATGCAAATCCATGAATGACTGAAGGGTTTTGATTTCTATTTTTTTAAACATTTTTTGTCATTTTAAAAACATTGCATTCAGTCAGTTGCAGTAATGACTAGTGTCTGCTCCGACTCACTTTATTTACTCAGAGTTTCATCTTTTCCCCTTGGAAACAAATCACAAATCCTCAAACAAGGCTGAACCATTATTACCATTTTTTTCCCTCAATCACAGAAAATGCAGGATGTGTGAACAGACTGTGCAGTCTGCCATTGTGCAGTTATGCAGACAGTGTTTGCACGCATGTGGGAGTCAATATATGGAAAAGCTACCGTTATGAATTTTATTGTTTTTTTTGTTTTTGTTTTTTTTAAATGAGTTTGAATTCTGTGTAACTTCAAGACAGAGTCCAAAACATATCCCCCACACTGACATTTAAGTGTATCTTATCATTCCTTATCATTTCTATGCTATCTTATCTTATCCACTTTATTGTTTCTCAACTTCAGCTATATTACCAAACTTCTTGATGACACCCATATGACTTGTTTTTATCTAATGATCTGTAATCAAGTTATTAGTTTGTTTATTTAGACAAAAGTTACTGCCTTGTTATATCCAGTAAACCATCACTTTTCTGCAGAATCATGAACTTTAAAAATGACTTTTTTTCATCATGTGCGTGTGACTGTCTGTGAACCTATTGTTTCATGCATTACATGTTATCATATTTAGTTGATTAACTTGAACAAACAAAGGAAAAAGAGGTCCTAAAAATGAACTATATTCAGCCTTCATGCCACCAAACATCTCACAGGTTTTTATTTTCCCATGTTTTTCCTCCTCAACCCCCTCTTTGCACCTTTCACAGTGAGAGCTGATGGCTGAGTTTGTGAGGAGAGGGCCCACAGAAAGAGGCTGCACAGCTATTGTTGAACAAAATGCCTGTTAGAAAGAGAGAGGAAAAGGGGGAGGATGTGTTTGTGACAACGTGGTGGAATTGGACTAAAAGAGGATTAGTCCAAGTCCTTAATGTGTGACATGGACACATAATTATGATTTAAACATGCAAAGGAAAAATCTAAAAGTTGTCACATCGTTAAAGGGTTAGTGTAATGAAAGAAGAAACATATTTTCGCAGTAGTTTGTCGTGCAATTATAAGAAAGTTAATTATAATAAGACTGCGTGTTGTGGGCGTTCACCTTCTCGGGTAATGGTACAGTCCAGCACCAGCTCGCCCCCAAATTGCAGCGCAAGCCTATAAAAAAGTAACCGAGTGCACAAAGTTGGACAGAGGAACCTGTTGTTTGAGCTAGAAGAGAAAAACATCAAGAGAACAGAAATTGGAGAGATGGAGCAAACCGAGTTAGTGAAGCCAGAAACTCTGGATGACCTGATCAAAACCCTGCACAACATCTTTGAAAGTGACTGCATCAATGTTGAGGAGGTGCAAGATGTAATGGAAGCCTATGAGAGCAAACCGCAGGAATGGATGAAATTTGCAAAGTTTGACCAGTACAGGTAAGAAAACGCAAAGTCAGTGTCTAAAAAAGCCCCGCTGACTTTACTTAGGCGTTATAACCTGTTTTTTTACTGTTGTATTTTGTTCTACTTAGGCAATTGCCTTGTCGCCCTTGTCCTTTGTGTTGTTTGAACTGGCAAATGTAACTTAATTATCTAGTTTTTTTTTTTTTTTTTAACTTGATGTTTAATTTTATTGCAGGGGGGTCTTGGTGCATTACTATTTTAAAAAGTTTGAATAGGTGGCAGGATGGGCCATTTTTAAAACTTGCACTTATTTTGTAGACTAATGGGCTCTCAAAATGGTTACCGTTGAAAAAAAAGAAAAAGAAAGACATTCCATTATTTGAGTAAAAACAAGTTTTTTTTGACTACCCAGAAGGGCATTTATTTATTTTTAGTTAATTCAAATAATTGAGATTTTTATTTTGCGTTATTTCTATTTTCAATCAAGTTTATTTATCATTTTAAAAACGCCATTTATCTGTCAAGCCGGTAACCTCGTATCAACCTGGTACATCTCAATGTTTATCTCACTTGAAAATATGGCCCCTCTATTCACAAAAAAAAAAAAAAGTTCAATGGCTCCCGTGTGTTTTGATTAGTCAGGGTTCAGTGGAGGGAGGGTGACAGATTCATCCAATCAACACCGAGCACAGACACACACCCGCTGATTCCTGCAGGGATGGGCGCGCGTGGAGGGATGAGCAGCTGTGTCGAAAACATTCAGAGGCTGATGGGAAATCTGTGTAAAGAGGCGAAAGCTGTTTTGAAGGCATTTGACTTGAAACTGAGTAAAAGTTATGATAGTAATAATAGTCAGTGACCCTTTTGTTTAACCTTACAGGACAGGGTATTTTTTAAGAATCTGTAATAACAAATATGACAGCATCTTCTCCTCCCATGTTTTAACAGGAGGTGGGAAAGAAAAAGTAGCCACATAAAAACTGAAAGGAAGCTATAATTTCAGTGATTTGGGTCAATAAGATGGTATGGCTGAAATAAATGTGTTTGGTTTCAATTAATTTTTAGCTAAAGACATGGGACATCCTGCAGTCAAAGTCCAAACCAAACTTTACCAACTCTAACTTATGGGAAACAAGGTCCTCCATTGTTTAAAACGAGTAGGCGGTTGATAGAAAATGAAAAAAGTATACAGGACACCTCTGTAAACTGAGGTCCAGCAGCAGTGGGAATACATTTCATGACCCTATTTATGCAATTCGTTTTCTGTTTCTGCAGGTACACAAGGAACTTGGTTGATGAAGGAAATGGAAAATTCAATCTCATGATTCTGTGCTGGGGAGAGGGACACGGCAGGTAGGAGGCCCGATAACATAGGAATAGCATATCAATATTAACTTTTAATGCGGCTTGTTTTATTGCAAAACAAAACTACCAAATGGCCTTGGCTGAAATTAATTTGTATCGATAAGGTCTCTGATAAAAACAACATCAGCAGAAACTGATAACAGTAAGAACTAATGTGTTGCACTTCAGTGATATCATTTTCTTTAAGTCTGGTTACAGCCGCCTGCTTTGAGATTTTGTAGTAGACTTCTTTAACTTGGGTCAAGAAGAAGTGCTCAGAGATTAAATCATTGTTCTTACTGAAACTTTTCAGTGATTTGTTGTCATTCTGTCAGATCACGCAGAAATCTGGTATCTCTTTGTCTGCATAGTCAGTCTGAGGTTATTTGACAACTGTTCCTTTTTTTGTATTAATCCCAGAAATAGTCAGAGTTTGAATGTTGCTTTTGTTCCTGGGTTCACGAGGAGGACACATCCTGACAATGTATTCTTGTGTGTACCTTACACTTTGCAGTAGCATCCACGACCACACAAACTCACACTGTTTCATGAAGATGCTGCAGGGTCAGCTGAAGGAGACGCTGTTTGCGTGGCCTGACAGTAAATCGCACGGAGACATGGTACAGAAGTCGCAGAGAATCCTTCAGGAAAACAAGGTTGCTTACATAAATGGTGAGAAACCCATCTGGATGCTGTTTGTCTGTTTGTTTTTAGGAGTTAGCCATAAACTCTTCCTGAGCATTGAATCATTTGGTTCTTATTAATGCTCCTCTGCTGTGTGTGGGGGCCAATTTGAAACTGCTCTTATGCGGCAGTGTTTACATTTTAATGTTAAAGCAGCCTAAATCATCATTCTGTTTTCATCTATCACATGTTAACCGGCTTTGTGTCGCTGTGTCATTTTTATAAGTGCAGTTTCCAACCTCTGCACTTATGTAATGATAGACTGGTCTCTTAGGAGTTAAAAGCCAGTTGCAACTTTCCGATGAATAGTGTTCAGGTCTCTTCCCAGATCTTTGCTGACTTAGTGTTTCCCCAAAGCCAACATGGCACTGGTGTGATGTTTGCTCTCACTTGTGGGTTGCAGCACTGCCAGTAACTGCCTGTGAGCCTCGTTTCACGGCATTCCAGCGGTGTTCACTTTTTTTTAAAATATACGTGTTTGTTCGTATGTGTTTGCACATTTCAGACTCCCTGGGCCTGCATCGTGTGGAAAATGTTAGCCACACAGAGTGTGCAGTCAGTTTGCACCTGTACAGCCCCCCTTTCCAGAGCTGCCAAACCTTTGACCAGCGGACAGGCCACAGGAACACCGTCAAGATGACCTTCTGGAGCAAATACGGAGAGAGGACTCCATTTGTAAGAGACTTTTTTATGGCTTTGGCACACAAAGGAAGAAAGAAATCTCATTTGATTTAAAACTAGACCTCTTTCCCTTGATTCTTGGTCCGTGGAGGCTCAGATTTTGCCACAAATAATTCCTTAGAGGAAATTTTACATGCCAGGAAAAGTAATTTTGCAGAATTATGCATCGTACAAAAAATAACAAAATCAATACCAATGCAAGACAGCATACAAATGTATAAAGAAGCATATTGTGAATGCTAAAATATAAACAAACTTTGTATGACAAAAAAAGGTCTAAATGTAACAAATTTGGGGATTTTACATTATCTTACAACTCAGAGACTCATTACAAACAGTTAAATGAACATGAAGACGTTCTCCACCCCAGTTTTATGAGGAGGAAGTGGCAAGTTTTTTACGTGGCTTGGCTTCCTCATTACACTCGGCCTGAAAGCAATCAAAGTGGCTCCTCTAAAGGATTGAGGAATTTTAATAGACGGTTTCCATTTTATACTAATTACTAGATCTGCTGCTGGTTAAACAAAAATGCCACATAATGGGAAAGAAATGTTGTTCACTAAACACGAGAGCTGTTTATTTACAAGCTCTGTATTGTCTGGTGAATCTTTGTTGTGGTAAATGTAGAAGTCGGCTGTTTCTGCAACAGTCCAAGACATTAGAAATACAGTACCTTAAAGGAATAATCCGTCTAGAATTAATTTAAGTCCATCTCATCACCAGTTAAAAACCCTCACCGGGGCTTAAGGTCAAGCTAAAATTTTTAATGTATCCTGCAGCCCAAATTGCTGCCCTCGTAGGAATTGACTGCAGACGTGATAAAAATTACATAAAAGATAAAGACGTTAAACAACAAGAGCACCTGAAGTATGAGTCCCTCCTGCTTCCCTGCTAACAACAGCAGCCTTATCTGATACCTACGTGTTGTATAAGCATACCTCAACCATAACACTGTCAGGTTAGAGCATTAGATTGCAACACAAACAGATAAGATAATAGAGGAACATGAGAGTGAGAACACAATGAACTTAACTCTGTATACACCCTAAGCTTTATACAAATCTTGTCTAAAGTTTGAAGGAGTGACAGACCAGAGGCTGTTTAATGTTTGTTTCTATTAGTCCTAAAATAAATCATGGTTTGTGTAACTCAGTGATAATGTTCTGGACTCTGCATCTAATTTGCCCTCTTTTCCTCTCTTCATTAAAGGAAACTACAATTTCACAGGAAAACAACTAATGGTCATCAAAGGAGGCTCCGGATGATGAAGACAGTCCCGTTTAAAATGACAATGTTGTGAAATTGATTCAAGGGAAACTGCTGGGGGAAGCAAAATGTGGACCTACTATGACTAAGCACCCATTTTAAAAAATCAGGAACGGGCCAGTTCAAAAGGACAACCCGGTAATTAGAATGGCTTTATCGCTGCCCAGTGTGAGCTTGGCAAATACTGATGAGCACAGGACGAATGCATGAATAGGCTTGGACATGGATTGAATCTGCCTTTTGTTTGCTGGGCCTGAGGAGACCCTTTTCCAATAACAACATTCCTCTCTCTCCACGACCTGTGTAACCACACTTTTGTAAAGTTATGGCCCATAGTCAAAGAGTAGAGCTTCAACACACGAAGGAGGGTAAAATACTGCTCTTACAGTGTTTCTCTTCAAATTTGTATTTCATGAGAGGTACACAGTTCTGCAATCAGCTGTTTTGTTATCAGTGGAGCACTTTTTAAGTTGTACTTACTGTTGATTTATACCACTCAAAATTGTCTTAACACCTGTTGAAAATTTTGAAGGAATGTAACAATGTTTGTATAATCTAATTAAAAAGACGTTTGTTCCATTTGCGTTTGAAAAGAGAAATGTAAAGCTATAGAGTTGTGTTGTTTTTAAAAGTGCGATGGTTGTAATTTATTTGCAGGTTTTTTTTTCTGTTCACAGTGGGAGTGTTTAAATCAACAAGCCACTGTGTTACTCCTAAATGTGTTCATATGCGGGTTTTGACCAAGAGATTCTTGTGGAGGGACTATTTTTTATTGTATGCAGACCATACTTTTAGGTACTATTTCTCAGGATTTTGGCATATTTTAATTGTAGCTGTATTTGCATAGTGTGTAGTTATTACAGCAGAGCACTTCTCATAGCACTGTCAAAAGCATGCAAGCTTTCTATCATGCAGTAAATAATAAATCTGGCCATAACTGTAGACCAATAAACACCTTCTTCCTTTCACAAAACTGGCTGCTGTGTTGTCTTCATTTTGTATATCGTGTATTTTTGGGCGGTTATGCTAAATGTAATAATATTTACTACCTCTCATATGAAGTCAGTGTTAGTCAATGGCTGCTAATGCTTTATTGATCGTCACATCAAAGTTCATGGCAGTAATTACACAAATACAGTCATTTATTAACAGTTCTCTCTGGTATCAGTTCATTGCAAGCAACTTTTCCTCCAGCTGTACTTTGGTACCAAGGACATATTGATTTTTTATAACCTTGACCAGTCAATAGATAACCCCAATAGTGCACTGATAATATTATTTAGGAACCGTAACACCACTCTGACGTGTGTGCTCTGTTGCCATCTTACTGGCATGTTATAAGTTTGCTGACATTGTTTATGTAAAACTGAATTGACCTAAAGAGAGAAGCACGTAGCAAGGCTCAATTTTCCTGTTTTGTTAACAGCTATTGAAACTCATTCTTTTTCACTAAGAGACTTGAGCATTTTGAGAAACACAGTTAGAGTCTTAAAGAGTTAATGCCTAAAAAAGGAAGCAGGTAACAGCATATGAACTGAAATGCTCAATCGAGAACTGCACTTGTGTTGTACTCAAAGTTGCTGATGGCAGAGACTGCTATGTGAGCTGCCACGTGCTGTCAAAACATCCACATCCACACACTGATCATATCCTATGGAGCAACTCAGGGTTCAATGTCTTGCCCAAGCACCCATCAATGTGTTTTCTATAGTAGTTGGGGATAAAACAGTCAACCATTTGACCTAATTACAAGATGATCCACCTTCATGCCTGAGTCATTGGCACGGTTACTCTCTTTAGTATTATGAGATATGTAGCAAGTAAGCTTATGCCTCGTGTCTTGTGTCGTAATGCTGTTGTCTATTTCTGCTGTTTTGGGAGTGAAAAAAGGACATTTCAGTGAAGTTTGTGTTTTCAAAGTGAGATTGAACATGCCAAGCTCAGCTGTTATTGGACAGAAAAGTACAAAAATTGCTCAATGCACACATCCCATACACCAAGGTTATGCCTCACGTGGATGACCCCAGTTCAATTCCAGCCTTCACTCCTTACTCATGTCACTCCAGCTCTCTCTCCCCATCTCCTTATGCTCTATCCACTGTCCTTTCTTCTCTGAGGAACCAAAAAGCCATTTTCTTTTTAAAACGTTGCTCTTATCTTCATGTCGACCGATTGAAATAACAGCTGCATTGACTCAGTGAGAAACGGTGTGCTGTGACGCTTAATTTCTCCTCTATATACTCTTTTAACTTTCCATACCTTTGCTCAAAGTCCTCTTTAGCCACAGTTTTCCTGAGATACAGCCCCTTTTTTACTCAATGGTCAAACAAAAGCATGCGTCATTTGTCGTCCTTAACTGTTTACCTTTGAAAGCACAAAGTGTGTAGTAAGGGCAACGGTGAGTTTGATCTTCTGACGTTTTTCTGTTACAGGTCAACCACAGGATGGCCTAAAGCCAGTGTTATGTAATAATCAAACCAGAGCCTCGATAGGCCCCGTGGGTTACCTGTTGTATGAGAGGAAGACCTTGTAACTCAGATCAGTGATCACAAGGAAGTCTATCAGGTTATTCGCCTGTCAATAAAACAACAAAATTTTAGGGTGGGGACATTGCTCTGTTGATTCATCAGCAGGTCCGACTTTGAGGACATTAAGCATTTTGTAGTGCAGATTTTGCAAATAAAGACTTGCAACCAGTCTTTTACTTCATCCTTCCAAAATTATCTTTATTGAAAGTGCTTAGCAGATCTGCCTGTAGTCCAAACTTAACATCCACTGAAAACACTGGTGCATCAAAATAGTATATATAACAACTCAGACCTCTAATTACTGAGCAGCTAAATCTTCATTTTCAAGACTCCAGAAACTGGTCTCCTTGATTCCCAACTTAGTTCTTACAGAGTCAGATGTGGGTGCCACTATCAACACAAACTGAGAGGAGCTTTAAGCCAGGATGTTTCCAAAGAATTCACTGTCGAAGTAATTTTCCAAATCTGTGCATGCTTTTGTTATGACTGTACATGAAATTTGCTGATACATAGGATCACTCTTTAATTTCTGCTTTTCAAATACTGCAAATATGAAAAAATAAAATCAGCTCAAACATGTCCTCTTCATATAACCATCTTCAGGAACACTCCATTCAGATTGAACTACACTAACAGTCTTGCAAATGTTTTATATGTCCCTACTAAATAAAAGCGTAATATCTGGGAAGCTTATCATTTTATGATTTGCTTCTTGTCCTTGTGATGCAACAATCATTTTGCACAACTAATTATTTCACACTTCATTTCATTAGACAGAAGATTTCCACCTTTGCAGAGTTTTAATTCACTAACTTTAGGTCATTTTTGACAAAAGTGAAAGCACCATCAATCAATGACACTAATAATCAATGATACCAAGAGAATATTATGTTAATAATGGCATAGGGTGATTTGTATATAGCAGCTTCTGGAGTCCCTTTAGTTTATTCCAACAGCTGATTAACATGAATAATGGAGGAGTGAGTCTTCTGTTGTGTCAGCTTTGTTACTCCCTCCTCTGTTAAGTGCTTGCTGTATTTTTCTTCATATCTATGGGGCAGCTACAGTTAGAGGTAGAGATCATAAATCATAGAAGCAATTTTTACACAGTTTGCTTACCCCTTACTTTGATCTGGAGGACTGAGACTGAAAGTGCAAAGTAGAGTCTGGAAATTTTCCTGGAGAAGATAACAAATAGCCAGGGTTGTCCTATGGCACTGAAAGAAGCGGAAGAGCTTTGATAATCACCTTATCAAAGTGGCCCCAGTACATTGATAGCAAAACTGTCATTAATAGAGCAAATAGTACAGATGCTTGCTGTGCTATCAACTCTGACAGCCCATTTGTTTTATAACACATTGACAAAGCCCTTGGTCTGCAACTTCAAGACCTTTAAACCTTCATTTTGTACAGTCATTCATTTTGGTAGAAAAAGTAGAAATTTATAATGATTTTAGTTTGTGTAACACCTTTCATGAGAATGAGTGTCACTACAGAAACAGAATTAAATGTAAAACCCTGTGAATAATGACATAAAAATACATGAATAAAAGAACTGTTACTTTGGATTATTTAAATGCAATTGTTGAAAAGTGGATGAAAATAAAGACACTGAATATATACATTCAGAGACTCAAAGAATGAAAGGGATGAATACATTTAATCTAGCTAAAGTCTTATCTGAAGAAGAGCAGCATTGTAAAAATGCAAAGCAATTTTAAAAAAAGTATTTGCTCGTTCCGTCAAGGAGTTTATTGCTGCAGCATCTCTGGGTTCAGTACTATTGCACAGTTGTTTGTCATCTGCATAACATTTGCACTGCACTCAACTGGCAGCATGTGATGGGAATACTGGACCAAGAAGGCTCCCTAAAGAGATGACAAACATCTCCTAGACTTTAGTGTTTAACTTTCTCCATTAGATATGTACTTTGAAAAGTTTGACAAACAATTTAAAAAATCACAGATTTTTTCAGAGGGAGTCGTGTCAATGCTGCAGTGTGCTGATCGGCATGATTGAAACATCCCATGTTATTTCCTTAAAGGGTTATTCTGGCGTAAATTTAAGTTATGGTCAAACACACTGTAACATGGAGTTAGACACCCCCTCTAGGGATAAATGTTGCAGACTGCTTGCTTCTTTAGTTATACCAACTTTAGTAACAACCACACAGTAGCAATACACAGTGGTCTACATCTACGGAGTTTCGCAGCTCAAGGAAGAACATTTATGATTATTACTTCATGGAAATGCAATCAGAGACACTAAGGCAGAAGACCTACTGTGTCTGCAGTGCAAAATGATTATTGTGGTGATTATTACTTCATGGAAATGATCCGCTGCACTCAGTGATCAACTCGTCAGGGCTCCCCCACAAACAAGCGGCTGCTGGAGGAGAGTAGGTGAGTTGTGTTTGGACTCTTTGCCAAAGAAATCAGGCAAAGCTAAAAAGATGTTTGGTGGCTAGTACTATGGCTGGGACCCTGTATGTACTGTTGATGAAGTTAGGTGCTGTTCTTAGCATTATTTGTGGCTAAGGTAAGAGAATGATATACTACTGTAGATAATTGATAGATTTGAAGTATCTGTCAAACTAATGCGATCTCTGAGAGTGGTCCAAAGTAGGTCAGTGCATTTCCATATGGGCTGTTTTTCTTCTGCTAGAGTTTTATAACATCTGTTCTGAATGCCTCTGGGATTACACATGGAGAATCAATCCAACTTTAGGGTTAAAGAGTCAAATCACCCATAAAACCAAACCACAATAAAACTGAACTCAACACGTGACACTTATTTACCCCTAAGACAGAGGTAGGGAGTTTGAAAACAGCAGCTCCACTTTGTTTCTTGTTTAACAACCTGCCCCACAAATTGTAGACTAGGTAAACATGAAGAGCACCACACCCCAGCTTTGTAAGCTAGTAATGAATGTCTTCAGCTCCCCCAGTATTTTCTTCTGGCTCCTTTCCTTTATGTCTAACTGTACATTATTCATATCTTGGCAAATATGAGTCAAATTTGGCAAACAAAAACTAGAGATCTCACCAGACTCATCAACCTACAGAAGCAGTATTCCTGAGTGTTGTTTATTTATCTTTAGTAGATTGACATTCATTCAAATACTTTTCGCGAGACAAAGAAGTTTCAAAATTTACACTGCCTCACTTCAGATGAACAAAATGCATCAGGACTGGGTGATACATGAGCACCTTGCTGAAGACCTTTCCCTGTAACTTGAAGCTTAAAGACAAGGTTAAGTCTAGTACCAGCAGTGATCCTGTTGCTAGAGTTGTTTCATTTCTTGTCTTGTTAGGCTGTTAGTCCTTATCCTGGACATCATAGTTCAGTCCAGACTGATGTCTCATGGGGTACACATTCATCACTTAAAAAGTAAAGTTGTTTTTTTTTCCCCTTTTCATCTTACCTTCAAATGCATTTCCGACAGCAAAAAAACATTTCTACACTCTAGCAAATCAAAAAAGAGGCACTATAAATAACATTACCATCAAAAATCCTTTATACTTCAGATTTCAAATTGAACTGGTTCACATATCTGCGCTCCTTTACTGTATTACTGAGTGGAAGTTCTGGCTGTAGTGAGTGTCTTATGCTCCATCATAATGAAAAACACATACACCAACAGAACACTGTGTCCCACTCTAACCCACAGAGTCGTGCTTCAAGCATGTTTTTGTGTTTCTTAGGATACAGCGCCAAAAGAGACTGTCAACAGCATAATGTTGTGAACAGATTTCTGTCCTCTCAGGGGAACTGCATGCTACACAATGGGGTGCTGCCTCCAGAAAAGCTATAAGACACAGGTCCAAAATATTTCTCTGGCATAGCTCTACAAGATGACGAGGTAGATGGAACGGAAAAGTGAGAGTAGAGATGGTTAAATTCTCGGAACATGTGAAGCATGAGGGATAGATCTAACTAAAAACAAGGTTATTGCGCAACCTTTCAGGGGCAACACATTGAAGATGACCTATATAGCCTTCAGTAATGCATATGTAAAAAAGCTGAATAGAACTATATTGTAGATGGTGGTGTTGAAAAATTCAACATTAAGAACTTTGACATAGAATTTGACTTTTTTAACAATACAGTCAGCAGCTTCAAACAACCAGCTGCTGTCATGTTTATTTAAAAAAACATACACTTCAGAACAGTGAAGAAAGTCAAAACAAAGAGAACAATTCTCATTTATCAGAGCTAATAAGGGGGTAAATTGAATATCAATCACAGATCTCTGCATTAAATTGTAAAAAAAAATGTGCAAAAAAACAACAGGTTAAAGAGAAGTTTTTCATTTCTGATCTCTCTCTTAGGTTCAAGAGCTTCGTAAAAGAACAGAATAATTTTGGGTGAACTTGATTTGTGGATATGAAACAGAATGAAGCTGAGGTAGGTTTTGGCTTGGAACTCAAACAGATACCCCATACAACCTTTAATTCTTCAGAGAAGGATTCAAATGTATGTACAAACCATTTTTACATGTTTCCCAATAAGTGGCTAGATTATATTTCTATGAAACGTATACTTTCCTCTACTATGGATCTAAGCTGCTACACATACTTTCAACTCCAACATGAATTTGCATTAAACTAGACTTTGAAATGAAGAACTAATTTTCGTCAGACATTCCTTCAGTGATTAACAGCCTATGGAGGAAATCTAAAGCACTTAAAGCAGAAGGCACCTAAAGACATTTTTTACATACTTCTCTGGTCAGAAGGAGTCGTTATCTGAATGCCCTCCCAGACTGACCAGAGTCCTAATCTGCTGCAGAGTTTCCCTCCCTGGGTAGGCTATCCCCTCTGACCCGTCTGACCCCGACTGCCCCACTGTCGCCAGCCTCCCCTGCCCTCTGTTCCTTGACCCCACTGATCCCACAGACTCTGCCTTGTCACTCATGATGTCACTAACACTTGATCTCCCTGACAATCCACCATGAGACCCGTTGCTATGAGAAGCATGACTGTTGGCATAGCTCTTGTGGAAGCTGTACCCACTGGAACCGTTGCTTTTGTGCGAGTTGCTGTTGCTCTTGGGTTGGTTGGTTTGAGCTTGAAAAGTTTTACCAATAGAAACCCGATCAAAGGATTTTTGGCTACAGAAGCTGTGCTCAGAGCCTGAGCTGGGTCGGTTATCACGCTTTGAAGATTTGTCTGGTTCTTCCTCACCACCCACACCAGTGTCACCTGACAGTCCACGAGCCTGAGTGAAGGTCTTATCCAGCAGCATGTCCTCATGTATGGATCCCTTGACAGAAGATGGAGATCTGGGAGTGGGGGTGTCCGCCTCTTTAGCAGACTGAGTAGGCAAGATGTTCACATCCTAAAGAGAGAAATTTAAAGCTTGGTTAGAAAAAGATGGCAACAAGAGACGCTTAAAACAGACAAATCAGTGGAAAACATTATATTGTACAGATAAAACATGACTGGATACTTCTCAAAGTATCGTCAGTAATATGTTTTGTTCTCCACCTTTGCAGAATACTATAAGGAAAGCTTCAAATAAAAAATCTGGGATGTGCGCTTGTAGTCGGCTGATATAAATGTCATCATCTTCACTAAGCAGCACCTGAATTATCAGTCAAATACACAATTTATTGATATAAAAAGCTGCTCAACCACCAGCCACTCGGAGAGCTGTGGCTTCAGTTTGCAATAGCTGCTACTATAATACTATAATGCTCTACCACCAAGATGTAAACAAGCACTGATAACAGTTTGCATCTGGCCACAAGGTGCAAATATGGCAATATTTTGATCTAGAAATAGAGCTTAAGTTGTATTTTGGCTGTATTTGATTAAACTGCCATATAAATGTGTCTGACAGATTAATATGTATACAGCTCAGGCATGAGGACGATAACCTGCAAGGAGGACAGGAGATTGATGGTATTAACACGGCTAACATTAGCTCTATCTGGCACGACAACAGGTGCTACCATACTGCCATTTCAGGGCAGAATACTAATGCTCCTGTTTACACCACTTTAAAAGTCTTTCTGTTTCAATGCTAAACACAAGTATTTAGCGCACAGGGGTTCTTGCAGGATACAGTTTTGAGCTGCAGTCAGAAAAATTCATTCTTCAAACTTAAGTAATTTCTGAGAAATTTGTCGTCTTTATAGTCTTTAAAAATACATGTAACAAACTTGTTTGAAACAATGTTGATTTCTTATAAAATCAGAGCAATCTCTTCCACTTTGTTACCATCCCTTACCAAAGAAGCATCAGTCTTTGCCCTGACATCCAGATACCCTCCACCAGCCAAAGATTCTTCACCTCCACCAGGAGGTCCCACTGTAGAAGAGAGCTGAGGTCTTCCTGGTGGGGTTAAATCTGATTTGTCAATACCAGCCATTGAAGCAAGTTGACCTAGGCTGTAAAAAAAGAAAGATGAAACCCATCAAATTCAATTCGGTAAGTGAGTTTCATTCAGGCTCAACTGAGGAGTTCACCAACATAGACTGAGGTACTAAATAATGGAGGATGTCCCCTCACATACAGGCAGTTTTCAAGAGTAAATGGAATAAAATGCTGAACTTAGAGTGAAAAACATCCATGGAAACAAGATTCCTAAGCTGTGGTGAACTTTTCTTTTAACATGTTTTTTAAAAGTAGCCAGGACATGTCTACAATAGTAAAAAGAAAAAGTCCTGTAGAGTCAAGAGAGACTGCCAGAGCACTGGTGTGATTCTTTCCACTGGGTGAAAGAATAAAACAGTGGCTGGTATAAACGAATGAGTGAGTCAGGGTAAAAGGTACGTTTAAAAGAAACTCTCAAAGCCACAAAATGAGATACAACTGAAAAGTAAATGCCAAAGTAAAGAAAAAAGAAAACAGAATACACACACACTCCTGTGACAACCCCGCTTTTAAAACTGCTCAGCGTCCGTAAGTTCTAGTCCCGGGAAAAACAATGCAAGAGGGAAAGGCATGAGACAAAACAATAACAGTCAAAATACATCAAAGTGGTGCTTTTGTCAGAGGGAAATTCAGTCTCTCTTTTGAAGAAGGCTCTGTACCAGGTTTCCATCAGAACCAGAACAAACACACTTGTTGTTAAAGGGAATGTCAGAATGAAAGTGAAATAAAACATGACTCCACAATAACACATTCATTGACAAAAACTGACACGTCTTCTCGGAATTACAACAATGTGCCATTCTCCCCTCATAACCTGGTGTGAAATACCCTTTCACCTCAACGGGCAGAAAGATGGGGAAAAAAATATTTGATTTTTCTGCTTTAAAACCTTTGGTATGTAATGTGGTGGACTTAAACAATGTTATTGATGTGTTTTTAAATCAAAACCAAATTCCATGATAAAGACATTTCAGGAAAAACTGTTGTTGCTGTTCTCCTAGTCCTATCTGGATTTTGTTAGAATAAAACTGGGGCGTGTAACCCAAGACCCACAATGGGACAATATCTCTTAAAAAATAATATACAAAAATTCATTTAGACATTCATAATGAAACTACACGTTTTAGAGCTAACGAAACACTGTCCCGCACCTATACAAACTAACTCCAGTGGAGTCGAAGTAAACAGACAAATGTTTCACCACACAGTTTTAACAAAACTCACCCTGCATCCCTGAGGAGATCCAAGAAAGCATGGAACTTAGTAAATGAGCTCTCAATGCTCTCCAGAACGGCCTCATCTTCAAGAGCACCGAGAGCAGGTGGTGCTGATGCAAAGCCCGCTGTTTTAAGGGCCTCTGACAGGGAGAGGTTGTTGTCACGGAGACGAGCATTCTCCAACTCAAACTATGTAAAATAGAGCAAGAGAGTAAGTAAACCTGCATGTTCAAGTAAGTCACTCATTACATCTTTGTTCTACAGAGCTGTCTTTTGGATTCAAGACTTTCACAATAAGGGAGGCAGCCTAATGAAATGCAAACTGGTGCCCACTACACAAAATCTTTGCAGTATTCAAGACAAAAGAAAAATAAATAACTAATAAATGGTACGTAAGTATCTTTGAGATTCTCCTCACCTCCATGAGCCTGGACTCAGCTTTTAGCCTGGCCCTACGCTCCTCTGCCAGCCTAAGACGACACTCTTTTAGCTCCATCTGCAGGGCATGCATAACAGCACATACACAAATACAAAGTGTGCTCGGGTTGCATCAAAGTACTGACTCAAAATACTTTTCCTTGCTCTGTTAGCAAAGGTAGTAAGATTTACTTTAAGAATCAGTTAGATGTAACCAACCTGCATACGTGAAAACTCCCGTCCAGTGATCCTATCCTGAAGACGCGGAGAAGGTGACATCTGCCCTACCTCAATCACCACTTCTTCCTCCTCCTCCTCCTCTTCATGATCTCCCTCTGAATCTGACACCATTGTCACCTTCACAGTTGCTGCACCCTGATTTCAGCAGATGAAGATGAATTAAAAAGAATTATGTCATGATTCTCAAAATGTGACCATCCTGGATGAGAATTTCATCCATTTTCTTCTCAATACAGTTTCTGGTTCAACCAGAGCAAGTCGAACTAATTCCAAACTAGACACACAAATAGAAAAATAACTAACCTGAAAGCTTTGATTCATCACTGTAACTCCAGGAGGCATACCTCTGCAACAAAGAGATTCATAACAAAAAAGCTTATGAGATATGTTTCCAAAATGTTGCCCTTAAACCACCAGATATTTTTTTTATGTTTTTTGCTCTGATTACTTTTTTCATCAATTTTATAAATTAAAAAAAAAAAAATTCATGAGTACCTTTTTTGAACTATGAGTAAGTGCAAATCTCCTCACCTCTGGCGTTCAGCTCGTGCAGCAGCACGCCAAGGCACATGACGAGAGCGTTTCTGAGCACCGCCTGAACTCTGTCCTCCTGAGGAGGTACCCTTACGAGGAGCTGCACCAGAAAGAGAATCATTTGAGGATTGGTAATTCATGAACAAAAATTGAACACAAAGGAAGGGCATCTAAGAGCACTGGCAACTGACTTCACTTTCACGAGAGCATTTTCATGAAATAAGCCTCCAAATGAACGAGTCGGTTTCCTTAATATGCTTTTTGAGTCCTTCTAACGGCCATCAAGATGCAGACAGATGTAGCATAGGTTACTTCATGCATGAAACGAAGGTCATAAAACATTAAAATACTGTTTCCAAGGGGTGTTTCATACTAAAATAAGCAAAACAAATCAGGCACTGACACATCACTTTTACGTTTCTTCTTGCACCGGTAGCAGTTCTGGCTGGAGTTACAAAGGGAGAAAAGGATTGATATAAATTTTACTCTTACCAGTTCTCAAGATGACTTAAAAGCCAAAAGGCAGAGTGTTGGAAAGAGATAATGTTTGTGTGAGATCATAGGCACCATCTCCAATAGATTCACAGGAATCTGAGATTACAGGATTTGCTGCTATTTGCAAAGGATCGAGGCTCTGGGATCTACATCTCAGCTAAGTCTAAGCATAAATCGATGCATAACTAAAAGAAATAGATTGACAAAATTATTTAAAATGACTGACATCTAGACATATTAAATAAGACAGATAAATTGAAAACCAGCACCTACAGTAAATACTAGACCCTTTTATAGACAGGTGATGTCACACATATTTTGCCAGCATTGAAAACAGAAACGATTAAACATACATTTTAGGGGCTGTACTTATCACCTTGACAACTATCTATAATATGAACCGTATACAAGGAAAACTAGCATGAACTGTTTGAATTACAAACAGGTGCCACAGTTTAATATGACAAATACAAAAGATTTGTACACAAACCTATCCTCACTGAGCCTTTTCCTCTGACAGTTATGGGTAGTGAACACCTCCTTGCACCAGAAGCTCTTTGTAGCTCAGTAGCTGCAGGCTTGATCCACGAGTACTGTATGATAAAACAGATGGGTAACAAACATGAAGTATGTATGAAAATCATTTATTTACTCGTAATTTGACATTATAACCAGGTACCCACCTCTGGTGACTGTCCTTTAGTGTTCATCAGCACTTTCTCTATCACAGTTTTAATTAGGACCTTATCTATCAAAAGAAAAAAAATACTTTTTTGAAGATTGTTTCAGAATAACCGCAGCATTAAAGTAACATAAACAATAAAAAGTGATTACTGCACAGAAAAATCCCTCAAGTTAGCATGCATGAGACACACAGCTAAATATAGCATAACTTCAAAACAATGCTCTAACATTATCCTAAGGCTGTCACCTCAAAAAAGTGCTCAAAAGGTAGGTAAAATTTTTACATGATGTTATGACTCTGGTTGAGTTGTTTCTTACCCACTAAAGGGTTACTTCGAATATCCAGAACACAAAGAGCAGTATTTGTTTTCAGGGCTTCCAGCAAACGACGAGCCCCCACATCTGACAGTCCGCATCTCTGTAAGTCCACAGCTATATAACAGATAATAAGACAGTCACAAAAAAAACAAAACTACATTTCTACTTCTGATTGTTTCTAGTGTTCCTGTAAAGCCAATACACTCTCACCTTTTACCCAGAGGTCCTCGGATAGTTCGTTTGCAAGAGCAGCAGCACCCCGGTCTCCAATCAAAGTGTTACAGTTAAGGGTGACTCGGCGGAGACCTCTCATTCCCTCAAACTGTGGCTGTCGATACCTCAGAGACTCTGCCCATGCAGTACCGTGCCTCTGCATTCCCTGGTGCTGAGAGATGATTTAGTACATGTAAACTAAGTACTTTTCATTCAGCAATTCTTTTAATAAGTTCCAGGATAGTTTGAGAGTTTTTTTTTTTTTTTATTACATTTCATACTACCTTGATTATGTTGGCCATATGCTCTGCCCCTCTCCAGGTGAGGTTGCATCCTGTAAAATCAACCGTCCTGATGCTCACAGAATACTTGACACTCTGGCAAATGACTGAAACATAACAGAAAATGCAGCTTTAAAGACATGTTTACATGCTTATACTCATTACAACTGTGTGAAATCATACGTGTTAATAGGAGGAAATATTCATGTGAATATACATACCCTCCAAGCCCTCGTCAGTGATTGGACAGTTAGCAAGCGATAGGTTTTCAAGGGAAACACTTTTTGCAATACCCTGGGACAGAACAGATATGGCTCACAAAAACATTCTTACCAACGTCACTCATTTTGTCTCACACATCCAACTAATATGCCCCCCTTCCTCCAAAATGACAGTTTTCCTTAACATTTACAGAATTTACATTAATTAAAACTTAAAGCTAAGAGAACAAATTTTGTGTTGGCGAGTTAAAGCTAGGGTGTAAATGCAATAGAGCTCGTCATTGTGTGTAAGATTTCTTTTTTAACTTCTATTTTCACACAGTAGATCACAGTCTGACTTTGCTATACCTTTGTCAGGGTGATGAGATCCCTCTCTCTTAATGGAAGTCCATTAAGCTGCAAAGTCTTGAGGCTGGGCGAGACAGTCAGACACTCCCTCAGGGCCTTACATAGTTTAAATGTCATGTCCTTGGAGCGAATAACTGGGATCTTCTTCTTGAAGTTAGATTTTAAGTATCTTCTTTCTAAAACCCAAGTGACATGATTAATTATTTTTGTCAAAAATTGTAATTTATTCAAGTCCGTGTTTCAATATTATTGGTTATCCATTATCTTAGTCAGTAAGTAAAGGTTATTATTTTTTTTATGTATCAGGGTTTTTTTTTAAATCCTTACCTGCATCTCCAGAGCCAAGACTAGCCTGGTATGTGCTACTTATTGCAATATGGTGCAAGTGTTTGTTGATGGTGATAGAGTTAAGAATGGGTGGCCAGTCTGTGAGTTTAACCCTGTCTCCATTAAAGTCCAGCATTCCCTTGTCAAGGTTTAGTTTAACAGCAGGAAGGGGAATGGATTCCTGTCTGGCACAGGCAAAGTCATAGTATGCCATGAAGTCCTGGGCACCTTGCCGCCGAATCTGGGCGCTGTCTTGAACCATCTTTGACCTGGAAACATATATACAGATGAAAAGTCAGGAGAAGTCTCCTACGTCACAGTGAGTTTTGAGAAGAAATCTTCCACTGAATCAATCTACTTCTCTAGTTAAAAGTAAAGTCTGTTTTTGGACAGTTAAGTGTTGTCTCAAGACATTTTTGTCAGCAAGTTTAGGGGCGAGTGGGGCAAGATGAGCCATTTTTCATATTTTGGATCACTACATCAAGGCAATCATAGTTTTGTCTCTAACTAATGTATCTGCATACATTTCAAGATGTTGTGCATCCCTGCAAACCAACTGAATGACTGTAAACATAACTGTCTTGAAAATACAGCATGCCAAAAAAAGTGGTCTCCTATGGTCAACTTACCCCGTGTATAGTTGACCATAGGAGTGGTCATTTTTGATTCTTGACTTGTAGTATTTGATGTTATTTCTAATAATTTATTTGTTATCATGCTCATATATACTTGGGGAGATTACTTGCTTGTGAAAACTTAAGCTGCCCCTGATCCGTTTCTGATATGTGTTAACAGTTACCTACGGGATAAGGTCACAATTTGGGTATTTAAATATTGATTCCAAACACACTTAAAGAAATGTGTGCTAAAGTGTGCTATTCAAATGTATGCACAATGTTTATCATTTAAAATCGGTGAATAAATAATGTTGTAGTAAGACTGTTTGAGATTTTTTTTTCCCCTTCAAACTACTCAGGGCAAACATTTATCATTCCTTTATGAAAGATCTACTGGCTTAACACAGTCCCAAAATACTGCAGTTTAAAGAAGAATGTTAAGTTTGGTATTTCTCATTCGTCAGAAAATAGTCTTTCCAGCGTTGAGCAAAGCTTCTACTGTAAACCAAAGCAGCGTTAGCAAGCTAAGCTCCTAGCAACCGTTGGCAGTGATGTACTGACAAGCCTCTTAACAGTTGTTATTAGCCTCACTTTCAAGCGAAATTAAACGATACCTGGCCAAACAAAGCTCACGTATTTACCTTCAACATATGACCGGCGGCTCTATTGTCGTTTTAGGGTTGTTGTGGAGTTTACTAGTCACTGTCTATTCATTTCTATCTTATGTTTTTTTAGTAATATGAACGGTAGATCAAAAGTGGCGCTGTTGTGCCAATTAAGCCCCGCCCCTCTTCTTCGTCATTGCTGCCTGTCTGCAGCCCATTCCGGTCTCTGCTGCCACCTATCGAAGCGGAGTACCATGCAAACGAAACAAGAGATGTACTGTCCGTAATTGGATCTCTGTTCGATGAACTGGTTTCCTGGTGAGGAAATTGGTAGTTACAGCAACACAAGGATAACGTCAAGATCCAGTAAATGGAAAAATACACAAACAGTATCGGGTTGATTTAACACAACATAAAAGAAAAAGCGAATCTAAAACAATGGTTGTCACAGTACCAAAAATACTGAATCTAAAGGACACGACCTGTGCAAAACATAGATAACATTTTAAATTGTTTAATTGCTAAAGGGTTCATTAAGCTTAAAGCCATTCATCAGAACTGAAACAATTTTAAAAAGTCGTGTGAAAGCTGACTGTCATTGCTGTCACTGCTCCTGTCTTTGCTGTGACCAATACTGACTGCAACCTGCAGTTTGCTCCAATTACCTCCTTTCATTTCATCCCTTCATGCTTCCTTCATTTTCATTGTTCCTTCACCCTACCTGCATTCTCCTTGCACATTAGAGGTAATTCATAAATCTGGTCTAAACTGCAGTATCCATGCATAGGATTACTTCTTGCTAGAATCGGAACACAGATCCCACTCACTTAAAGATACCAGGACAAACCACTATACAAGTTTTATTCTACTCATACAATGTGGTTGTTCAAAAACATGTCTGAATTTTAGAAAAAATGTAAAAACATTGTTTTACAAAACAGGTAAAACCTCTGTCTGGACTTGAATACAGACCCCTATAATCATGAGGAATAACTGCTAACCACTGACCATATATAATACAGAGTAAGGCCGCCTTGTTCTGGTTATTTTGCTATCCCTTACATTTTGGTCATTCAAAAGCGTGGTGAAGCTGCAGCTGATAGAACCCAATCTTACAAATTCAGATCCAGCATTCTGGGAGATGACAATTTAACTGCCACACTTGTGCACTGCCCTGAAGTTCTTTTATAATTAGGTTATTTATGTTTACGAGTATATTGTAGAAGGAATCAAAAGCATGGTTTGTATTGCAAAGGGAAGAAGCCACAGCATTCAAGCTCAAAAGAAAAAGGTTCTGGCAGGGGTTTGTATCCAAGACCGGCTTGCTTCAAAGCAGCAGAGATAACCAGCATACTCATGTACTGCCTTGCAGAGCTGATATTTTCAGGTTTATCTAGTACACCATCAATCTTAGTACTATGGTTTTTTTTTTTCAGGCACAGCTTAGAGTGGCTCGGGGTGGGTTTAAAACCTCAAAAAAATAAAATAAATAAATGGCAGTTCCTAAAGAAATCACAGTGTGGCAACTGTGAGCCTTTCCTCTGCCACCTGGAATTGCACTCTGCAAAACTCCTTGAGTGCCACATAGGTTCAACTGTGGCATTTGCTTAACATTTGCAAAAGAAATGTGCAGCACCCCTGTCAGGAAAACTTTGCTAGATCTGGCCATCATGGAGTCTTAGCCTTCCTAAAAATCGGACTCAACGCAATGCTTTAATAATAACAATAATATTCATAATAATAATAACCTTATTTACATAGCACTTTTAAAAACAGAAGTTTACAAAGTGCTTTGATATATAGTCATAGAGCACACGGAAAGAGAAAGATAAAATCAAAAAGCTAAGTTAAAATGGAACTGAAGGCCATTTTCATGTAATAAGGAACCCAGACAATACAAGAACCATGCAACATTAAATGAGACCATGAGGACCAAAATAAAAACTTAAAATAGTTAAGAAAAAGGAAAATTCAATTGAAAGGGGTATCGAAAGTGGAAAATGGATAGCAAATATAAAAGACAATATCAACAATGATAATAAAATAACAGGTAATCCTGATAATAACAGTAATGATAAAATAGAGCAACAGAAATGGGTAAGAGATAAAACAATAAAAGGCCTAAACGGTTCATTGAGAAAAGGGTACAAGTAGAAGAAATAGGATAAAAGAGATAAGAGATGACAGATAAAAGATAAAGATGAAAGATATATTAAGACATATTAACATCTGCTGAGAAGGAACTTGTTCACTAAGTTCACCCTAAAAAGTTCCTTTCGAAGTAGTATGATAATCATGTACAGTAGATATAGTAAGATATAGTTTTTCCCTGTTGTTGGTGTTGCGTCAAACATCACTCTACATTTTGCTGTGAACATGTCAGTGGACAGGTGCACAACAAAAAAGACCTTAAAAGCACAACAGTGTAACAAACGCTTAAAAGTGTGAAAGCATCTTTTTCAAATGTGCATTACTTAACTTTTTTGCTGCTTTCACAAAACGGAAAAAGGTATCAAAATCCAGTATCATTATCTTTAGTTGAGACCGTTGATGGGGTGGGGTGACGTGACGCCTACACCCCAATTTTCCCTGTGTGCCGTCAACGTATCACGACAACGCCCTCGCTCCTGTGGGAAAACTCTTTGGACGAAGCTCATTGGTCAGAACAAACGCCAATCAAACCTCGATTCGCTCTTTTCCAGTAATCCCATCCCACTCTGGAATCACATTGGGAATGGTCTACTATCGAAAACAGGGGCAGGTTTCTTTCTAAACTGGTTTATTGGATATTATACTGGCGAAATCACGAAGAAGGACACCTTCTTACACCAGAGGTAACGAATTGAATTGTTTTGGTGTTTATTTCTGTCTCAGTCAAACGTTTACCTTCAGTACGTAGTAGGTCGCCGCTGTAGCTAGCAGTGTTTTTCCAAACGTCAGTGGCCTGAATGCGTGTGTTTGGGGGTGCTGCCTGCTAAGTGTAAGAAATGACGTTTAAACTCAGCATTTCACATTTACAAGTACCATGTCTCCCATGGCAAAAAATTGCTACACATAACAGCGACATTTATCCAGGGTAATTTGTTTTACGTAGCGTCCGTTTATTTGATAAAACGGTTCACATCATGCTGCCCAGTTGCTAATGCTAATGATGCATTTGGGACATCAGCAATATTGAACACACGTTTTTTCAGGAGGTAGAGGACAGGAGTGAGAATAAAGACCAAAGGTTAAACTTTTCGTGCTGTTCTGTGAGCAGACACAATCTTCTCTAAACTTCATACTGATGGGACCACTGAGGCAAGTATATGATGTGAAGTGTATTTCGCAATTATGGTTGTTTTGTTAAATGTTGGAAGTCAAATCAGCCCATTTTAGATGTCTGAATAGTTCTGCTATCTACCATTTAGACGTAGAAGTTTTTGTTTTTGTTTTTTTTTGTTGTTGTTTTTTTGCTTCACTTCCCCCCAAAATATTCATGTCCATGTAGATTTTTATTTCAGCTACCCAACAACTGTGCGTTTAGAGGAGAGGTCGCAGATTTGTCCACCAAAGTATCATCAAATATTCATGTTAACAGAAAATTGGATCGGGATTCTGTCTTATATTTTCATAATTTGTTTTATTGAAGCACATACCCTATTCAGCAGTGAATTTCTTTTGAAAATGCTTGTTAATACATTTTTAAATATATCATGAATTTACCTTCAGAAATATAAAACGGTCTGTGTATTATCCATCCATTCAATTATTCCATTCAATGTTGAAAACGAAAATAGAAAAAACGAGTCAATGTTTTATTTGTTTTTCTATATAACCAAAAGATTAAGGATTAGTGTTTGTTTTCTTATTTTCAGTTCCAAACAGAATGTATAATAGAGATGGAAACAAAAACAAAATAATTAATCTACTTTTCATTTTCTGGTTATTGATGTCCCCATTTCCAACAGTACCTTTCTACTGTTGGCTACAACAAAGTAGCCAACAACGTGGACCAAAGTCTGTTTCCGAAATGAATCACTCAATCCCTAATCCCTAACCCCCATATGGGGTTTCACTATATAGTTGATTATGTAATGAACTCAATCACCGGAGATTTCGGACACTACATGGCAAGACGCAATGCATGACAGGATGCCCACCACTGGTGAGTGACCATCGGATGGTCACTACATTTGGCAATGCTTTATGGGAAATTTTGAGTCGCCTATTTAGGGCACTGGAATCGAACACCCCTCAAAATGGTGCTAACCCCCATATAGTCACCTATGTAGGGGTTAGGGATCCATTTCGAACACAGCCATAGTAAGATTTTGGTGCTGGAACCGCTCTATCACATCTTTCGCCATGGTAACTGTTGCTGAGGATTATGGAAAGGCCAATGTAGCCTCCATGCACATATGCTCAAAACAGGCGCATTCAAAATCAATAATTGTAAATAAGATTTATTATTTCGTTTTCGTTTCCTTCTCTATTATCTATTCTATTTCTATTTTTTACACTATTTTTTTTTATTTTTTGGTTTTACAGAAAAACAAATAAACGAAATGTTGACTAGTTTTTTCGTTTTTCGTTTACTAGATTGAATGGAATAATTGAATGGACAGATAATACATGGACCTGACGCTCCAAAAAGAGGGAGAATACAGAAAAGGCATTAGGAGGAGGAGGTTTTGGTGGATTAATAATTATTCCTTTAGAGGTGTTGCAGTGGCATTATCTGCACCTGCAGGGGGACAAGTGAAACCAAATATTTTACATGTATTTGCATGGATTTCCATCAGATAAATAACAGCCTTGATGTTATCATCTTCCCCTGAATTGAAAAACAGGTGATGCTACATATAGCCTCTTGTATGTTTTCCAGTTACCACTTAGTTAGATGCATTGTGCTGAAAGTCTTCAGACTAGGTTGTCACTAAGACTCACACTTAGTGATTAATTGTCTTTAGTCAGTCATTTAAAAACAAACATCTCTGAGCAACAGGTCTAATTTCCAAGCCAGTGTTTTACTCACTTCCCGGTGCTTCCAAAATTACCATTTACATTCATGAAAGGGTACGGGGAAAGAGCCAGGAAGGAAACCATGCTTGGTTGAGGTCCAAGAGCGACACACACACTCATAGAACTGAATGTCCCTTCTCCTCAGAGGTCAGGGCACCAACATTTCACACACTTGCTCTGTTTTTCACTTTTTCTCTGGCCAACATCCGGTCTTCTTCTGGTCCCATTGAAAGGTCAAACATAATTAGCAGCAAACTCGGCTCATGTTTCAGAATGCCACCACGCTCATTTAGTATAGCAGAGGCACTGTGTGCTTATTTCTTTGGCCCTGTGGTCACCTTATGACAGCATAATGACAGCCTAGCGGAGCGGAGGCCGTGGACAGACAAGTTTTTCCTGGGTTTGGCCTCGGCTTCCATCCCACACACTTTGAGTAAAGAAAATACCAGCTGAGGTTCTGATCTTTGTTTGAAAACGTGGTTGTGATAGTAAGATGCTCTAAGGCTGTTGGCTGGGTGTCATGTAGTTTGGAGTTATTTTGGCTTTGGCTCCATTCCATTTTTATTTTCATCCTGGTTTTGGATCTGATGGGAATAAAAACCCTCTTTATACTTGAGAGTTTCCTGCACACTGAAACTCTGCTTGAAAGTTTTGGTAGATGAAAAGGAGGATTGACAGAGAAGAGGGGTTTTGTTTGTCATCATTGTTACACCTCTTATCAGCTTGAGATACCAGTCCTCCCTGGCAACATCTTGGCAGAAAGAACTATGAGCATGTTTTCTTTGGCTCTGTTAACTGCGGCTGATTGGAAACTCACCGTTACGTGAAATGCCCCCACCAGTGTGCAGGAATTTGTGTATTCCTGTAACTGTTTTCTAATTTGCACATCTTCTGGATCCATACTCTACAAACACAGCCATGTTACATATTGACCAATCTTGGTCCTCTATTTGAGCACCGGTTCATATTTAGCTACCTAGACGGGGACAAATAAGGCTCTTGAGTACATTTGGATTCGAGGAAGGGATCATATCTGAGGTGGTTTGCCCTTCCCCGTATATTTTGTGTGTGAGATATACCTGGATGTTTTCTATGGCTTACTGGTACTCTAGAGAGATGTCATGCACAGCTAAGTATTCAAACAGAACAGTAGCAAAGTCCAGAGTTGGGGGAGAAGGCAAACATATCAGGACAAGGGAAGAACTCCTCAAATAGGACAACTGCAGGCATATAGATGAGGTTTTTGTTTGGTTTTGAAGTAGCAGTGGATTTCTCTGTTTGTGGTCATATTTATTACTGCTACAAGGACAAGGAACACAGCCCAGCAGAGAGGTATTGATTTGTGTGTTGGTGTGCATTTGTGGCTATCAGTTTCATGGTTGGACTTCCCAGAATCTGCAGCTTTTTTAATGCACTCTGTTTTTTTTTCTGCTTTTTGTCAGGGTTCAGATAGCTGTAGATATACTTAGAGGTTGCAAAATATTTCAGCCTGGTGCAGAAGCTGGAAAAACGGTCCGTCTCCAGGGTTAGTTAAACATATAACAGCTGTCTACATGTGGGGAAGCTCTTGTCCAAAACCTTTTTTTTTCTTTTTTGTGGGTGGAAGCACAGAAGTGTGTGAAACAGACTCCAAACAGCTGTATTTATGTTGAGCCATACCTCAGAATTTCATCTTGAGGTGTCAGCCTGGAACACGTTTGATTCCTCCCACGTTTTGCTTCACCAGTGTTTATAGTTAACCGTTAACCAAGTCGAACTAAATCACGTTTATGATTGTTTTGTGCTTTGGTCAGTCAAAAAGTCTTGCTGAGTGAAGAGGCAGTGGGGATCTGATTGCAAAACTTATCATAAAATGCAGTCAACAGACTGTTGGATGGATGTGACTGTAACATCTGTCTGTTTCTGAAAAGAAGCTCTATTTAAAAACCATAAGGGAAACCACTTTGGGAGCCAGCTGCAAATTTATACCCACAATCTGAAATTCCTGTCATGCTTCTGCTCGGGCTGCAAAGTCTTCTCACGGGCAGAATATGTCTCAATGATAAACTCGACTTCAACAGTGAAGTCAACTTGCCATTATTTAGATGTTGCTTCTCTATTTAAAAGTGTTCATTGCATTTTCTTTGTTTACTAGTTGACTTTTTTTGATACTATCAGAAATCTTTATTTGCACTATTTCTGTAATCCTCTTGTTTCTCTTTTGGATTGTATCCCTGTTGTGCTCTTGTCTTTCTCCAGCATCGAGATAAAAGTGAAACTAAAAAGGTTGGAATGAACTGTTGAGCAGGAGGGAGAAAACGCGCTCCTGCCCTCCTTTCCCATAAATTCGGTCCTCCCTTCTCTGGAATTAGGTAGTGTTTATTTGCGTAGCCTCGTGCGTCTCCATTGGCTGGAAGTCATTGACACCTTGAATAGCGTGTTTTTGCTCACTGAGAGAAAAACAACAGTATTTCATCCACAAAGAAGACTGTGAACTGCCTGTCAGGGTTTAGGAGCAGATGTGGTTTATTCCTGTCTTGTTTTTTTTAGCGTGTTTTAATATGAATAGGGGGCTGTTGGCAAAAATAGAATATCCATCCATGCAGATACTGAAGAGTTATGAAGTAGATGCAGATAAGATGTCTGAATCATTCTTTTCCTGAGCTATGCAACAGTTAAATCACCGTAAATCAAATGCAGTGACCTGCTTAGAATTTATTGGGGTCACGCTATCAGACTGTCAGCTTCAGGTCATGATTGGATTTGTCAGTTCTTAGAAACGGTCTCTGAGAGTGCGCATGTGTTCCTCTGTGTATTTGCACTCAGGTCATTCTGTTGCAATCGTAGGCTTGGTTTTATTTGAGAGCATTGTTTTCTCTTGCTACCAGTATTTTCAAAGCCTGTTCCAACAGGCCTGAAGGGAAACCAGACAAACTGTACTGCAGTATGTTGGTGACAGTCGAGCACAAAAACAACAGAGATGCAAACAAGAATACACAAGTTCAACGAGGCCGATGCTCTCGACAAAATGATTGTGAAATCTTCTTTGTGCTTTAATCAGGCATGTTGACTTTGTCCCTCTGTTTTTAGATAGAATAACAATCTCATTATAAACAGACAGAGCCTTCACCTTGAGACGTTCCCCTCCTACATGTTTTTGCAGATAACTTGATTACTATTCAGTATGCCCATCTGAAGCACCGTGTGTCATGTCTGCTGCATTTGTATCACTGTTATCAACTTACTCATGCGGCATTTGGTTTTGTCTCAGGTCTATGCAAGCACGCTACTGCATCTTGAGCTTACTCGCTACTTGCTCTTTATTATTTTCTGTAAGCATTTTTTAATTCAAATATCAGAAAGTAATTTTATTTTTCTGTCTCAGTCTCTTGAGTTGAAGAGTTGGAAAAAAAAAAAAAAAACTTGTTTTGTCAGATTGATAGTCTTGGTTTTTAGGTCTTTGTCTCACCAGGAATTGAGCAGCGTCAGTACTTCTCAGTTAAAAAGCTGAAACCAATTAATGTTTGGCACTTTGGCTGGAAAAAATGACTTCAGGGATTATTCATTTTCAGAAAAGTTGAAGATTATTTTCTGTCAGTTTGTCTCTTTTGAAGTAATTTTGTTCACTGAAGCGTTTGAGCTCTAGCCAGCAGTACTGTGACCTGGCACTTGTTTGTTCTTTCTCATTGGTACATTAAACATTGTAGGGGTACAAAATGTAAAAATCCATAAGGTGGCAGGGGCCAGCCTGCTGCAGAGAACACTGAAGCATTGTAACTGTGGTTAAAGGTAAGTTGACAGAGGAAGTTAATACACTGTGACCGCCTGTTCGGAGGAATCAGGCTGTGTTGATGGATGAATATTTCCATGGAAGAAAGTTCAATATCACACTAATCTTTACCATCTTTGGCTGTGTCTTCAGTGCTTCACGCTGCCTTTCAGTAGGTGTGTTTGTGTCTTGCAGTGCAAGTCTAAGGTATTACGTTTATGAAGTGTTAACCTTTAATAAGATTTCCTTGTGAAAGGTGCTTTTTGTTTTCTTTGTGTAGCTTTTTTTTTGCAGCGCTGTGCTTACTTTTTATCCTGTGTGCTCAATAATTTTGTGATAAATACTTCAATTTAATTATCAGCTTTCAAGGAAGCGTCATTGACACATCAGAGATGATCAATCCAAACTCTGTTTTAGAAACAACCATTTTAAAAGTGTTTTTTTTTTTTTTTTTTTGTCCTTCTTGAGGATAAACCTAAAAACATTAATTTTATTCACTCCTCCAAAATCTTCATCATGATGATGTTGTTTTTTTAACCTTTGGACCCTTAAATGTTAGTCAATCATGATAGATTTTTGTTGTTGTTTTGTGGGGTTTGTGATGGTACGTAAAACTTGGGGTCTACTGTGTAACTGAGACCTAACCAGTAGGTATGGAAGAAAAAATGATATGATAATGGAACAGTAAAATCAACTGTTTGTCCAGTGAGGTTGGTAGAAGTGACATCATACAGCAGGAGAAAGTTGGTAAAACAAATATTTACAAGGTTTGTAAGATGTGCTACATGAAAATAAAATACAGCATAAATAAGAAAGACAGGCCTAATGCTAATTAGCAAAACAGCTGAAACAATTGTATAAATCGCACTATATTGTACCGCAATACTCACTGTATAGCAAAGTGTTAAAAATCGCACTAATATCGTATCGTGGCCCAAGTATCGTGATCATATCCTGAGGGATGTGATGGACCAAGAAATGACAGCGTTCATGTTCCAGATGTAAATGCTTCAGAGGTCTATCCTGCCTCTTATCATCAGACGGTGACAGACGATGGTTGCTGGTGTTTTCCAAGATTGCAAAAGGCAGAGTATGGAGACATAGTCTAAATCGGTCTGTGGCTGCTATGCCTTTGGAATTTTATCACCGGTTACCTGAAACAAACAGGGGAACAATTAGAGGAAGACGGCAGGAGGGGAGACACATTCATGTAGGTTCCTGTGATGCCATACATACAGTCTATGCTGCCTTCACTGAACAGCTTTCCTCTGATAACATGATTCAGTGATGAATGTCTATATTTACACAGGAAATCTCATCATGAGAGGATTATATAAAAGGGTGGCGCTTTTTTCCACACAGTGTTAATCAGCAGGTTTGGTGTGAAGCAACCTTTGTAATCCCGTCAGGTTAAAAAAAGAGATCCACTGTATTTCATTGACGACTGTGGCGAAAGACACACAACCTGCCTCGTCAACCCGATAATCTTCTTTCATAGTACACCCCTCTGGTAAAACTGGTTTATTCGTAAAGTACCTAATGAAATCAGGGACCGTTCCAAGCCTCTTACATAAGATAGACCCACAGCTGTATTTGTCTCCAGCTTAACTGTCTGTCTGCTCATATCTGTCTGGGTTTTTTAGTAATACTACTACAAAGAAGCACAGATAAACAGCAAAATGTAGACCATTCAAAAAACTACACAAGTGTTAGATTTAACAGTATTCTTGTGTGTTTTGACCTTTAGTCTAAAAGCAGCTGTCCAACAGATGTTTTATTAATGCCTAATATGGATTTTCCTGGCTACTGCATCCCTAGCTTTGGCATGCACTCCTTCAACAGACACAGCTCAGCTGGCAGGGAATCATCGCAGGAATGAAAAACAGCCCAACCTTGCAGCACCTCTTCAGATCCCAGCAGTGACCAAAGCAAACTCTGCAAATCTCATTTTGGACATCTTATAAAGATTTGATAACAAATGCAGGGACAAGAGGCATTTAAAAGAAATACAGTGCAAGCCAGTATATTTCTTTGATTGTTTCTTTGTTGGCATGTCTTTGACCTAACACTTTCACAAAAGCACAACACAACCCTTATTGTTTCAAACAGGATTGTGAGTCTGAAAGCGATTAAATCCTTCCTTCATCACTGGGAATTCTTTGCAGCTTAGGAGAGTTGACCTTCTTTTCTGTTCGATTTGTAACTGAATTAATCGTCGCCCTCTGCTCTATTGATTTTGAAATATACCATTTTCTTCCCATAGGGCACCCTCTGTCTTGCCTCACAGGATGTTCAGCATGGTTTTACTTTAGTGGAGAGGAATACCACAGAAGAATCTGCAAACAGGGACTGAGCCAGTTGATCACCATGCCTCACCCAAGTGGCTGTCCAAGCTTTAAGTCTAACTTTAACCCCGTCTGGCTGGTATGTGTTCTACTGAGCCTCTCAGTGGTACACTCTCATGCAAAAGATGGTAAGAACCAGTCCACATTATCTCTCAATTATCTGATTTAAACCTACATTCATTATTTTGATTAAAAATTGTCGACAAAAATCCTGAAATTGTTTCCATTCTATTTTCAGTACTTACTGTACCACAGCAGGTGAGCCTGTCACCCAACCTCAACACACAACAACTATCCATTTCCTGGGTGGGAGGAGCCGCCACAACTTTTGACCTCATTATCCTGCGAACTGAACTCAATGAAACTGCCTTCTATGTGAGAACATTTTGTGCTTTTTGTACAGTTGTATTACAAATTGTAGATATTGTCACACAAAAGTAGCCTTGATAATAATCCTGTCTCCTGCTTGAGCTATCACTGTCATCCTGGACTAGCAGTCACCTTCATTTTACCTGGTTCATCCCTCTCTGTGTTGTCTGTAGGACACCGTGTCTGTGACAGCGGATCAGGTGAATGGGCGACACCAGTGGAACTGGACCGCTGTAGAACCTCTTGAGTGTACCTCGCTGTCGGTCCAAATCCGCTCAAGAGATGGACAGGCAATAAGTGAATGGAGCAACACTCAGATACTACAAGGTCAGAGGAGAATTGATTTTTCCCATTTACTGAATTCACAAATAACAAGAGGAAAAAATGATAATGCGTGTCATGACCTAAGTAATTTGGGATGCTCATAATTCATTGATTCACTTAGATGGAACAGAAAGCCAGTTTTAACTCGGATTAGTCTGTCTTTGCTCAAATGTAAAAGCAGACAAATGGCTTTCCTCTATGACTATTTATAATTCTCTATTAATATCTCCCTCTGTCCTTCTGTCTGTCAGTTAAATATTTTAAAGACTCTGCTTTGTTCTGCCTTTCTCTCTGCTTCATCACAGGAAACGATATCCCCAGCAGGGGGACATTTCAGATGTACCCCCAGGACAAAATTGTACCAGTGGGGTCGAACACCACCTTCTGTTGCGTTGTGGGGGAGGGGAAGGTTTTTGATTACATCCACTATGGCACCTCGCTTATGCAAGTAACACGGCTGAGCAGGCGTACTTATGCCACCACGGTGGTTAATCAGGGAGCGTCTGACAGTACTGGAACAAACGTCTTCTGCAGGGACAAAGAGAAGTCGAAGCTGACAGGAGCAGTGGTGTTTGTTGGATGTAAGATGAATTACCTGATGCATAAGAGCTGAAGCATGAATGTATGTGTTTTCATGATGGGTGAAAGTGGTTGATGTTTGTAAAAGTGTAACTCATTAACTGTATGTGTCACTATTTGAACATATTCTTAAGTTTGTACTTGTTTTCTTCTCTTAGATACACCACTGCCCACTGATTTTGTTTGTGAGACTCGGGACTTAACCTCAGCTGTGTGCAGGTGGAATGTAGGTCGAGACACACATTTGTACGGCAGAAGAAATACTCGCTACTCGCTGAACAAAAGGTACTCCAGTCACACCAGCATAAACAAATCACAGTTTAAAATAGATACACTTTGCCAGCGCTCTCTCATGTACTGTCCTGTAAACAGAATGGCTGTAACCTGAACTGAAACATGGCACTTTGGTGCACACTCACTCACATAGGAGAGGATACAGACCTGAAAATACTTACAGTACAGCACAAAGTCAGTGCTGTAAAACAGAAAAGTGCACAGACACTAGGGGTGGAAGAAAAAATCGATACAGCATAGTATCGCAATATTTTGTCTGGTGATTTATTGTATCGTCTCATTTACCAAGTATCGATTTTTCAAATTGATTGCTAATATGAAGTCAAATCTATGATAATGGGAAAATAAAATCAATTGTTTGTCCGGTGAGGTTGGCAGAGGTGACGTCATAGAGCAGGAGAAAGTGAGTGCAACAAATAAATAAGACAAACGTAAAGAAAAGGCAAATGCTAAATTACATTGTATCGCAACACTCACTGTATTGCATATTTAAAAAAATTGCAATAATATCGTATCGTGGCCCAAGTATCGTGATAATGTCGTATCACGGGGCCACTGGTGATTCCCACCCCTAACAGACACTCTGGGTAGACTCTTTAAAATGGTTTGGGACAGAGGCGGCAATGACAGGAGATCAGGAATATGCCAGGATGTGGTGTTGTGTCACTTTGCTGGTTGTTTTGTTCAAAATATTCCTGCATCATTTATGATCGCTCACCCTGCCTTTCTCTAAAATATGCTGTCTGCCAGAAAAAAAAAAATCAACCCAGCAAAACAGAGGCTGACAAGAGCACTTAGTCTAAGTAACCACTTGCTGCTTCAGTGTGTGTGTCCATTTAACACTGATAGTGCACTGGCTGCCTGCCAGACCTTTTACAGGAATTGTCTGAAAGATGGCCAGAAGTGAAGTTACATTAGGGACATATGAAGACTTTAGTCTGTATCTGTAGGTTACAATGAGCATCGGGAATGATAATACTTAATTTGGATTTAATTAGATTTCAACACACTTAGCGACTGTTCATGCTTCAGCTGCTGATGTTCTGTTTGTAGGGACTGTACTGGAGGCAGCCCACTGCAAAAGCAGAAAGAGTGCAGCGTGGACAACTGGGAGGATAACTGGACACTGTTGGCTGTTAATCCTCTGGGCCAGTACAGCCTCTCTGACTCTGCTGAACTCCTTCATAGAGGTAGGCAACAGTAAACCGTATCAGAGTTGATGGACGTGTACATAGTAGAAAATATATCACATAAACTCAACTTCATTTTTCAAGACATATACATAGATGAAAAACGATTGCTTACTTTATCTCTCCAGATTACCAATTGTTGTTTCACCTTTTTTCCTCAGTGTTTCCGGTGGCACCAGCTAATGTGACCACAGCTGTCAGAGCCTGGAATGCAACTGTGCAATGGCAATGGAAGTACGAAGGCTACTCCTCCCTGGCTCTTGCCTGCCAGGTAGAGCTGACCTCTCAAGGGGTCAAAACAAAGGTAAGCTGTCTCTGTATGTCAGTCTGCTCTTTCCCCATTAACACAGCCTTGGTCTGTTTCACATGGTGTCTGTTTTGTGTGTAAGTCAGAGAGACATGATCAGTTTCATAGCCCCACCACATTTTTATAACAACATACCAATGGAAAACCACACTACTTTCAACAAGTGAAAACTTATGTCTGCATGTCCCCTCTATGTGTGGTACTGGCTATTGATGAAACAAGTAGTGATGAAGTCTGATATGTTTTCCAGCGTACCTTCTCTGGTGTGGGTCTGCGGTCCGTGGTCCTTTCAGACCTGTATCCTGATGAGGAGTACGAGGTTCAAGTCCGCTGTGGTGCTCAGCAGAATTTCTGGAAATGGGGAGACTGGAGCAAACAATCTCATTTCCAAACTCTCATCGATGGTAAGGCAGCTATGTGAAACCAACAAAAACTTCTTTTACCAACTGAGTACTAGTTTTGTTAACAGTTTATTCAAATTTCTTGGATTATTTTGTATAAAAAACACAAAAAGTTTTGTGACATGTCCGGCATTTCATTTATTAATTTGACTCTATTTAATTTGACTTTATTTATCTGCATTAATCAATCCAAAACATTAGGACCAGTAGCCACATATACCACACTTTTTGAGATCACCAATTGATAGTCTATTTTTCATCACACTAGTCTGCTTTTTAATGGTCTATAGAAATGCCATCCAATCTTGATTATGAAATATCAGCTTCGGCACCACTTCTCTTGTCTTTCCGCAGTACCAGAAGCTCCTGACGTGTGGATGTGGATGAACAAAGACGACACTGGGCAGATCATTTGGAAGGTAATTTTTCTTTTAGGCTTTGCAGGATTTAATCAGCGTATCATCATATTGTTATTAGTGATTTGGATTTTGTGTCTGTTGAAGAAAGTCATATAAGCAACTCCAGTAAAATGCGTGTACATTGCCGGTTAGGGTTATTCTCTTCAGGTGTGTTTTGGCTTTTTACCTCCCACTTCCTTTAACGCTGTTTTCCATTCTGACCAAAAGGCATTTAACCCATCATGATTACATTTTACAAAAACATATCTCAGGCACTAAAGTAAGGGGGATTTAGAATTGACCGTCTTTCTCAACTCCACCTTCCCTTTTGTTTGAACCCTTCCAGCCTCTGACACATCGCCAGAGCCACGGTCAGATCACAGGTTATGAAGTCACTCTCTGGACGTCTGAGGATGATGTACAGCACACAAAAACCTCCCCACCAGATACATCAGCTGTACCAATCAACCTGACACAGATTGCTGCCTTCAGCAACGACAACAAGGCCATAGCAACTGTTATTGCAATGAACAGCAAAGGGGCATCTCAGCCTGCAAGTGTGCTTATACCTCTACATTTGATAGGTAAGATTGATGCGTTTGTTGATTCTCAATGGTGCAACTTTAAATCTGTGTAACATAGATATGTTTTGCCATGCATATTCTTAGTACCAAGAGCTTTAAAACCAGAGGAGCATTTAAAAGAGAAAATGAACTCATGCTGCTCTTATCTCTTTTCCAGATGCTGATCGTCCTGCTGTCTCAAAGGCAGTTTATACAGACAGAGGTTTCCCTCTGTCCTGGCAGAATGATCCCAATGCCACCTGTGGTTACGTCGTAGAATGGACCGATGCCTCCTGTGTAAAGAACTGCCCTGTTGAGTGGACCAAAATGTCCGCTGGAAACACTAATGTCTCCATTGAGTCAGGTAAACATGCCCTAATCCCACTTTGCATGTGTTCAGCCTGAATGCCTAACTATAGTCAAATAAGACTAAAAACATCACTGTGTTTGTTTGTGAACTCAAAAAGTAATCTGGACTTTTACCTTTGGAAATACTCAGACAGAATGTGAATCTCAAGGATCTACTAATGTTACAAGAACGTCAAATTTGATTTAGATTAGATTTTCCTTTATTTATCCCTCAGTGGGGAAATTCTAATTATCAGCAGCAGTACACAAAAACATTCACATTCACACCGAGTACAAAAAACTAATAAATAAGATAAAAGATAAAAGAACTAGTGTAAAAAGAATAGAGCAGTGCAAGGGAAGAACTGTATTAAAGACAAGTATAAAAAGAGAAAAAGATCAGCGCAAACAAAACAGGTATGGATGTGATGATGATGATGATGATGATGATATTGCACATGATTAATAAATAAATAACTCCGGGTGTATGGAGAAATATTGCACTTTTATTGTTGTTGATTTGAATTTAAATTTGAAACATGTTCTGATAATGTATAATAATCTCTTTCTCTTCCATCAGCCACCTTCAAGCCAGGTGTGAGGTACAACTTCTCCCTTTACAGCTGCTCCTCCGAGGCCCCAAAGCTGCTGCAGTGCTGGCATGGATACATGCAGGAGCTGGGTAAGGACAGCACCGCACATTGAAAAAACGTACTCGCTCAGAAATCACACACTGCATTTAAATGACTGACTTTTTTGTTCTTGTCCCTCCAACTCCACTCTTCTCATTTCCTGCCTCCTACCCTTGCGACTCCCACAGTCCCGTCCAGTTCTGTCTCCCTGTCAACCAGCCAGCAAGACTCGAATGTTCTCCTCACCTGGGGAGAGATCCCAGTGGTCAACAGAAGAGGCTTCCTCCTGGGATACAACATTTACATCAGCAATGATTCCCAGCTCATACTTCTCGGTCAGTGTGCCCAGAGGATATCACTGTAACAGAACAGTCAAATACTCCGCATGTCATAGCATCTGTTTTCAATGTTGTAGAAGATGTTTTTGGACCCTCTTTGGAAACCCCCTTCACTTATCCTCTCATCGCTTCTTTCTCTGACTCTCTCTTTTTCTAACTCTTGACTTTAATTTTTGTAATTTTCCTGTTTTGCTTCTCTTTCTTTCTTTTTGAACAGCCAACCTGTCGGATGTAGAAAGAAGGAGCTACACAGTAAAAGGTCTCTCTGAAGGCTCCTACAAATTTACTGTGAAGGCGTACACCTCAGCAGGAGAGGACACTGGAGCTACTGCCTCCATAACTATGGAGTCATGTATGTCAAATAATTATGTTCATGCATATGTGCAACAAAATTTGAAAATATCATTTTTCAAACTTTTTCTGATTTGAAAGAAGGAAAAATTTTCATCTTGCTCCGTTTGAAATACTTTCAACATTTTTATTTATTGTCTCGTCCTGACAGCCGATTGGCTAATTCTGGAAATCTTGGCTTCTTTGGGAGGTACGGCCTTGCTCCTGGTCATTGTCACCTTCATTTGCTACAAGAAAAGGAAATGGTGAGGTTTTTATTCTCCTTTATGGTCCCTCCCACACTAGTGATGACTTAACAGCCTGTTCAGTATATTGTCAGAGAGAGGAGCTATAATAAAGGATCACTTTTTTTGTTTAAAGGGTGAAAAAGGCCTTCTACCCAGACATACCTGAGCCCAAGCTGCCTGGTGATTGGTCCAGGACTCGGGTACAGTAAACTTTCCTTCTCAGAACAACATATTGAACTTTCAATTTACCATCCCCTTTCTTTCATTCTTTGATAATCTCTTGTAAAGAGTTTAACCACTCTGTGTCTGTTACAGGGGCCGCTTGATGTGAAGCCATTGCCTCACAGCATGGTCCATATAGTAGAAAAGCCCGACTGGGATTCCAGTAAAGAGGCTCTAGTCGTCATTCCTGAAGAAGACGAGGATGAAGAAGGGCAGGGAATAGGAGACGAGCCAGTCGATACGGATGAGCCGACATCTTTGCGCTACTACAACCATGTGGTAGACGAGCGTCCCATAAGACCACGTTTCCCCGACTCCTCTGCATCTTCTGCATCGTCTTTGGATTCAGCGCGCACAGATGTAACCTACACAGGGATTCAGACCTCAGGGTCTTCTTTGGTCTTCCAGCTGGATCCTCAGGGCTCCTCTGAGACCCAGCAACCCCATGCTGATTTTTCTGCCAGCTGTGGAGGTGGAGGAGGGGGCTACCGACCCCAGATACAATCTAGAGTACAAAATAATGTCTTTGACTCAGCTTCACCTGAGCCGTTCCTGGAGCCTCAGGCTGCCAGCTCTGGGGGCTACAAACCCCAGTGCTCCTGGCATTTGGACTCCCCTGAGGAGGCAGGGGAAAGTGGCGGGCTGGCGCCTTCTCTGGGATCTCCCACCTCAGTTGCTTCCACTCAGTTCCTCCTCCCTGATGGAGAGGAACAAACAGAAGAGAAACGGCAGTTATCCTCATCAGCAGCAACCTGGTTCACTAACCTGCTGTCATCCACAAAACCATGATATCATCGCTCTCATTCTAGCAGCCAGGCCAGGGAGGCTGGTTCATAAAACAGATACATTTCTGTCACTCTGGTTATGCATAGCACCTATGAGCTAGTTAGATACCCTCACTGATGTAGCACTGCATTCATACAGTTGCGCATTGGGGTTAAATATGCTATTCTATTTGTTTACTGGAACACACATGTAGCTATTTTACTTCCTTGTGCAAACTCCACAAATATCAGATTCTGTATATTTATATGTCAAATCATTTCTAATCTGACAACAAATCCCTTCATATCTCCACTATACACAGTACATTTCACCTCCCTGGCACCCTGTGGCTGTTATGCCCCCACTGCCTTTTATGTGACTCCCTATCATGGGCATTTAGCAATTGCATATCCTGTGTTACTGATGAGGTTATTCAGTTTTTAGCTTGCAGTACAAATATGTTTAATTTTTGTGATGTGAATTTAATACTACACTACAAGAAGAAAACTGAGCGCAAGAAATGACCGTACACTCTAGGAAAAGGACGTTTGTGGAAAAACGCTGAAGAAGAACAGTTTGATAGAAGGTGGCTGTGAAGAAAGGAGACTTCCACTTCCAGATGTGTATTCTGCTGGTCTGCCCTTGGGATCACCTTGCATGTTTGATAATGATAGCTGATGAGCTACTGAAAGGGGGAAAAAAGAGAAAGCTATACAAATAATCATGGTATATAAAACTGGGACCTTCATGGATCAAAACCAAGGTAGCTCAAATCCTGACAGACATCTATTTTCCCATAAATTACTGTTTGAACAGAGGGTTTTAACTAACAGATGCACTTGTGAATGAGAAAAGTCTTTATGTTACTCAGATACACGAGTGGTGCTCACTGTTAGGGTCTGGAATCATGTGGGTGATGAGCCCAGTAGATAAACACTGATATAAGCTAGATCATGATTACAAACTGATGTAATTTAATGAACGAACACACGAAGATGTTACTTTTAAATGTTATGTGTTTGTGTTTTATGTCTTTCTTAGTTTGTATTTGTCTTGTTAAGAGTTTCACATTCAGGCCAGTGTCCTTTTTAATGTTACACGACAAGCTTTATCCTCAAGCTGATGCATCGACCAGATTATGGCAACCGACTTGGGTAATAACGTTGTTTCATTCCCTTGTCTATGAAACGTAATGCTTCCAGAACTAAGCACCATATCACCTTTCACAACACTGCCTTGCTTTAAAGAGTTATTAAAATGATAATCTTACAGAAATATAGTTCAGAACCGGTTGCTAAACTGATTTTACAGGGTGTAAAGTAGATTAGGCTGGTTTTAATGAGTTTTAGTGCATGGTGAAACTTTCAAACTTGGCTGGAATAATATTTGCCTCAATGTTACCCTCAGCCCTCATTGTTGAGTTGTGTGGATGTGAAGAATTTTTATTTTGGATGTCTGATTTTGCATCCCAGAGATGTTGAATATGCATATAATGTTTGCTGTGCTCAAAGTAGTGATCATTTTTAGGGAGATTTAAATCTGCAATAAATTAATTTTTTTTTAATTTTTTAAAAGAAAACCCATTCATCCTTTTATTTCGTATTTCCCTGACCTCGTTTAAATCTTTTAAAGTTGGAAAAGGAGAACAAGAAAGAGGATACTTGGAGTAATGTTTGGAGATTTCCATCAATGCCATCATGTACAAAAACATCGGGGAGTTAACTTGTAAATAATCATTGGGTTGACAGCACTTTGGCAAGTTAATAATGGTGTCAAACACAGGCCACTAAATGCCCAAGTACACTTCATTTGCTCCTTACTCATGTGTACAGTGAGGGCGTTGAAGATGAACCATGGGCGAGGCTTTTCACAAGCATTGTTGTGCAAATATTGTTTTTTGGCATTTGAATTCGAAGATCTAGGTTTTTAGGGAATGTTTCCTCTCCAGGACCTTTTTTGTTGTTGTTGTTGTTGTTGTTTCTCAGTGCCTCCAGCTGACAAGCTTTAAGTAAAACTACTGTGACATGGATGATGACTTAGATCTTTGATAGAAAGAGATGGCTTTAATGATAGAGAGATTACAAGCAGGCAGTCCTTTTTGACTACTGAAAAAAATGTAAACCCTCTTTTTCTTTGTCCTTAAACACTGATATGCAGTTTAGCTTGAGTAATGGGATAAATGTCAAAAGCTACACTTTTACCAGTCAAATTGATTAATTGTTTGAGTGACAGCTAAGGGGCCATGGTGAAGAGTTTTCTTTAACCATGGTTACACGATTGTTTCCTTCAAAGCCTGTTGTCTCAAACAAGCCAGGCTTTGGAAACCAACAAATGAACGCTATGTGTTACATGCTTTTATGTTGATTTGGATCAACACAATTGCACCTTTTTAATATTTCCTCTAAATCTTTGTTTTTATGCAACTAACTGTATATAATTGTGTAAAGTGTTGTGTTTCTTTCTTACAATACAGTACAAAATGTTTTGCTGTTTTACATGGAGAATTGTATTCTCCGTACTACACAGGTAGTTTATGTTGACTAACCACATTATTTGGGCAAATTAAGATAAATGTGTATGCTGATAAAAACCAGATATATGAAGCCCTATGACATGTTAAGGAATCACACTCTCAATGTATATTTTTAATGTGCTTTAACACATGGAAACCTCTTAAAGAGCGTCTGAAAATTCATCTAAGCTAGATTAGAATTGTGATTCTGTCTTTTTATGATAGTTAAGGCTGCTTTGCATTCCTATCTTATCACAAGAATGTCGCTATGCCAGAGATATTTTAAGTAAAGCCAGAGAACATACCAAGCAGAAAGCCATGGCAACAGCTGACCTTCAATTTTCCACCACAATCCATGACTTTTATTCCCCGCTTCATTCACACTGTTAATTGGAACCGATGTTTACTGTGTAGGACATTGGGAGTTTGTGGTTTATACGGCAGGGTACACTTGCTGCCTTACACATCTTCATCTCTGGCTCTAGATGTATTTGCAAATTCAATGCATGCTGTATAAACTATAATATCACAAAACAGTGGCTTGTAAATTCTTTAAACTCCATGTTTATGTTACCCTGTGGCTCTGAAACACTAACATACTGACTAATGTTGTGCATGACAACATGACTGAAGTATTGTGCCCCTTGAAAAGGCTTTGATTTCTGAAAATGCTTTAAGTTTTATGAGATTTTACAGAATGTTTTACTAATGAGTAAAAGGTAGGGAAGTGCTTCAGAGTGAATAAATAAATGTTAACACTAATAAAACTGAAATGCTACTTGATTACATGCAATAAAGTTATTTGTCTGGCCACTCTATATTTGTACTTTATTTTTTTGTCTCATTATTTCTCTTATAATTGTAATTTATTGAATTTCCCCTCGAGAATATGTAAAGTATTTATCTTTTCTTTTGTTCCCATCAGGCATAATCAGCTCTTAACTATAGATAAGTAGATTTTTGTCAATAAACTAATGCACTTTTGTTTACTCATTAGTGAGGGAAAGCCGCAGTCAAGTGTTGCTAAAAATACCATCGTCCCTGGTGACCTTCCCCTGAGTGAAATCATACAGGGTTTGGATCAGTTTGTAGTAATTTCACTCCTGGTTTAGTCGGCGCTCAGAGAACAAAACTGATCTGGGACCAGCTGGGCCCGCCCGCTCCCATGAGTGCCCTCGTGGTGCACGCAGGGCAACCCAGTTGACGTGTCACCATGGCAACAGTGACTCGTAGGCTTTTCTGTACGTTTGAATGTTTTTCAGCTTCTATTAGCGAGCTTAAAAGTCGAACTATTACTCATTGTAATGGAAATTAGTCGGTAGTCTATGTATAAATTGAAATTAAAAGAAAGAAGATGTCAGACATATTGTGCAAGTGGCTAAATGAAGAGCTCCGGCTGTCCAAAACTGTTGGTGAGTAAGTGCGATCTAACTTACCGCGTACCAAACTACCTGGGTTACTACCATATACGTGACTGCTTTGGCAAAATACATCTGAATTTACAAAGCTTGCAATGCGATAGCTTTTTGTCACACGTTTATTCATTAAGAGCTACCCTAAATAGTGGTAAATAAATGACTTGACACATTTAAGGTAAAGGTAGCCTACGTGAATTGGTATCGTTGTTGTAGGGGATATTTACGGCAAAGTGGTTTGAGATACATTAAAGTTAGGCTGGTGTTCACTTGTATATGCAAGAACTACAATCAAATGGAAACATGGTGGAAATGTTAATGTCTAATTGCATGTTTCCCTTCACAGAACCAAATACCTTTGCCAGGATTTTCTCTAGTGGTTACCTCATTGGGGAGGTTCTGCATAAATATCAGCTGCAGAACGACTTCAATATGTTTATGAAGAAAGAGTAAGTTCTTGCTCCCTTTCTCCTGTTGATTATTAGTGCTTTATGGACTTGAAAATAGTTGACTTTTCCTCAGTTCTCTAGCTTACTTCAAGTATTTGTGGTGTTTAACCTATCCACACCCTGTCTCATAGCACCTCTGTCTCCAAACTGAACAATTTCACCCGCCTCGAGCCCACTCTCCATTTACTGGGGATCTCTTTCGATGTAAACACAGCCCAGGACCTGATGCAGGAGAAGCAGGGTGTTGCACCACGCCTTCTGTACCAACTCTATACCTCGCTGGAAAAGAAGAAGAAAGCAGAAGTCAGTGGGACTGTGATGGAAATCATGCAGCCTGCAGCCAATGCTAGCCTGCATAAAAAGCAGCATGAGATCTACACTGATGTAAGCAAAGGGGGGTGTCTGTGGGCAATAACAACTTAACATTTGAAATTAACCTTCTTGCTCTGTACCTTTAAAACAATATGGTGAATTATGGACATTTAATCTTCTACATTAAATCAAATAGTTGTACAATCCTTTTTCAGCTCTTATTGATGCTAATTTAACATGTTATGAATATTGACAACATGAATTTTTAATCACCTTATTCTCTTCCTCTGTATATAGCGGTTGCATCAGGTGGTAAAACGAGATGCAGAGCTGAAACTGCTGAAGATTTCTGAGCACTATGAAGAGAGGTGTCAGCAACGCAGTGAAAGGCTTGTTATGACTCATCCCATACAGCAAACCAGATCACTCAGAGGGCAGGGTGAGAGGAGAGTGAAGAGTATTGAAAAGGTACTGAAAAAAAGATTTTATTTTGTCTCCTTGAGTTTTTAAGATGCTCAGTTTGACCCTATCACACATTAATTGTGTTGGTCACACTGTGATATAACACTGGTACTGACTGATAAGCAAACACATATTTGTTGCTGATGAAATACAGGGAGGCCAGTGACACTGACAGTGTGGAACTGTGTATGTTGCAGCTGCAGGTGTGTCGACAGAAACACAATGGCATCATGACTTACAAAAAGGCTGCCTTTGTCCAGGTGCCCAGACCACCTCCCTACACTTCACAGCTCAACCTAAAGAAGAGACAACATCAGCAGCAACGCAGGGAACAACAAGCTCAGGTGTGACCACAGAGGAGATTTATTTTTGGTTTGCTGACACAGGGCCAGAGTGTTAATAGGTGATGATGTGGGGGAAATAGAAATCCTTTTAAATGCTGGCTCTGGTCATCAGAGTCTCTTGAGTACATAGTGAAAAACATCAAACCCATAATAAAAAAATACAAGGCCAAGACCATTTCAGTCAAATGGCTCACTTTGTAATGGTGTAAAATGGTCATTGTAGCAGCAGATCCATGTTTGTATTTAACGTTTAGGCGTTGGCCCTGTCATTCTTTGCAGATTTATTCTACATGCTGAAATTTGAAGGGTAATAAGATAACAGCTTCAACCTCCGGGCAAAGCCTGCAGGTGACCCCTGAGGAGTTGGTAGAGCTTAAAGTTAAGAGTGACCAGATGTCATGCAAGAGCAAAGACTTCCAGATTTGGAGGATATCTTTTTCAGTCGTTTGTGAGAAGGCGCGTACCAAGTGTAAAATCAGCACAGCTAGAGTTGCCTGCCTGAACCAGCATTCAAGAGTTCATTTCTGTTTGTTCCTTAATTTCCAGGATGCTTCAAGGTCCTCTCAAAAATGATGACTATTTATAAGGCGAAATCAATTATTGTTTACAAAAGGGACATTGGCATCTGATTTACTTTTAAGGATTTCCATGAAATTTCCTAGATTCTTTGGTGTTTCAACCAAAAATGCTTTGAATACAACACTATCCCTTCAGTAAATGATGTGCAACAAATTAAAGAATTAACCAAATTTTTCACTGCATGTTTTTCATTCATACAGTGTGTCTAAATTAAAAACAAAGGGGTGCAATGAGTCTTTCTTGTGTAATTAAAATTGCTGTCCGTTTTATGTTTATAGAGAGTCCAGACTGAAATCGCCCAGTTTGAGACAAACAGGAAGAAAGTCGCAACTTATGGTTTTGCTTCCTCTTTAAGGTGAGAGAAAAGTATGGTATGATTATGATAGGTAGAGATTTATATCATTTTAACTTTTTGGGTGTCCGCTGTCACACATTGGAACACTAACTTCAAAAGTAATTTGACATTTTTAATTTCTAGTGGAAATCTCTTCCCTGGAAGTCCCCTTGGTGGCATCAGCCATGGATGTGAGGTCCCTGGAAGTGGAACTAAGCTAGTTTTACAATCCAATAAAAAGTATATACAGGAAATCCGCCAGAGGCTGGAGGAGAGTGCTCTTGCTCGCGAAGAGAGGGAGAAGAGACGAGGCAGATTCCTGGTGGAGCAGCTAAAAGCCCATGAAGCTCAAGAGGTGAAACTTGACAGTCTGTTGTTGCAGCCTGTTTTTCCTCTTGTCAGTTTGTTCTTTAACATTCATCATCTTAACCTAAATCTAATGATCAGTAAACTCGGCCTCACCCCGACAGGAGGCACGGCGTGAGGAGCAGTTGGTGAAGCGTCTGACCCGTCAGACTCAACAGGAGCAGCGTTTGACTACTCAGCTCCTCCAGATGCGCAAGCAGAAGGAGGTGATCCGGGAGAACCGCCTTTTCAGAGAGCAGCAGTACCAACAGCGAAGAGAGAGGGACTTCCAGGAGGCCCTGGAGAGGGAGGCGGTGAGATAGGAGAGAAGGAATAGGAAGGAGGAAGCAAAATCCTCTCTATCATCGATTTGTAATAGGCCGTTTGCATAATAGTAAGAGTTGTGTCATAGGGAGAGAGAGCGAGAGAGAGAGAGAGAGAGTAAAGGGTTGATTTCGGTAGCTGGTATATTTTCGATAGAGTATTTACAGGTGTTACATTCAGAGAAAGACAAAAAGGGACAACTACAGTATGTGTTTATTTTTATGTCCTTGTAGCCAGTACAGTAGATCCACAGTTTAACTGGAAAATGAGCACAGATACCTAAAGGTAAAAAATGAATCCATGCTCCAGCATGGTTTCAGTGTTACATTTACAACACAACTGATCCTCACTGACACATCAGCTCCAGCCTCCCTGCATCACTCCAAGCAGTGTGGCTAATGGATTGATGGATGTTACTGTCTGGTGTGGTCATAATGCAGTGGCCTTGTTACCAGTACTGGAGCAGATTGTTGTGAAATCAAGTCTCTGACTATCAGGAGAAGACTGAAAGAGAAAAAAAAAAACATATGAGTGATCATAGGTATTAAAGCTTTAATAGGGTATTATTGAGATTGCCTCACATTCTAGGAAGCTGAATTCATGCATTCACATACTTGGTAATAATGATTAAAAAACCTCTCCTCCTTTTTGGTCTTAAATCAGTTTGTGTTTAGACGGTTTAAAATGAGACCAAGTTTCATTGGTTTTGCATGATTGCAGTGTACCAGCTGGCATTTATTCATTCATTTATTTATTGATTTATTTGTTACAACAGATCTGAATTGAATTGCAGGATCATTTATGTCATGCCTTTTCTTACTCATTCCATCTTGGGCCTGGTTCAGGCTTTGGCTAAGCAGGCGAAGTTGGAGCATGCAGAGGAGATCAGAAAGGAGCTTGAACTTTGTAGCAGCATTGCTGCAGAACGAGTTCAGAGCAGATACAAGAAGCACTTTACAGTCTGCAAGGACATAGTGGAGCAGATAGTGGACTTGACCACCAAGATTGGAGAATATCGACTGCTCACTGGGAAGTACGTACTACATTGCAGTTGTTGATGCAGAGGAAACACCTGTATGATATGTGCTTTAAACCTACTAAGAGGCCTTTTGGTCTAATATTGATAAATGTTAAATTACAAAATGTGTTATAAAAACTGCTTCAGTCGGTAATAACAGAGTATTATTATCCACAATTGTTGTAAGATCATAAAGCTTGTAAATTTCTAGGTTAAATGAACTGTAGTTGTGGTGGAATTCTAACTCAGTGCTCAGCAAAGTCTAAGAGTTTTATTCATGTTTGAACAAAATTTACACCCAAGTTCTAAAATTAATATCAAAGTTTATATTAAAATTCATCACATTAAAATTGGCTGCTTATTTCTGAAGAGGAAAGGCAAACAAAGATCATATAAACAGGAGCTTATAAGGATATAAATTCATTTCCTTTAAGTGGCTTGATACTGTCTGTTATCACCGTTTCATAATTTTCCCTCCTCAGCAAATCAGTTGAATGTATCCTAAAAAAGAACTTTCAATGTGAAATGTGATGACTCAGAAATCTTGTATGGGAAGTCTTAAAATAACCCCAATTTTGCAATGCAATCCAGACCCATACAGGTCCACTGCTTGTGATAAAATAAACGAAAAAACCTTTGTATAGCTGGCTAGTGTTCAAATAAAATCAGGAGATATTCACAACCTGTCTGCTTCTTACCAAGATCAGTTGAATGAGGTCCCATCATGTATGCTGGTACCATATCTTTTACATAAACTGCTTCAGTGTTTCTTTTCAGTGTTAGATTAACCATTTTTGGAAAAATATTATGTTGACTCATTTTTCAGCCCAAAACAAGAAGCAATCTGAGTTACTCTAAACACATTTGAACATTAAATTAGCACTGCAGAGTTAAGTTGCATTCCTCTATGTTATATACATTAAATAGATCTGAAAGGTCATTCAATTTTTAAGTGTGTGGTTCAGTCCGGCTCTCCTTCCCTGTCATTTTTGTCTGCTTTCATGCTCAGGCTGATCCCACAGAAGGTGATGAGAGAGTGGAAGGAACTGCTGTTCAGTGGTCTGCCTCTCTATGAGCCAATAAAGGGTCAACAACCAGGGTTTGAATTCTCAACCCCCTTAGACCCTGTAGAGCAGGAGAAGCAGGAGATACTCAAAAACCAGGACTATGATGAATACACTGTGAGTCTGATACTTGAGTGCAGTTTGAGTTGAAATTGTTTTCATTTGTCTGTTTTCCTGCACATATTCATTCAGCTTCACTCTTTACCTTCTTTTACTTAGTCAATCCCACATGTTAGATAGACTAAATCTACCAAGCTAAGCTATTTTGGCCTGTAAAAGTTGTAATATTACCAAAAGGACCTGAGCTGTCTGAATGCTGAAGATTCTCTTTTGTCTGAGTCACATGTTATCTTTGTCAGAACATGGTAGGTGAGTGGTCATGGCCAGAGGAAGCAGGGGAGTCCAAATTACCCCTGACCAACAACAACATCCTTGGGCATGTTGTCCAGCGCCTGAAGAACATTGTAAATCCACCTGTTAGAGAATCCTGCACATCTTCTTTTCCGTACTTTACCCTCAAGGCTTGTGTCCTGGGTAAATTTTGCTCTGGCAAGACCACCTGCTTGTCCAAGTTTTCCCAAGGTACATGGCATGCAGTTCTAACATGCTGGTGCAACATACACTTATACCACACAAAGTAATAATCTTGTTACTGAAATAAAAAGACAACATTAAATAAAAGGGTGTAGTATATTGCTGAGTTTGTGTTATTTTCTACTTTAGCCCATGGTGTCCATGTCTTATCTGCTGACACACTGATCGAGAAGGTACTGACTGCCAACAAGGATGAAGCGGTGAGTAAGATACAGTATAACAGTCTCTTATCATCACAACTGTCCTTCACATCATCAGACACTGAAGATTTTTCATGTCCTTTAAATTTCCAAAAGTTTCAAACTCTTCATTTTGTAAATGACACAGGTAACAGATCAGCAGGGAGAGAAGGACAGTGAGCAACAGCACACTTCTCCTGAAATACTAAATCCTGGTGGGTTGCATAAATCTGTTCTGTTATTGGCTAATTAAAAATTAGCTGTGTGTTAATTTGTTTAGAGTTTGACTTGCTTGATGAGATACAAAGATTCACCTGTTTTATCCAGGCCCTGACAGTCAAGAGGAACATAGAGACAGTTGCACTGGAGTAAGTCATCCATATACATGTTCTGGCTATTTTATACGGTGGCCCTGAGGTGCAAAACACAACGGCAAATAAGAAAACACAACACAAAAATAGAAAACACAATGTTTAACATCATTGCGTTTTTTTATTTGCCTTCGTGTTTTGCACCTTAGGGCCACCGTAATTTTAATCGTATTTACACACAGCACACTCAGGCACACACAAAGTAACCTAAAGTGAATTTGTGAGTAATAACTCCTCAAATTGGTGAACATGAAACCCTTTTCATTCTGTTATTCGTTTTATTTTACAGTTATCTACCCAGGCCATGCAGGGTGCAGCTGTACAAAAAGAGCTAAAGAAAGGCAACGTCATCCCAGACCAGCTGTTAGTGGACATTATAGTAGAGGCTATCAGGTACAGTTCATACAAATCAGTTTATTGTATAGTATCTAGTTGGTGATAATTATGTAGTGTTATTTTTATATACAGTACAAAATAAATCATCAATAGAAATCCAAAAATCAGTGACAGATCAGCCGTGTCCATACAGACAAGTTCCAGCTCATTCTGGTTGGATCCTGGATGGCTTCCCCACAGACATCACCCAGGCCCACCTGCTGGAGAAAGCTCTGGGTGGATCTGTGGATTCGGAGAATAATGTTGTGGACCGCAGGATGAACCTTGCTGCTGATCCTAATCCCCCTGAACCACCAGCACCCCCTGCTTCTGCGCTGGACTTGGTTCTGCTGTTAGATGTCCCTGATGAATGTGTGGTCAGACGTGCATTTGGTCAGAAAGGTATGTTAAATGGTGGAGGAGTAGTGTTTTCCTTGTACACCAAAACACAATTGTTCATCTACAGGAGTACAAAGAGAAGAGTTACATAAATAAATTACATATTTTTCTGTGTATGTGTGTGTATATTTTCCTCTTTCTAGATACTGAACCTAATGTGGACGCTGAAACTCCTGTTCCAACTACTTCCAAATCCACAGACAACACCATATATCAGGCACAGACTCCACACAGGTAGAAAAAAAGACTCAAAAGTCAAGCTGTACTGCTACATGACTGTGTCCCTAATGTCTCATATCCCTGCCTCCTTCAAAGGGTTGGAGCTTTTCAGGACACCTGGCCAAAACTGGAGAAATGGTTTGGAGGAAAACAAAACATTCTGGTCCGAGTCGATGCAGATGTTGATGAGGAGGAGCTTTACAAGAGAGCGGAGTCTGCCCTGCTGCAGGTTATGTTGCAAAGACAAGAGGGTAACTGATTCTCCTCAGTTTGTTTTATTTGATTGTTTTAAATAGTGAAATGTTAATTAAGGTGATAATGAAAGAAACAAGATCAATTTACAGTTTCTTTACATCTTTCTAGCTTGTGTCACCTCTCAAGTTGAAGATGAGATGTTGGGAGGTCTGAAAGCCCCGGAATCTTGCTCCTCTGCCACATCTTTACCTGTCGACAGATCGCCGACCATCACAGAGAAGCCTCTTGGCCTCTCAGACTCCTGCTCGAGCCTGAGGGGGGAGGAAACACAAAGAGTAAAGTCCCCTTCCAGATCCAACCTAAACTCCCCCAGAGGTGATTTCAATTAACCATCTGAAGGATAGATAAAAACAATTTGGGGATACCTGTTCTCATCTGAAAAGCACAGTTAGATTTTTGTTCATTCAGAACTTTCATTTGCATTCATCAACAATTAACATCAGAAATATGATCAATTGTAGACTCTTTTATTGATCTTGTGTATATTTCCTTTACCTATAAACAGGACACTCCAGGAGGTCATCGACTTCTTCATTGACCCATAAGGATTCTCAGCGAAGCACCAAGGTTCCACCTGAATCTGTGTCACCTCTCCCTGGTTCACCCACCTGGGTCTATATGGATGAGCCCCTTCCTCCTGTAGGCCAAAGTCTTACATGAGACACTTTCCATATACCATGTCATGTTGTATAATCTTCTGACCTTCCTAACTCACCACTTTGTTTTCATTTCTTCTTCTTCAACTTCCTTCTAAAGGAGATCCCAGTGTACCTGTGCTCACACTGGGAGTCACTGTGTGATTCTTATGTGAACAACATAAAGACAGTGATGCAGCAGCTGCGCTCACAGCGCACTGTTATTGACCATCACCTTTACAACATCAGGTATTCTGCCAGCTTTTCCAGTACCATGTTTAACTTCATGTACTACTCTAGGTACATGTAATCACACGATGAAGAATTTGCATATTGCTGACTTTTGTGTGCCACTTTTGTTCTCAAACAGCTGATCTTCATCATTATCCCATCATTATCCCAGATTAAATTAAATTGATCACTTTATAAGAATTTATTCTGGGTTTGTTTCTGTAGAGAGGAGTATAAACATTATCTGGGGCGTCCCGACTTGAAGCAGGAGTTAGTGTCTCAGTGGCAGAAAGACTTCAACAACATTGCTGATGATATGAGAGAAGATGAGGATACAAAAGCAGAGCTTCATCTAAGACTGGATGTAAAAGCCTTTCTATCATATTGCAACATAAATATTATAAAAGTGCTTGAAAATAAATACATGAAAAACAGTGATATTTCAAACTTTGTACAGGAACTGTGTGAACGTTTGTGGGACATTAGTGATAAGCGTAAAGAGGAAGATGAGCAAGAGAAGGCTGCTCTGGGGAAAAGCTGGCTGGAAGATCACATCGCTGTCCTCATCAACAACCACATTGTTCTCATGCAGGTAACTTCTTTTCATTCTTATCATTTATCCAAGCTAAATAAACGTGTCGTTGCTGCTGTTATTGCCTGTACTTTGTACCCGGATCCTCCTCGTTTATTGTCAATTAACTTTTATGAATTGTACATGAGCAGCCAGTAAAATTGGCAGAACCACAATCATGGTTTGTTTGGTTGTTCAGGTGGAGCTGGACCGTTTCCAGGACACACTCTGTATCTTAAAGGTCTACTACTTGAGCATGTACAAACACGTGTTACCTGAGCTACCATCAAACTTTGTCTGTATCCCGCTGTTGGACAAGGATCAGGGCGAGAGGCAAGACAACACACTTTTCAAAACACAACCTGACTATTTTTATACAATATGATGAGGTAAAGTAGGAGAATTCTGAACATTTTAAAGGTAATAAGAGCAAATAATTATTTTCTGCCAACAGTACTGAACCAGCAGACACAAGTGTGTGTGATCAGGCAGATGACGGGGAGCTCAAGAGTAAAAGTAAATTGTAAGGAAGAAGTACAATCACACACTTTTTCCTTTTCTTAACTCTGTTTTAAAGATAAACCAGATATTTTCCATAAACAAATTAAAAACTCTCAAATTTATGAATAATTCTATCCCCTGTTCTAGTATCCCCTTCCTTCCGAGACGTCCTGATTCCTCCAAAGAGGTGTCAAACACAAACAACCAGGCTGTGACAGAACCTGTCAAGGTAGATTTCCTGCCTCAGTTTTATATTGATTGAGTTTTCTTGAAGTTTCTGACTGATTTAGCTTTTCAGAATACACTCATATCTTCAGTATGACTGCTTTGTAAATTAGATACTCGCTTATATTGCTGGTTTTATGCTGACATTCATTCTTAAAGTAAAGGACATCTCATTGTTTACTCCAGCCACCTCATGAGAAACTAATTTCTGACTATGAAGAGGCCGTGGAAACCATCAACAAACTGGTAATGACCTGTTGAAAATTTTAAATGCCTTTATATTGAGGTATATAAAGTGTACATTTTCTTTAACCTTTATTTTAATTGGGTGGTTCTTGTGTGTAGGTGTCAGCAGAAGCCCACCAGGGGGAGACAAAAGAGCAAACGGAGAAACCACCAGAGAAGGAAAAGCCAACGGCCCCTGCCAGTGCAAAGAAAAAGAAAAACACCAAGCAGTCATCAAAAAAGACAAAAGGCATGCTGTTTGTAGAGAGTTAGGAATAAAATGAAGAGGACTCGTCTAACATGCACTGCACACTTCAGAAGGTCTCACATATGGTCTTATTCCTCCAGGTCCACCAACTCCACCGCCAGCACCAAGCCCTGCACCCACAGAGGGAAAAAAACATGCTGAAAAGAGTCATCCTGAAAAAATCAGAAACATGATACATAAAGAATATGCAGCCGCACTAAGTCACGAGGGTTTGCATTAACACACATTCATACCCAGAGATTCAGTGTCTTCTTTATGCTACTGTATATGTAATATGCTACAGCTCTAATATAAAGGATACATACTGTACATGCAATACCTTTAGCTGTTTTGTATTTGCATGCATGTGTGCGTATTTTCCAGAGAGTGCAGCAAAAGTGCGCATTGCTCTGGTGAAAGGTCATGGTCTGGCAATGCTACACTCCCTGCACAGCAGAGCAGAGCAGACTTTCAGCAGCATGGAGGAGTGGTTAAAGACTCGGTATCTTGCAGAAATGAAGAGGTATGCAACAGGATGAGAAAGGGTTCATGAATAGTGTAAGGCGGTTAGGGTCAGATGTGCATGTAGAGAAACAAGTATACAATTATAACTGTGGATGGGTTTGATGTCTTTATTTTAAACCTGGTTGGTTGACAGTTAATCCCAATCTGTCAACTGTTTACTCCTCTCTAGTATCGACCAGCTAACAGAAGTGGTTCGCCACCATATAGAGACTGCTACTAAGCTGCAGACAGAGTTGGTGTTGGTATGTAAGGACTTTGTAACTTTTATTTTTGCAGCTTTTTTTTCTATTGTAACAGAAACTCTGTGAGGTTAAGTCTGGATTCTTACAGTCTCTATTTCTCTCTATAAGTCTCTATTTCCATCCTCCAACACTGTCTTATCCAGGAGTGTACAGACTTCTATCTAAATGGAGACTGTCGCATGGTGGCCAGTCCTGTTCCCCCTCCACGTCCACCTCCTCTGGAGATACCAATACAGTCTACACCCACCATCATTCAATTAGAGGCACTCCATCGACAACTATACTCTGTGGCTCCTTCAGGTAAACATAAGAGAGACTATTTGTGAGATTGTTTGTTCACTCATACCTGCTCTCCTTTTGTTTACTCATGCTCTTTGTACTGTCTGACTTGCAGGCCTCATGTCCAGCGCTGAGTTTGCCAGTGCTCTTGAGGATATTATCTCTGTCAATATGGACAAGAACTCTTTGCCTGAGCTGTGGTTCAACATAAACAAAACACAGGTAGTCTTGATGGCACGAAAGAGAGCATTCCAAAAAAACCCACTTTGGTTTTAATTTGTTGATCGTAGATAGAGATAGTTCATAGAGGTAGATAGTAACCATACACTTTGAGTGACTTGACAGTTAAATATCACTGAGCAATGCATTAGATACTGACACCATATTGTTCATGTACTTAATTCAGTCCAATCAGAAAGAGCCAAATTCAGGAGCTGCATTTTTGTCTCTCCTGTCCCCAGCGGATGGAGATTGTGTCTCTGCTAACAGACGACCATGAGCTGATAGACTGGCATCGGTTTCTGCTCAGTGCTGCCCTGCCTTGGCCATTTCCCTCAATAACACAGCTTCTGGAGACACTTCAGCATTTCAAAGCAGCAGATACTGGCCGCACAGGCTATATAAATGAGGAGCAATACCAACAGGTTTGTCTTTATATTCACATAAATATTCACTCTGCAGATTTTCTGTGTAAGCTTTGGTCAAAGTTGGCCTCAGTTCATTTAGTTTGAAAACATATCGAGTAGTTTGGACGGTCAACAAGCACAGTTTTCTGTTTTTTTTAAAGAAATGTTTAAAATGTCTCTTGCAAATTGATTTCCTCTTTTCAGATAGAGTTATGGTTCTCCAAAGAGAGTGCACAGCCCATTCCTGAAGACCCCTCTGACCCTCTACCTTATGATCGTCAGGCTAACCTTCACAAGGTACAATAATTTTGAGCCAATGTATACTTATATTATTCCTGAAAGACAAACTAAAATGAAAAACTGAGAGGATCCAGGAGAAATATGTGATAAAGGAACTCAATGTCACCCTATTGTACAAATAAATAATCAAAAACACAAGAGGATTAAGTCATTGCAAAGCCATCTGTTTACCTTTAAATCCCAGAGGGATAAGACTTCGACATTGCTAATAAACTAAATTGCATATGTAGATACAACAGTCAAACCTTAACTCCTGCCTCTATTCTCTTGTTAGCTCTTTTTCCAGTTGTTTGCAGACCACTCCAGCTCACCCTCACAACTGGACTACGTCTCTATGCTGCAATACTTCGCAGCTGACCCTAACCCCAAAGAGGGCTTCATCAGAGCTTTAAGTGTGGCGTCAGGGAATCATCTCAAACACTCCTCGACAGGTCAACTTGTCAAGGTGAGTAAAACAAAGTACTAAAAACAGCAAATAGAATCTATACTTGAAATTTATTGCAGTTTTTAGTCATGCGATGCTTACTACATTTTATCATTTTGTTTGTTAAAATCTCCTCACATAGACTGGAAATATTTATGATTTTATTTTCAATATTAATAACTATCAGTTTCAGGTCTGGTAATTAATTTACTTTGCAAATTAAAGCTCATCAACAGGATAACATCAGTGTGTTGTCTATACAGTCTATGCCGAGTATAGGGGAGGCTGCAGAGCTGTGCTCTCCAGACCCTGATGACGAGAACAAGGATGAAGAGACTAACCCGTGTGCATCAAGCACTCTGCTGGGGGAGCGAGGAGTGTCCATCTCTGCCCTCCTTGCCGTCGTCTGCCACAAACTTACCAGGACAAAAGATGGACACCCCCTCCCTCCGGGCTGCATCAGTCAGCAGGAGCACACTGAGGTCTGCCCTGATAATTCAAACACAGTAGTTCGATAAAAGCAGTTGAAGATGTCTTTTTTAAAAGCTAATTAGTAAACATATTCAAATGAAACTCACCCATGTATATGTTCTGGTAATCTTCTCTGGCCTCCAGCAACTGGCGAATGTTTTCAGAGAGCTGGGCTACAAACCAGAAGACTGTGTCCCCTTCTCCATTCTCTCTCAGCATCCTCTTATCCAGGAACTGATGGAAATCTCAACACAGCACATACTAGTTGTGAGTCACATTGAAAACCCTCAACACTTAGTGCCCCCGTATCTGCCCCCTACTCCCCCAATACTCTCACTTGTTGTTTTGTGGATGATAAAACCTCGTGAACACTCAATCTCATCTTTCATTTCACAACATTTCTTTCTTGTTTTGAACCTTCACTTGTCTCTGAAGTTTCTCATTCTCTCTCCCTGTCTTTGTTCTTGCTTCAGGACATTCATAGAGTACTCCTTGACACGCCTGATGAAGGAGAGGCTAACAGCTTCACAGTTTCCTAAAGGATAAGACTCAAACAATACATGCTGCTGTCTTCACCACAAAGACCTCTTCCTCATGAGAACACAATCAATATTGGATTTTATAATATAAATGTCTTGTTTGCTGCAGTATTGAATAAAAAGACAAGCAACTATGACTTGTCGTATGTGTGTATGTTGCAGAGATGATCTATGCTGCAGCCACGATCTGCAGCCGATGGAGTTTGAGAGGAGAACATCACTAAGTAGACAACAATAACATCAATGATGGCAGTATTGACCTCTCTTAGTCAGATTTTTCTTCTGATACACTCCAGCAGTTTTTCTGACTGACTTGTTTTTCTAATGACCTCCCTGACACAGAAAAGCATTGGTTGCAGCTACAATGAGTGCATTGTCCAGGATAACCTACATGTCAAGCCTGACTTGCCAGCAACTGCCTGCCAGGGCACCAACAACCAATCAAATTAATGTGTATGCTGTTCAGAATAAATGAGTAAATAAAAAAGAGGGACTCTTAAGTTATCTTTACTTGTCACGAAGTCCATGAAATCATAGATGTGTCATTAAATTAACTTCAGCACAGGTACCACAACAAGTATGAATCTGAATGATAACTGCTGTCTTGTACTTCGTGACAGAGGGGGTTAACTCCTGTTAACATTTGTCTAATTTGATACAAGGAGGGCTTGGGGAACACCCCGCTCCCCCCGATCCACCGCCCATTATTTCCCTCCCTTTAATTATCACTGCTGAACCAGGGCTCCTGGACTTCTCGGTGTCTGACTTTTAGTGAAAACAGACGCTATCACATGTCATTCAGATAGATTTATGCGCCAAGACTGGTACCCAAAATCTTGAGACAATGGAATAAATCAGCGCCTCAGAATTGGACCTTGCAAATTTGTTTCTAGGAAGAGCATACTGGATACACTCTGGGCTGACCACAAAAGGATTTGGAATTTCCCCTTTTCTAATTTGACTATGCTGACTTTATAAAAGAATCTTTTTACATTTCTGACTCAAGTGAGATGAAAAAGACTCTCAAGACTTTGCTAAATGAATCAGAAAGATGATTTTCATGAAAAGTGGGTCTTTTTTCACTTTATGTTAGTCGTCTGAACTTTTTTTCTGCTGATTTCTTGTTGGATACTTTTGTTTTTTCTACATCACAGCTCTGTTTTAGGTCCAGTCTGCACCAGTCGCTCACTGGATCTAACTCTGTTGCTGTCAAAGTGGAGGACAAACTTTCTCAGGCTCACACAGAGAGGTTTTCATTCCAGCTTATTTTCAGACTGGACGACTATTTTTAGAGCTTTTTGGCTGAAGGTCAGTGTGGGGTACCCTAAAAACAACATGGGGATTGTATTTTGGATGTTTTCTCTTCTGGCTCTTCCAGTCATCCAGTCTGCCAAGATTCTGACTGTCTGTCTAATTGGTGAGTTGTAGAGCTGTTATTGTGAAATGTTGTCTCCATTAGCTGTAAAATAGAAAGAAATGCTCAGAAATACATAAAAAGTAAGGACCTCGCTCTAGAAAAATACGTTTCTAAGAGAGTTTTTGAGGACAAGTTGCTACATCATTTTGGTTATAAACAAATTCCTAAACTATGTTGTAAACTGTAAGCACTTCATCCAGATGGTGAATATCACACAGAGTTCATTTTTTTCCTTACTCCTTTTCTCAGGAGGGAGCCACTACTTGTTACTTGATGAAATTTCTCATAACTTGTACCAACATGGCCACGAGGTCCGTATGCTCTTGCAACTTGGCAACCCGGTTATAACAGGTAAACTGTACACACACAGAGACAGCACATATGCACAAACTTATACAGAAGGATATGTAACCCGATGTTCTCTGACGTCCTTTGCTTTCTTTGGTTTTGTTCCATCTACTTTCAATGCTCTGCACAGGTTTCTCATATGTCGGACGGGCAGACAGTTACCAGACCAGTATTTGGTCCGTAGGAGAGGAATATATCAAAGAATACAACGGCTGGTTCCTGCAGCAACAAACACAGTTTTTCCTGGGAAGGTATCAACAAACTTTTAATCGTTGAAAATAATTCATCTTGATCCTGACATTATCTTCGATCTGTTTTTTGATCAGTATTTCAAGGCTCTTAGACTTACACTGGTCCTCATGCTCTCCTTGCTTTTATCATAGTCCCTCTCTTATTTCTTATTTTCTTCTCCTTAGGGATACTTTTCAGAACTTTCTAAACTTTATGGGCCACCTGTCCTACCAGTGTGACATGCTCTTAAAGGACAAAGAGATGATGACTTTCTTACAGAAGGAACTCTACGACATTGCCATCCTAGATGCTTTCAACCCCTGTTCCTTCATCCTGGCACGCAAACTTGGTATATCTGCTTTCATCTCACTATGTTTCATTTCATAGTAACTGTCATGCTGCTGCACTTCACACTTTTGCTATCTTCTCGAACATTTCTGCTGTTTGTGGTAAGGACTGCTGAATTTTTTAAGTGTGTAAGCACAAGCAAGTCCTGAAATTACTCTATCAAACGTCTCATGTCCTTCACTTTTGATTAACTCGAGGTGTCAGCTACATAGCTTTCTATCCTGGCGCTCTGAACGGTCCTCTGTCAATTCCTCTACCAAGTCCGGTGACCTACATCCCAGTCTTTGGCTCCCAGTTGTCTGACCACATGAACCTCTGGGGACGAGCAAAAAACCTCTTCTATTCACTCCTGGCCCCTGTAGGTAAGAAGAGTGTTGAACACAGAAATGTATCTGATGAAATCTGACCAATTACAACAAAAATCAAATACGCAGCTTCTGTGTTTTTGGTTCTGTCTTGTATTAAAGGTCAGGAGTGTGTATGGTCGAAATTTAGAGATGTAGCAGAGCGGCACCTTGAGTCAGGCTCACCCCCTGGTGGACTAGAGGAGTTACATCAAGGAGCTGAACTCTGGGCCTTCAACACTGACTTCTCACTTGAGTTTCCACAGCCACTCATGCCTTACACTGTGCTGGTTGGAGGTCTGCTGAATAAACCTGCAAAGCCACCAGATCAGGTCTCCTCTTACCTTTGATCCATGTAACTCAGTGAAGCTTCAAAATGTCAAAGTCAGCAGCCTCTGTTCCACTGTCTGCCACATCTGTCCAAACTTCTTCTCCCTGCTTTTTACAGCCACAACCACCCCTTACTTATTGTGCACTATTAAACACAACAGCATATTTCCTTCTGCTCATAATTCAAACCATTTTGCTGTCTTAGGATCTTGAATTGTGGATTTCCAGTTTTGGAGATGAAGGTTTTATAGTCGTCACTCTTGGATCAATGGTCTCCTCAGTCTCTGTGGACTCTCTACTTGAAGAACTGGTGGCTGGCTTCTCCAGGATCCCACAGGGGGTACTCTGGAGGTAAAATCACAACACAGTTTATTCTTCAATGGCACTATTTCAATAATCTACGTCCCAGAACCTCCACTGTACATACACACAATATCTTTTTAATATGTAATAGATCAAATCCATTGAAATGAAAAACAAAAAAAATTTTTCAGTGCAAAGCTGCAGAGATGTAACAGGAGGTTCCTAAACTTGCAGTATTTTGTTGCAGGTATGACCAAAAGCAATGGCCATCTCAGCTGGAGAGACCTCCCAATGTCAGACTGGTGGACTGGCTGCCTCTCAATGACCTGCTGGGTAGGAACAGTCTGTGTCTGTCACACTTCCCTTTTTATGAGCGTGGAAGTTTAGTAAAATACATATCAGACCATCAGTACGCTTGTTTACAGCGTCCATTGTGGACAGAAAAAGAACCAAAAATATCCTCCCAGAAACTAAAGATTAAGGGACAGAAAATGTCCATTAATCCTCATTTTAGTGAATATATAAGACCTAAGTGTTTGCTGTAGGCATTGAGTAAAGCTGTTTTATCTTACTGGATGCATAAATAGAATAAGATATCAGTACAGTTAGAGTGATTGTAGACATACTGCTCCTACTGATCTATATCAGCACTGTTATTTGTTCAGCTTTGTTTCATTTAGACTGTATCCTTTTAATGAAACAACTTGTATGTTCGCACCCTTCTCGTCTTTGCATAATGGTTGGTCTATGTAAACTCCAACCTTTTCAGACCAACCGTTCTCATTTCATCCGTCTGCACCGCACTCCAACACTCTTTCTTCTTCACTTAGTAATGACGTTTTTCTCTATTGTTCCATTTACCCCAGGACACAAAAAAGCACGTCTGTTTATCACCCATGGTGGCCAGAACAGCCTGCTCCAGGCAGTGTACCATGCTGTTCCCGTGCTGGCAATCCCTCTGTTTGGGGACCAATTTGATAATGTTGTGAGGGCTGAAACAAAGGGGTTTGGCTTCAGCATCAGTCCAACACAAATCAGCGGGGAGCTGCTCAGCTCCACCATTCATACCCTAATACAGGACAAAAGGTTTGTAGCTGGACGAGCTACTTAATCACAGATATGTGTGGATACACTCAAACTTTTCTATGTGATTATACCTCTTCTAGGTTTAAGTCTTCAGCTGTGTCCATGAGCAGGATCCACAAATCCCATCCTGTTCCTCCAGCCCTTCGAATGGTTCAGTGGGTGGAACACATCCTGCACACTGGAGGTGGAGCACATCTCAGGCCTGCATCACTGGAGCAGCCATGGTACCAGAGGAACCTGTTGGACTTGGGGCTTCTTCTCTTTTTGGGGCTTCTCGCACCAGTAGTTCTTTGTTGGACTTTTTGTAGGAAGAGGAACAGTAGGGACAAACACAAAAAGATAAATTAGAAGAATTAAGTATTTCCTTTTTACCTCACCTCAGATCCATGACTCCGTCCAGTGATACTTACATGTCTTGGACTTACTGTATACTTTAATGAGGACATGGTGAAAAATACATACTTCTACTTGTGTGTTTGTCTAATAGATAAATAATTCATGCTGTAAATGAAACATATAGTTAATCTTTACATATAAAGAACAAAAAAGGGCTCAGGCAAGGCAAGTCAAAGCAACCCCTGAGGACAGACATATAAATGCTTCATTATTTTTTCATCTGTGAATGCAGCAAGGGGATGCCCAAAAATTCAAATAAAAGAAACATGTTTTGATTTTGGAGTGCCTGAATACGTTCAAAAACCATCTACCGTACATTTCATACTGTTGTTCAACTTCGCTCAACTCATGTTGAGCACTTTTTGTGTTCCATTTTCTGCATTTCCAGTCCCACTTGAGTAGCCCTCATGCCAAGTGTCCTGCCCTCCACCCTCCAAGCGCCACCGTGTCTACCAGACGTCTAATTTGTACCACAGCGCCACATTGTCCGACACCTCTGTGCCGCTTTGACCTGGCTGTGCTGCAAGCAGGGGTGTCACACAGTACGCACGCAAATACACACACACACACTCCAACTAAGAGGTTCTTTTGTGTTGTTGAATATTTCTAAATGGCAGCTAGCCATTTTAGTGTAGATGAATGATTGTTGAGAATGTTTTGAGCGCTGCTTTGCTTGTCTGGTTTTGGTGTGAGTGTAGGCAAATTATGTTGTTAGTCAAACAAGTATACCTGACTTCTCTTTTGCACCTGCTCGGTCAGTGTGTATATATGTATGTGTGAGTGTGAGTGTGAGTGTGAGTATGAGTGTGTGTGTGTTTTGGGCAGTGTTATGGTCTGGTGGCTCTTCAGTTATTAACCACCAGCACCACCTGCAAGTTTCAACTTTGACCCCTACTCCCTCCTCTGCCGCTTTCCACTGAGTCTCCTTCCCCTCTCTAAACAAGACACAAAGGCACACAGCAATGTTCACGGTCAGCGCCCCAGCCACTGTTGATAGCAGACCAGGCCTTGGTGGACCCCCTACCCCACCCTCCCCTTCTTCACATCTGTGTTGGGGGTTAGCAGGGAGGAAAATATAGATTAGCAAGGAAATAATGACCAATTAGGATGCCTTGTTCTCTGTCTATTCAGCTGTCCATTCCTTCCTTGAATTTCATTTGCCTGTTTGTCCGGCAGTTGCAGGTGCCATTGAGTCTTCCTCTGTCTCGCACGCAATCGAAAAAGAGGCAGGGCGAAGCAGCTAGAGCATGATAGTGGAAAGAAAAGGAGTGGGAATAATGCAAACTTTAACGGTATGGGTGAATAATATACACAATCCAAAAACAAATCAGAGAAAAACAAAGAAAATATCCAACAGTTATTGAGTGGGAAAAGTCACAGTAATCTAGTTTACAGTCTGTTTAAGCTGAATGAGACATCACTTTGACGTCTTAGCCATAAGACTCAGTTCATAAAGTTTATCTTAAGGTATCCTGCAGAGACATATCATTGAAATCAACAAAGATTAAAGGACGTGATTATAACTGCATCTCAATGCAATAAAAAGAAGTAGGAGAGATAAAGCAAAAGTTTAACTACAGATGAAAGTTTATCCCTAAAACGTGGACATTTGTCCATGCTCTTTTTAAGTTTTTTTTATATATAAACAGGGCAAAGAGAAGGGGTCAAACTTTGTTAATGTAAAGCAGAGTTGCTGGGATGAACATAAAATTGTGCTTTGAAGTGACATTGAGAGAGGTTTGTGGGACAGGGCCCCATCTAGTGACCTAAACAGGAGACCAGTTTGGAGACAGAGTGGTGCCCTAAAAGCAGAGCCCCCTGATCAATAGTTAAGCCTCAATTCTTGTACTTATGCACATGCACAATAGAGTAAAAGGATAACTTGATTTAATATTGTAACGTGACGGTTCGATGAAAGGCGGTTGGATAATTCTAATGATGAGAAATGGCAGGATGGTGACGGATAACTTTCTTAGCAGCACTTTTACTCTTCAGCCATCTTTTCATCCCCACAACATAACCCAAAAACTTAACATCCTGGACAACCCTGATCAGATGTCACAACACTTACCAATCAGAGTCTAGCAACTCAAAGTAAATGTAAATGAACCTCAGAAACACATTCTGCATAATCTACTCACCCTCACAAACAGCTGTAGAGAAAAGCATTTAAACTTCTAAATATGTAAATATGAACCTGTCAACACTTTGTGAATAGTCCTCTGTATAAATTTTATAAAACATTTTTTTAGCTTAACTTATGGACAGTTAACTGTAATAGTAAACAGAAATATATGAATTGACTTCACTGTTTAAGCTAACAATATTATCAATATTTAAAGTTGTGGTTTAGTACCTATATTACTGCCAATGTTTAATTTTGGCTAATGACACACTTCTACTCCACCAGTACATTTTACTTTTGGGAGTTCTTGGTTACTCTGCTGATTTAGTGCATAACAGATATGCGAACACCGCTAAAATGATCATTCTCAGCTTTGTCAAGATATCATTTGGTGAAAAGACAGTAGGGGAGAGTGGGGTAGGATGAGCCAATTTTCATGTTTCGGTTCACTACAACAAGTCAATCATGGTTTTGTCTCTAACTAGTGTATCTGCATATATTTCAAGATGTTGTGCATCCCTGCAAACCAACAGAATGAGTGTAAACATAACTGTCTTGATAATATAGCATGCCAAAAAAAGTGGTCTCCTATGGTCAACTTACCCCGTGTATGGGGTAAGTTGAGCCATATCCCTACTACCCCCTACTCTCCACCCCAGCCCTCCCTTACCTTCTCTCTCCCTAAATAATAGTCACTTCTACACTTTCATGTGTATTTTTATCTATTATATGCTATTCAACTAGTAAAATTTTTTTTATTCATTGTTATTGCATATAACTGCTAAAAAGCTGTTTTGTAAAAAGACATTTTGACATGAGAATGTCTTTAAGTGATTCAGAACATTCACAGCTGTATTTTTGAAAAGAAAAAGTAACACGTTTCAACAATCTGAACTGAAACTCTGATCCTCTCATCAGACTCCTTTACTTTCTCAGTTGAGCCACTGGATCAACTTACCCCTGAACTACTATGATGACTTTATTAGTCCACTAAGCTAAAATAGTGGACTTTTATTCTAGGTTTTTGACCTCATGTTGTAGCTCATAGATACCGCAATTGATGTATAAAACTAATTTAAAATGATCTTTTTTGGTCTGAACACAATTCTAGTAAAACTTGACAGACTACATTCACTTTCAAGAGAGAAAAATGTCTTTTTTTTTGTAAATAAATGTCTGACCCCTTTACCCATGTGCTTCTAACCTTCACAGACTCCATGAATTGGTGCCCATCTCCTAAATATTTGGTCACATGATCAATTTGTTTTACCATTTCCAAGCAACAAGGGGTGGCTCAATTTACCCCACTCTTCCCTATTATACTGAGTTAGCAAGGAGCAGCAAGAAAAATAGAGCTAAAGACAAAGCAAAGGAAATAAACGATGTATTAGGCTACTATAGTTTGATCTTACATTACCATTGCAAGTATTAACTCTTTACTGTACACAAAAAAAAACAGTAAAATGACACTCATTGAAGTGTCCAACAGCTGTCACGGGGGCGCAGCTGAATTTTTGTTAGAGGCTGTTCCTCATCAAAATAATGATGACACATTTAAATCTGATTGGCCGAGGTGCTGTCGTTTGATTGGTCAGTTTTGCAGTGTGGGCGCGGCCAGACGTCAATGTTTTGTAGACCGCTGTACGCGTATGTAACCGCACCAAGGACTCTGCAATGTGATTTCCTGACATTGATTTGTTTTCGTATCGATAACCCACCGTCTTCTCCGCGTTATGCACCAGCCTTTGACATGGGGAACCACTAGCAGGTGAAACACGGAAGAAACCGAGGAAAACGCCGGAATGGCGGGCGCCTTTGGCTTCAAAGGCTGCCAGAAAATTCGAGGTCCGCAGCTTAGAAACCTGCTGGAGGCGAAGGACTTCATCCTCTTTGACTGCGACGGGGTTATATGGCACGGGGAGAAGGCTATCACCGGCGCAGTCAAGGTGGTGAATTCGCTGATAAGACACGGGAAAAACGTAGTGTTTGTTACCAACAACAGCACCAGGCCCAGGGAGAATTATGTGCACAAGTTCTACCGGCTGGGCTTCACCGACGTGATGCTGGAGCAGATCTTTAGCTCGTCGTACTGCTCGGCTCTCTACTTGAGAGATGTCGTCAAGGTCCACGGACAGGTGTTTGTCATCGGCTGCGACGGACTGCGCAGAGAGCTGCAGGAGGCGGGCATCCCCTGCGTGGAGGAGGCGGACAATCCGGACGCAACCATCTATAACTGCAACCTGGCTCCGGACGTGAAGGCGGTGCTGGTGGGACATGATGATAAACTGACTTTTCTCAAACTGGCAAAAGCCTCGTGCTACCTGAGGGACCCGGACTGTCTGTTCTTGGCCACCGACAACGACCCATGGCATCCCCTGTCAGGTGGAAGGATATTGCCAGGTAATGTGGATTTAATAATCCGAGTCATTGTCATTGGTGTTAAATACTGTTTATGTAAGTGTTGCCTTTGTCTGCGCCAGACCACTCCGCATAGGGGTCAAAGGTCCCTAAACCAACCCTATTTTGGTGTGTTACTCAAGAGCTTTTACATAATTTAGTTGTGTTTTTTCCTTCAAACAGAATCCCCTAACACTGTTTACTTAAACCACAGTAAATCATGGATTAACTGACTGTTAATTTATCACCAAAATCAAGAGCAACAGTATCAAAAATCCTCTCCACTTTGAGAAAATCACATCAAAGTTATTATTTAAATGAATTATACTAAGATATGTTGTTAAAACTTATAGGTGGAAGTAGGGCTGGGTGATAAAACATTAATGATATATATCAAAAATTAATTTCCCTCAATATCAATATAAAACATGGTTAATATGCTTTTCAATAGTCAGCATTCTGCCATGTTTTGGTAGACTATACGAATAGCCAATGAAAAGCGGAGTTGCTTCAGGTCTACTTTGTGCTGAACCAATTGTGCTGAATTATAACCAAGTAGTAAACAACTGTGTAGTAGCAGGCTACACGCAACCATAGCACTTTAACACCTGAAGCCGACAGCACTGTCAGTGAGAAAAAAAAGGAATGAGTGCTACCCACGGCAGAAGTGCAGATGAAGGCTCAACAGATGATGACATCATCAAAAACGCCAGTGGTGTGGAGGTATTTTGGATTCTAGAGGTCGGACATAAAGCAGAGTAATGTGCACTGCAAATTATGTCCAGAACATGTTCTCAAATTTGGGGAATACCTCAAATCTTTTTCACCTTCTGAAGCAGTGCCACGCAGCAGAACATGCACACTGCAAAAGGTTACAAACCCTGAGTGGAGCGAGAAGCCCATGGCGCCTGTGCAGCCGAAACAGCCGACCATCCAATCTGCTTTGTCTGGCGCAGTGGTTTTCAATCCAGTCCTCGAGCCCCCCTGTCCTGCTTATTTTGGATGTTTCCCTGCTCCAACACACCTGATTCAAATGATCAGCTTGTTATCAAGCTCTGCAATGGCTTAATAACGAGCTGATCATTTGAATCAGGTGTGTTGGAGCAGGGAAACATCCAAAACATGCAGGACAGGGGGGGCTCGAGGACTGGATTGAGAACTACTGGTCTAGCGCAACACCTTACTAAAAAACGTCAAAGAGACACGAAGACCTCACAGATGCAGTAGCCTATTCTATTGCAAAAGACATGCGACTAATAAGCATTGTTAAATTTAATTTTTCATAGCATGATACATATCAATATCGACTGATATGAAAAAAATATATTGTGATAAACTTTTTCCCATATCGCCCAGCCCTAGGTGGAAGTATGCATCATCTACATGCAGCATTTTTATAAAGGTTTTAAATCTATTCCGTGACACCTTGAGATTATGTGATAGAGCTCCAAGAGGTTTAATATGCTCAGCTTTAATTGCATTGACCTCAGTTCAAGTCCATGCTGCTTTTACAGGTCATTCTTGTCCAATAAAGACAAAAGGGCGCCTAAAGAAAGTATAAAAGTAGAGCAAGACTTTCCCATATGCCCTTATCTTTAGTGGTTTATTTATGGGTAGCTAAACATTGAACATTTCAGGTCTATTCAGGAGCCAGAGTAAGTATGTACAGGACGCTGTTGGGGCTGTAGACTCTGTTCTTCCACGTCAGGTTTGAAGAACCTGTGCTGCACAAAAACAAACAGAGATAAGAGCTTTTCTATGGGATAGCAGCTGAACTCAAAAGCTGAAACAGGTTGCTATTGGCCACAATGTAATGTAAGCTACAATATGCCATAAGAGGCCAGTGCATGCAAAACCACACATATCTCTAGATTTTACTGTAGGTATACTCTGTTCCAGATATAAGAAAGGGGTTGGTGTATGAAAGAGCAGAAAATGTCTTTTCAGATCCACGTAAGTCTAACTTTCCTTGTATCGTTACCTTTGAAGGCTCTGGGTCCCTCACCGCAGCCCTGGAGGTGGCCTCGGGCAGGAAGGCTACTGTGATCGGCAAACCCAGCCGCTTCATGTTCGAGTGCATCTCCAGCCAGTTCAGGGGGGTGGACCCTGCGCAGTGCCTGATGATCGGGGACCGCCTGGAGACTGACATGCTGTTCGGGTCCAACTGCGGCCTGGACACCATGCTCACCCTCACTGGCGTGTCACAGATCGAGGAGGCTCAGGAGTACAGGAACAGTGAGCTGACCACCAACCACAGCCTGGTGCCCGACTACGTGGTGGACACCATCGCTGATTTCTTACCTGCATTTGAGGATTTGGAGGAGCAGAGCAATTGACGTGTCATTTGCCTCCAGTAAGGAGCACAGAACGCTCCTACTGCATTATAAGTGCAATGTTTAGTCTGCTGTTTGCAAAAAATGTCGAGATAAACAATGAGTGATAAATGCTTCTCATTGTCAAGGCGCTGTTTATGTTATGACTGAAACACGCGACCTCGAAATATCAGTAATCCAGTGCATACCTCAGTGTTTCTTCTAGTGTTGTGCCCATTTGTGACAGTTCCTAGTTGCTGTAAGTGTTTCTATCAATGTATGAATATAATGCACTTTGGTGTTTGGTATCGGGTTTTGAACATCCAGAGGTATTTTTGTAAAGCCATGAATTGCACTGTAACAGCATTCATGTGTGTAGGAGCAGGTTGGTCAATCTTTCACTGGAGGGCAGACATATACTTACAAAAACGCACAACCGATTTCTCATATGTGTTTGCCTGAGTGGGACTTTCTCCTGAAAACACTGTGTGAGCTTTTGTCAGCTCTGGTAGAGACTACCATGACAATCTGCCAGCCAGCCAGCCAGCCAGGTGAAGTGTGTATTCACTTTTGGCCTTTCTGTCATGTCTGTACTACTTGTGCCAATATTCATCCGAGAACTTAACAGCTTACTGAATTATAGTTAGAAAACCAGTGACACATTAACGGTGGCCGGTCATTCTGCACTGTGTTGGAACTTCAATGTTGTTAGTGTGTACCATATAGAGCATGCCAGCAACAGTAACAACAATAAACAACTAAAATTTAAGCCTGATTATGTTTTCGGTGCTCTAACTGCCCTTATATTCTGGTTGTTCTTTGTTTTCAGCCACATCAAGCATGATAGGAACAACACATTTAAAATGTCATATTCTTTTAATCTCACAGTTCCAGCAGATCACATGAAATCGTCAACATACTTGGCTCTGTAGTATTGTGAGTTGATAATCCAGGACACCTCAGCACTGTGCGGTCATTAACTGCGTTACTGTGTGAAACATCAATTCTTTTAATGAACCAGGGCTTGAAAAACGTTTGAATTAAAGGTTCTTGAATTAGCAGCGGTGAGAAAAACTTGCATTTTCCACTACAATCAATAGTGAGGTGGATGTGGCCAATGGTGTAAAAAAAATGCAAATGTCCTTTCAGAGTAAACCTACAATACGTTAACAGCTAAAAAATAAACATATGTACATTTAAACAGGATTAACATAATAGTTTATTCTACATCATTTCTTATGTGGCAATAGGTTCTCTTGTGCTGTGGGACAGAATTAAAGACATACTGATCACCAACAGATAAGGACTTTGGTTGCAGTGATTGAGCTGCTTCACGTCACTCTGGACCACCTCGCTGTAGAAAACAAAAGAGAAGAATAATAGATCTGTAAGAAAAACCTCAAAATTATCGAGAGGAAACATGACAGCACATAAACTCAATTCATTTGTCCATTTTAATAATAAACTATCATTATTACATTTTTTGTAGGACTTTGAACCTTAACTATCTATACCCACAGCTCCAAGGTAGAAGAGTGGGTTTACAGCAGAAGATGACAATGCAGCTTTATCTTTAAGGACAAAGGTTATGTTCTGACACCAAAGAGAAAGCTCAAATCCTTCCTCCACCCATTCTGCTTTACTTGGGTCGGCAGTCTGACCTCTCACCTGGATGTATTCCATTTCGTCCACGGTCAGCGGTCTCCTGCGGTACCTTGCAGTGAGTAGCTGAATAGAGGCCAGGGTGTCCGGCGTGCCAGGGATCGGGGTCATAGGTACATGAGGTCTGGATATCTGCGGGGGCGCAGCAGCTGAAGCAGGGGCTTGAGCGTTGTGTGGTGCAAAGTTTAGTATTAATGTTTTCAGAGCCTCCTGGGCTGGAAAAAGAGAGGGAAATCATTATTTCAAGAGAAAGGCAGAAAATTCACAAATCAGGAAAGATGGAAAAATACACACACAATCGTTTCTACCTTGTGTGATGCAAACATCAGAGCTGTTGTTTTATTTATTTAAGTCATCATGCAAACTACATGTTAAAACTGACTTTTTTCTAGACTCACCATTGGGCCTCGGGAAGTCTTGTCTATTGGGGAACTTGATCAGAGGAGAATGAGGTCGAACAGCCTGAAATCATAAAAACGCCCATGTGTGAGATATTGTGTTCGTTACAGGGTCAATAAATAAAAAACCTACAGATTTTTTTACGCTCTTGTATAAGTGACAGGCAGGTATATAGACTTTCTGCTCAGTTGAAAACGTGAACGGCAGTGGAAGAGTAACTTCTTCCTGTGTTTGCTTTCTCAAAGCCTCAAGCAGTTGACACAATTTACCTTCAAGTGCAGTGTGGACTAATTGGGTCACTGACACATTTAATCATGCTGTATTATATTTGGGAAAAGCACATGGATGTTCAATACTTAAAGAAAAGCTTTGTGTCAGAAATCATGATTCAAGCATGTAAAATTTATAATAACGTATTGCGACAAACACAAGGATTTTAAATTTTGGTTTAACTTACAAGAAAAAAACTCAGTGGTAGAAAATCACTTACAGACAACAAAAGGTGAAACAAGCAGTCAAATTCAACAAAATCACATCAATCAACTTTAAATAAAAAAAGAGGGCTGACTAGACAAATTTCTTATATAATCAACAATCTATACAGCTCTCAGACACACTACCCTTCACATCCAGCAACAAATGTGACTGACACTCCTGTATAGTGATGTATATAGTGATGCACTTTTGATCTAAACGGGACGTTTTAGTTATATGAACTGTTAAAGGTGAATTTCAGCTTTAAAGAAAGTTAACGATCTCCCATACAAATCTCACATCTGACTCTAACATATGTAACAGATTTGGCTAACAGTCTGGTGAAAACATTAACACAGTTACATTTTCACTTTGTTGTTTGAAAGGCCTTCCTGCTGCTGTCACAATAAGTGACAAAAATGAGGCTTTACTTGTTATTTAGCGGTTAAACAAGGACATCAACAAGGGTAACTGTACCAATAACGATTCATAATCACAGAAAAACTCAGTCAAATAAGTCACCATTTGTTTCAAACAGAAGGAGAAGACAGTATTATCTCTACAACATTAGTATGAGTTTAACAGGCAGGTTTTTCGAGTGATTATATTTTCAGGAGAGACGTACCTGAATAACTCGGGCGGTCGGAGCTGCCATTTTGGAGCTGACTTTGCTCCCCATGACGACCTCACGTTCACTTCCGGTATAAAAACGCTGCTTGTGTTAGTTGAAAGACACCACAAGATGGCGCTGTGTATATGTTAAACAGTCAAATCCATACCATAACGCACAGACAGTGGTCCACAGGATGCTGTCAACGATTGTGGTGCAGGAGATGATACGCGTTTCATCATTTACAGATAAGCGGTATTTTTAATAATAGAGCAGAAAATTGTAATTTAAACAGCATGTAAACAAAACTTGACAAGGTTGAGAACTTATTTTTAAAATCTTGTTTTTACCTCTGCTTTTCTTCTCTTGTAGTTATGTCAAGCTGTCCACAGATGTGTCGTCCCCGTGAATATCGTGCTCTGTCAAACTCTCAGGCCATACTTCAGCCTCAACACTGCTGTCAGAAAAAGGACACACACAAATAGACCATTAAAGGACCTTAATCCAAACCAGTTCGTGTCCAGGAAGGCTCCCAAACTCTATACTGCTCACGAAGCCACCATGAAGCGGTAATACTATATGTATGATTTAAGAAAATGACAATAATGGCTACTAAAACAGGCAAAGGCAAATATCATACCCCCTATCCTTATTTCACTCCACCTTGAAAAAAATACGAACGGATAACCTGGTCACGTGGGGATGATTTGTCCAATCCTAGACGAGTATCTCACTGAGATCGTTTATAAAGACAGATGTACCGCTTACTGGAGAGTCGCGACTCTCTCATGACACTGCGGATAATGGTTTCGTTCACGTGGATCTGACTGGAAATCGGAATACAGGTGAAATAATAGTACCGTATATAATATGTATATACAACTTTGACTCATAATATGGAATAATCCAAGAATGCTTTACCGACGTATTTAGCTTAATTTTAAACTTTAAAAACTAATTTTCTAACATAATCACACAAAGGGGCGTTAATGAAATCTTCAAGAACTGAAAAAAGAGCTTTGTCCAAAGTCACCATTAAAATACCAACAAAAAAACTAACCTAAATAGATTCTTTCTTTCTTTCTTTCTTTTATATAAACGCTCTTTCCGATGAGGCATAGAGCAAATTATGATTTAGGGCTCCAACGTGACCAAACAGATTTACGGTAAAAACTTTCATGCAATCGATCTCTCAATATTCGTTTCTATTTTCATGTTGTTGTGTTGCAACAATAGAAAAAAAACAAACAAAAAGAAAAAAGGATGAATATAATGCACAGTGCAGGATTTCACCATGTATGCTGTCATGTCTGGGACATAAAAGTAGTAGGATGTCGATTGTAGTCCGGTTTGTTACCGTCTCTGGTAGCTAGTGTAACATCTGTATATGTGAGGATCTTTGAAGTTGATGTGGCGCCTTGATACTTGAACAGCGCCATCTGCTGGATTACCGTGAGGCTTAGCTTTCACGGAAAATAGAAGTCCTCCAACACTTAGAAATGGCACATTTTGCCATCAAAATATGGAGATTGAAAACAGTAAGTCTCATATTAATTTGAATGTGGGCAGTGCTCACTAATATTAGGTTAAACTCTTAATGGGTGGCTTGATTTTGTTCACTAGACTTAAAAAACAAAGATACAAGAATTTAGTATGTGGCTGTTATGTGTTAAAACGGAGCATCAGTTAATTACCTAGTGTCCTCCTTGTCCCAATCCCCCCAACCACACAAGACACAGATCAATACCCAAGTGACCAATTCACATTTTATTCGATATTCTTTTATTAAACAAACTGGTCCATGGAAAGCAAAAAGGTCCCAATCTTAACCTGGGCAGACTCTTTACTCAAAACCTGACTGTGGCTCCACATTAACTACAGCGTAACAATCAACACATGCACAGTACAGTTGCAGTCTCAAGTGAAGAATCGGCCCTGACATTACATGTGTTAGGTGCAGCTCTGTAAACAGACAGTACACATATTACTGTGCAACATCAGCTGCACGGCACAGTTGTTTGACTCAGACTGAAGGAGAGGGAGGTACTCAGTGGCTCTTTGACCTATCAAACAGTTGCTTGAGTTGGTCCTGAGAGGTAGCCTCTTTCTGCTGCATGAGATCAGTGTGGCCCTTAGTGACGCCCCAGCCATCAGGACTGGACATGGAGGGACACAGAGGACGACCAGAGGCTGGCTTCAGGTTCTCCCAGTAGTCACGACGGGCTCTATCAAAACACAGAAGACCAAAAAACTACAGTTAGTGCATGCACAGTGGCTCCTATGAGACAGTATTTCACATTTGACAAAGTTTTGTTGCATGTTTGTGGTATTTAACAGCAAATTTAAGGTTGCCTCTGACCTGGCTCTGACCCAGGGCTTTGTGTGCATCTCTAGACCAGCACCCCACATTCCGTGTTTTTCTGAGCCTGCAGCAACGATCCCTCTCTCTTGTGTCAGCTCCTCTGCAATGGCCCTGATGTGATAGGGCTCGAACCCGCAGCAGCCGCCAATGAAGCGGATGCCAACGTTGTAGGCTTCTCTGGCGTACTTGTGCATGTCCCAGCGGGTGAGGATCCTGGGCTCCAGTCCTGATGGAAAATTTTGTTTTGTGCAAGTTTAAAATCAGTTTTTTTTTCTGCTTTTCAGCTACACAATTTTTAATAATGTGATGTTAAAGACACTATATTGAAATGATGGCGTCTACATCAAACAGTAGAATTTGATTACCGAAGGGGAACTCTGGCAGGTCGATGAATCCCTGACAGCTGCAGTCAGGTGTGTGGAAAGCCAGGGGCTGCACAATGTAATGAGCCTTCAGTCCGGCCTTCTCCACTCCCTCCTTCATCATTTTGACAGCTTGCACGCAGGTCATGGGGTCAAAGTGGCAGTTGATTCCAACAATCTGGGCACCTAAGAAAGAGTACACATTGGTGTGAGTCAGCTGTTACAGATTAGCATAGAAATAAGGTGTGTGAAAGAGACAAGAATAACTGTTGTGTAGTTGTAGTAGCTGCCTGTGGCTGAATACTTTTAATGGACAACATTTTGGTGATTTAGCAGGACATTTATGGGACAAAGTGGAATAAGAACAGATGCGTCCTCTCTCATGTCTACTGCTAGGAATCTTACTCTTGTCAACTTATTCCTGAGGTCATGTCAGGGTAAGATGGGCTGATTTAAGAACATTTAAAGGTAATATTTGTTTTTGTAAAGGTCAAAAATTAACCCACCAGCCTTAACCAGCTTGACGGCACAATCTCCAGGTGAGACGCCGTGCATGTCTCCCTCAGGTCCAATACACAAACAAGCAGCCACAGTCTTTCCTGTCTCCCTCAGAACCTCCACAGCCCACACGGCCTCTTCAACATGCTCAAAGTACTGCAGGACACAGAAATTAAACACAATTAGACATTCACCAAAAAGGATAAGGTCTGTGGTCTATGTTGAATAGTGATGTTTTTGTGTCTCTACCTCAGCAATGAGGAAGTCCACGTCTTTCTTGATGAACACATCCAGCTGTCTCTTAAAGATGGCCTTCACCTCTGTCTCGCTCTTACAGCTCAGGTAGGATGGAGTCTGAGACACTCCACCTGCGACCAGAGCGTCACCCTCATTGGCTACTTCTCTTGCCAGGTCGCAAGCGGCCTCATTGATCTGAGCACCCTGAAAAGAGATTACGAAAAATATTTTTAACCAGGAAATATCACAGTGAGATTAAGAACCTCTTTTTCAAGGGAGTCCTGGCCAAGAAACACAAAATACAGTTGCATATTTACATAAATAAGACACAGAACTTAAACACAAAAGGGAAAACTGATGAACAAAGTAGCATCCATTGATTCTTTTAATAGGCATTGCTTTATCACATGCTCTGAGGGTCATTTTAGCTTCGGATTTGAAGATGTTTCTTCACACTTACAGTGAAGGAGAGCTTGTTGCCTCTGTTCTCCAGTTTGTCATCACTAGCGTAGAAGGTGAAGGTCTGCATGACGTTTGCACCAGCCCTGAGGAACTCCCTGTGAAGCTGACGTACTAAAAAAACACACAGACTGCAATTTAAAACCAGTGGACAGGAAACTCCATCAAAACCATGACACGAGGAAACTGAAGGAAAGGCTATTACGGGGTGTGAAAGATTCCTTTTCATGTTGAATATAACTGTTTTTCTCACCTGCTTCAGGGTGCTCTGCAGCGGCCTCAGGGGTCCAGGGCCCGGCCTTCACGTAGCCTCTCTTCTCCAGAGCAAACACGAAGCCTCCATCACCAATCACCACCTCTCCAGCGTCAAGACGCTCCAACACTCCCTGTTAATGGATTATGGAGGGCTTGGTATAAAGATCATTATATATCACACAAGGAGAGCCTAGACATACTGGGTTTATTATTGAAAGTATGTGTTTTATCTAATTCACCTTTCATTACTTATTAACAGAACTTTAATATATTCCAAATGGGTAAAAGTAAAATAAAGACTAACAACAAGAACAAATTTGTGTCCATGCCTCATGCAGTGGTTTCTCATATCCAGTGCCCCGCACCCCCTCTCCCTTTGACCCTGAGTCATCAGGAGGAAGCACATGTCTGAGAGCAGCTGCACTGCTCATAATGGCTGATAGGCTGATAGGCCTACACCTTTTAGTTTTGGCCTCTCAGGAGTTTGGAGAAAAAAATTGAAATTTGCACAATCATGAAGATAACCTTGATCTGAATACATATTGCACTCTATTTAGGTGATTTAAGTGGTATTAGGCTGCATGTCAGCAAAATGCTTTTGCACTTAAATTTGGCCATTAAACATCAAATGTTACAAAACTTCATGTTCTTAGTCATTTATTCCACTGGCAGTGGGTATTTGTGATGATTTCATTGTTTACACAAGCTTTTCTGAGTGTGAGAAAATCTCCACCTGGCATGAATCCTCACAAGACTCTTCTGGATTCACTCAAAGAAATAGTTTGAAATATTCTGCTGTTATATTTCCCTGAAATCATCTTCTCATAGCTGAAAAAATTGATTTGAAAATTAAATTTATGACGATGATCTCTGTTATTGACAGCAAATTAAAAATGTGTTTGAAGTGAAGCTTGGAAAAATGATATGTTTCAAAGTCTCCTTCCTTTGCTTCACGCAAAAATAAATAAATGAATAAATAAATTGTGCTAGCTTAGCCATGAATAAAAATAAATTCTATGTATTTCATATTTTTTACTTTGTTCACCTCCAGTGCATCTGGACAGAAATAGAAGTCTTACACTCAAATACCTGGACAAACATATCTGGTGTTTTTTTTCATGGCTAATACTACTAAAGATAAACAAGAAACCACGTTAGTTTCTAATTTGGCTTAATATGCTTTTAAATATCTTAAGATTTTTCAACAAGTTGACAGAGTTTGGATAAGACTTCACTCTATTTTAGTGCTTGGCATTCCCAAAAGCTGAGGTTACAATTCCCTGCGTTGATATTCTGCAGCAAAGTCCTTATAGCATTCCCCGTCTCCACACCAAAGTCCACACATACCTTCTTTCCTGGTGCCATAATCCTGCAGCTGTGTGGACCCCTGACTGCTCAGACTTTGAGAAGCTGAAGCGACATTAGAGCCGAGCAGGGGCCACTATAAATCTCCCTGAAGTATGGGAGGGGTCTGAAGAGGAGACGCTCTGATTGGCAAAAAGGGAGTTACACAACTACGATGTTTACTCCCTCGCCTCCCCTCTCTCACTGAATGAGAGTATTGTCAGTGTGAGCCTCTAGTTTGAGCCAGATTAATTATGGTGGACTGTGTGTTTGTCCCCTTTCCTGTTAGTTTGTGGGTTAATTTTCTCTGGACCCTAAATGGACATACTCAAAATGTGCAACCTTTTCCTGAGTAATCACTTTTACAATCCATTCAGACACTGAAATCACTGCTAAATGAGTACATGGTAAATTTGTGATGATTTTTTATCTGATCATATCATTGATAAGTAATGGCAGAAGTGTTAGTGGGTGTTGCGGTGGTGTAAATCGCACATAATGACAACACAGCCTTCAAATTCAGTAACAAACTCAGGTTTATTACCCTTGGGGTTTTTCTGGCTCTCCACCTGTGGAGCATCGCTGTTACAAGTGCTTTTATTACTGAACCAAACTGGGAAAACTTCTCTCCTTCTCCCTCATCCCCTCCAGTGTTGACAGCGGATGTGATGGGTGTCTTTGCTTTTCTTGCTCTGCCTCGCTCAGGAAGAGGACTTGGCCTTCTTCTGCATCTCCAGCACATGCTTCATTTCCATGGAGCTGGTGGCCTCTTTGTGCTGCATCAGGTCAGAGTGGCCTTTTGTCACACCCCAGCCCTCTGGTGTGGACATGGTAGGGCACAGTGGACGGCCAGATGCAGGTTTGAGATTCTCCCAGTAATCACGACGGGCCCTAGGAAATAAAGACACATGCAGCGTGAAGAGGAGGAGATGCAATGTTGCAGCTATTTAACGTTTTGAATATCTGGATGTTTTACCTGGCTCTGACCCAGGGTTTAGTGTGCATCTCCAGACCAGAACCCCACATTCCATGTTTGTCTGAGCCTGGGGGCATTATCCCTCTCTCTTGTGCCAGCTCCTCTGCAATGGCCCTGATGTGATAAGGCTCGAACCCACAGCAGCCACCAATGAAGCGGATGCCAGACTTGTATGCCTCTCTGGCGTACTTGTGCATGTCCCAGCGGGTGAGGATCCTGGGTTCAAGGGCTGGAGGCACACAAAAAGTGGGATACAGCTGTAAAAGTCTGCCCCCTATGTCACCCTTCATGTTTAATATTATTGTGAGATGTATTACCGAAGGGGAACTCTGGCAGGTCGATGAATCCCTGACAGTTGCAGTCAGGTGTGTGGAAAGCCAGGGGCTGCACCATGTAGTGAGCCTTCAGTCCGGCCTTTTCCACTCCTGCCTTCATCATTTGGACGGCTTTCACACAGGTCATGGGGTCAAAGTGGCAGTTTACTCCCACAATCTGAGCACCTGGAAACCAGAGGAGGAATTGTTATTGTCGTAGCAGATAACAAGACCAAACTTCAGGTGGTGCAGGCTAATATAAACACACACCAGCCTTCACCAGTCTGACGGCACACTCTCCAGGTGAGACGCCGTGCATGTCTCCCTCTGGTCCGATACACAAACAAGCAGCCACAGGCTTCCCGCTAGTCTTCAACACCTCCACAGCCCACACAGCCTCCTCCACATGCTCATAGTACTGCAGAGAAAGACACAATACTGTAACTATTAAGAGTTTATATGTGTATATTTGACTACACTACATAAGATGACATATAAATCCACCTCAGCGATGAGGAAGTCCACATTCTTCTTCATGAACACATCCAGCTGTTTCTTAAAGATGGCCTTCACCTCTGTCTCGCTCTTACAGCTCAGGTAGGATGGAGTCTGAGACACTCCACCGGCGACCAGAGCGTCACCCTCACTGGCTACTTCTCTTGCCAGGTCGCAAGCGGCCTCGTTGATCTGAGCACCCTGAAAGATGGATATCAAAAACAGTTCATTTAAAATTCTGATCGCTTATGTTAGGTTGACGTAGTATAGTTCGGTACTTACAGTGAGTTTCAAGCTCTGACCCCTGTTCTCCAGTTTGTCGTCACTGGCGTAGAAGGTGAAGGTCTGCATGACGTTTGCACCAGCTCTCAGGAACTCCCTATGCAGCTGACGCACTAAAGAAAACATGCAGATTCTTTACATTCAAAGTGAGTTATTTTGGTTATGTGTGTGTAAACTGCTTTCATTGTCTTCACATTTGTCTTACCGGCCTCAGGATGGGTGACGGTAGCCTCAGGAGTCCAGGGCCCGGCCTTCACGTAGCCTCTCTTCTCCAGGGCAAATACAAAGCCTCCATCGCCAATCACCACCTCCCCAGCATTCAGACGCTCAAGGATACCCTGTTGGTGCAGAACCATCTACCCTCAGTGGCTCATGATTCGATAAATACTCATGGTGGTAATTCATAGGGAAGTGGCACAGCACTTATATATAGTAGGCCATAGTCTGAGCAGCAGGCAGTCAGGGTTTGATTACAACCTTGGGCCCTTTAGTGCATTCATTCTCCACTCTCTCAGCCAGTTTTTTCACTTTATCCACTGTCCTTTTCTTTTGATAAAGGTATAAAAGGCCAAAAATAAACATAAAAATGAATAAATATTCGATTTCTTGATTTGCAATGACATGAAAGAAGCTGCAATCCAGGTACAAAGGTGCAAAGGTGATAGAAAAGTAGATTTTCGTCGTCACCACCTTACCCTGGCTATTTCATAAACAACATAAAACCTGCACTGACACCATTTTCTTTACAACATCACAGTCCATCGACCATTAGGACAACTATGACCTATATGTAATTGCACTGCAGTGTAATAAAATATACACAGAGAAGGAATAAAATCCATGCAGTTGAAGTTTGCAGGGATTTTTATTGTACCTTTTTGCCTGGCGCCATGTCTTTTTCCCAGTTTCAGTTGCAGCACTCAGCACTTGGTAACAGCGAAAACCCCTCGTTCAGCCCGAAGAGTGCTGAGAGCCGCTCTTCACCTGTTTTATACTGCAGGGTGAATATGGGTGGATTTCAATGTCTGTGCCAAGTGCCACATGTTTGCTTGGACATTGTGCAACATGGTCGGGCTCACGGATCAATGAAGGTGGCATAGAGTTGTAACAGAGGGTTCTGGAAGGACAGGGACATCTGAATAATTAGTCTGCATGATGGCGTCACCAAATGTAAGTTTAAACTCTAACCATGCCTGCTGTTTTTGCTGTGAACTACAGTTTGTGGAGCAAAATGGAGTGTGCCAGTGGTGAATTTAACAGGCCAGAACATCCTTATTGTGTAACACACACAGCTATACAAGCATGCGCCCTTACATTTCCTAAACAGTCCTGAAAGGAGGTTGTGTTATGCACCCTTGTCCAAATGCTAACATCCCTGCAGGCCCTGAAACGCAGGACTGATATAATGTGTGGGGTGTGATCTGAGAGTCTATATGGTGTGATTTTATGTGGATCCGAACCCTTTACTCATAGGAGCAAGAAGACAAAAAGTCTTTATTTTGACAATAAGGAGACATTTATGCATTTTCAAGCAAAATATAAGATATTTTCAAGCTTCTCTTTTGTGGAAACATACTCAAGATAGCTTGATTGATACAATATTTGGAAATAGCATGGGGCAAAAAAAATGATTTCCTTATGTAGAGCCTCGCTCGGTTTAAAACTACTGCATGTGGATCATTGATCATTGCATATATTCAGGTTAACCAGTTACAGCTCCTTTCCCGGCCATGGTCTTCATCCCTGGCTCTTTTTTTCACCACATGCTGCGCACACACACACACACACACACACACACACACACACACACACACACACACACACACACACACACACACACACACACACACACGCACGTGCACACACACACAAACACAAACACAGACACACACACACACACACACACACACACACACACAGACTCAGATATGGGGCTATTGACCTTCAGTGGAGTGGTGGCTTGAAGTTCTGTCAGCTCTGGGTTTATCCAGTTTCAGGGGGAATGTAAGATAGGCTTTCCTCAGGTGTTTATCAACAGAGTCAAAGTTCAGAAAACCCCCCCTGTCTACACTCCACCATTGGATTTCATCAGCTTCAATTGATGTTGCGCAGCTCAGCCCCCCTTTTGCTGATCTAAAAAGATATTTTCGACCTGCCTTATATAAAAGTGTTACATGATAAAAAATTATATATATGTATACCTCAGATTTGCAGTTTTTTTCAACTAATTTAAACCCTCGTTGTGAACTCATGCTGTACTCTCAACTGTAGGAAAGTGTTGCTCTCCACGATGCTCTGTTAAAACGCAATATCATCACAAATGCTGCGCATATGTCTTCAGATAACATGACCTACTTTACAAAACAACTCCCATGATTTTGGACTCCCTGACAGTTCCCAATCTATAAGTAGTACTGATCTATTGTTTTCAGCTGGGACTCTGGCTACTCAGCTGCTGTTTGACTCATTGCTTACTCAAGGTCACTATCGGCTGAAGCAAATAGAACCGCATCATCTGCATAGAGTGGTGATGCACTTCTGTAGTCCCTAATCAGACATGTTTGACTTTGTGCTAGAGGTATGGGCACAGCCCTCGCTTTGCTTATGAAGGAAACAGACCTCACCCCAAGTGCTTATGTACTTGTGATATTCACCTTAATCCCCGTAACCTGCGCTTTCAAAAGGTGGAGCTTTATTCCTATTTAAGGAGAACTCCAACAAGCAGAGCTAAAACCAATCCTGAACAGTGTTTTTCAGTCTTAGCAGCTCCAGATAAGAGTCCTTCTCTTACCTAAATTTGGTTCTTGAGCTAGCCCTATGCATGTATGAGAACACAGCTATATCAAAATGGTACCGGCTTTGCTTCCTTCTCCAGCAGAGGTCGTTGTTCATGTTCCCAGAGCCAGTCTGCTCTCCAACCTTGACTCCTCCTTTCTCTGCTGCCTTACCAATCACTGTTGGTGGTGGACCCAGAGGTTAGCAGCTCCAAAGGTCAAAGGTCAAAGGTTACTTTATTTGTGCTCTCAGGTAAATTTTGTTTGCAGTGAATCACATTTATGAAAGTAGACGAACAAACAGCACGGTACATACATATAAAGTGACAGCAGTGACCAAGGGGAAGGGATCAAAATAATCAAATCAAATAATCAAATAAGACCAAATAAAACCCAGTAAAACCAAATAAAAACCAACAGCTCTCATGGTTTCTTCCCCGTCTTAATGTGCCTGATGGCTGATGGAATAAAAATATTTTTATTATTTGGTCTGTGTGTTTCCAGGCCTCGTGGGTCAAGGTCCAGTCAACCACATGCAGTAGGCTTTCCTCCGAGGCCTTGCTTTGGGGAGAAATGCCACTTTTTTGGAGTCATATGCTGCATAGTCTCCTTTTAATGTCTGAGTTCAGAATCAGAATTACCTTATTGATCCCAAACTGGGAAATAATGGTGTTACAGCAGCCTTTTCTGAGAACAATATAAGAATATAAGAAAAGACACCTAGCAAACAATTACCTAAATATCAAAATATCACAATATTTACACCACAGATTTTCTTCACAATTTACAATTAGTTGTTGAAAATCCATGGAAAACGTTCAGAAGTCTTGCAAAAATATAGTGCATGGATAAGTCACACCAAAACATACAGATCAGTCCACAGTCCATTCAGTTAATCAAGAGTTTTGGGGTTTTTTTTCATCATTTTCATGTGAATACAAATCAACTGTCAGACAACAATGAGGAATAAAGTAAAAAAAAACGTTTTCTAGTTGCATTGTTCCTCAAACTGCTGGAAAAGTATTGCCTGTAAACATACAAACCAGTCATTCATAAAACAGAAAAGCCCTTTCTTTGCACAGACTGCTTACATAAATTTGAAAAAGGAGTGGTCTGTTTACTACAAGTGCTGTAACTCACCTCCAGTGGAACCTCCTGAACTCCATCCCCTTTGCAGGAGCGCTATATGTGCCACACATGTTTCTTTTTTGAGTGTAACATTTTTCACCATGTTCGTGAGTGTTTATTTATGTGTGCTCATATAGTTCAAGTGTCAGTGGAGTGCTGAGTCAGGCTGCAGGTCTTCATTGCGGAGGAGACCTTAAATTCCATACACACACTCAACCACAACCGTGAAACAAACTCCAAATGCACCCAAGTTAAGGCAGCTGAACATGGCTGCTGCTGACATTAGATCCTGTAAGAGTCTTGATGATTAAGAGACCACAGAAAATCTCCCAGGGATCATCTTTACTTTGGTTCAAGACTCCTTTCACTCGAAAGCGTCACACCAGGAGTCATAACATGTTGGCCCTTATGGGGTTACACCTCAGATTCTGTTCTATGAAATCTATTTACATGCTGTATTTCTTCAATATCACATTTCTTCTGAGAAATTCCAGCTATTCCAGTTGGTGCATCAGGCGTTTTGACCAGCAGCTGAACTGAGTGGCATTTTCTCTCAACTAGTTCTCACAGGCTGAAGCTGGAAATGAGGCTGTCTGTGCAGTTGCAAAGAGACCAAAGGCTGAGGCAGAGGGTGAAAGGACAAGAGCAGGGACTGATGGTAGATTAGGAAGTAGGACTAGGGGGAGGATTGGGGATGAGGCTTGCTGGGAAAAAGGCCAGATTCAAGGCGTTAGAGTGGAGGAGGTTGCGCTAAATTTCGAGTTGTTAAAGTGGTGAAACACATTTGAAATGTGAATGACCCGGGCTGACACTGATAAAGTTGTGGTTAACTATTGACTCCTTACATACTGATAATCTGCCGGACCAGTCAGAATCTCTTTTGACCAGGTCGAGAGGAAAATAGAACAAAGGAAAACTGAGTTGACTCTACAAATTAGTCTGATTTTGCTTTATGGATATTAGTGCAACTTTGTAGTAAGGCTGATTATTAACTTCTGTATGCGTTCTGTTTTCACTCTACTCTGTCTCCTGTTGCAGAGAGACTCTCTGTGCCGCTGCAGCCCCCTGTTTACCTCCACCCCCTCCTCTGGTCCAATCACAGCTCAAGCTGAAGAAGACTTTCTGCTGAAACTGTCCATTCTTTGTGGATTTGTATACCACAGGAGGATAAATAGGGGGAGAGACATCAGAAAGAGAGAGAGTGAGAGAGGGTGAGGAAGCACTCAGTGACCTGTTAACCTTTCTAAAGTCTTTATAGCCCATTCTTATCTGTCTTATCATGTATAGAGTTGTAAGAAATATCATATGGCCATAATAAAACTTGCCGTGACCCACTTTTAGTTCTTTTTAATCTACTATGACATGTTGTAGTACTTCTTTGTAACACAGGGGGGCATAATAGTACCCTTCCACTTGTATTTGCATTTTTTTTTGTAACTAGATTAGACTCTAAGACAACACAAACACTTGGGAGACTTATCGTTGTAAACCACCAAATTAGCCAATTAATGAATTAGCCAATATAGGAGATAACTTGGCGTTTCCAAGTACCGAATCACTGTTCATATCCACGCCTCTCATGTTTGATACAATGTTACCTCTGGCTCCAAACCAACATGGTGAGACCACAATGCCAAACTGCAGGCTTCAGATTAGCTGTCCAAAACAAATAGATGACAACACTTTGCTTCCACCATGAAATACTCAACATACAATAAAGCTTTTATTCCTAATGAACTTCACTTAAATTTTTGGCCTAAGACTTTAAATGATTCTTAGTGTTATAAAATAATCACCTGTAAAAAGTCAACTGGCTTATCCACCTGTATGCTGGACTAGTTCCTTCACAGCAGCTGGAAGTAAATTTTGTGACACACCAAAGAAAAAAGTGTTACCCTCTGCTTTTCATTAGCTCTTAGACGACACTGTAAAGATGCACATCTTTTGATATCTCGTTTTAACTCTACGGCACAGATTAACAGCAAGACTGTACAGTAATCTCAACATCCTGCTAAAAAACTTCAACATACATAAAAACACTGCAGGAACATGGACCATTTTTA